TTAAATTTAGGCGTCTCGAGGATTCGAGGATTAATAGCCTTAAGGCCTAGAGTTATTAGCCCCGAGCTAGGCGAGGAGCCTAACTCCGAGAAATATAGTTCTATTAAGTTGCTCCTACTGCTAGCGCTATATTTATTATATATACTTAGCCCTAAGTATTATTCTATATTCTCTTTAATAGACGGAAGTAAGGCCGGGATAGGGATAAAAGACCCTTCTGTTAAATAGTCCTTACGCCTATAATATAGATATAAGTAATTATAAAATCGGGCTTTCTTAGGACGACCCTCTTATAGACTAGTTAAAGATCTTTAGGCTTCTAACTTATAAGTACGCTTTCTCTTATTAGGTAGCTTTAGATTTTGCTATATAGTTTCCTTAAGTCTATGCGTATTATATAAGTAAAGTCGGAGGTCACGCTTATTATAGAAGCTTTAGGAGTATCCGTATATTAGCTTTATCTAATAATACCCGATTTTAGCTAAGTACTACCCTTTAATATATTCCCTTAGATTGTTACTTTATAGCCAATATCGTAAACGCTTTTCTATAGAGAGACTAGGGTCCTATAAATAGAAGGGGTAGTAGCCGGGACGAATAACGGTATAACGATAGGTAATTACTTCGTAGTACTAGGCTTTCTAGGACTAGAGATAGGTATCACAATAATCCCGCTATTAACTCGATAAACACTAATCTATATATTTATAGTAAAACCGTATCTCTAACTCTAGTCTTTAAAGGCTAAAAGCTTTCTTACGCCGAATATATCTATGAATATAAGCACTTCTATCACATTTTCTTAGACTAGTAGAGTTAATATAGGCTAGGTTATTATTAGGACGGGGAGCTTACCTTATAATATTAATTTAGCAACCTTTTATAGGACAGAGGCTATATACTAGGCTTTTATTTAGGAGGTATACCATATTAAAATCACGGAGATACTACGTCTATAGATCTTCGATAAAGAGAAGTTTTTTATTAAAGGAAAGCTCTTTAGTAGAGGATATAGCTATTACGATTCGCGTAACCTCGGGTATAATTAGCATTTAAATACGTACGCGAATATTATTTTCCGAATAGGTTAGCTCTTCTTTTCCTTGATTAATAACTTTCCGGTCTCTCTTCTCCTATACCTACCGAATTTAATATTACTTAAGTTCGAAAAGACGATACCGAACGAGCGCCTTCCTATATTCTAATTTCTTATTCTTAAGGCGATCCTCGTTATAGTTCTATACGAATAAATCGATCTAGGCTCTTATTTCTACTATATTTATTTTTTCTAAAATACTCTCTTTAATCTCTACTAGCAACTTATTAGATAAGCCACGTTCGTAATATTAAATATAACCTTAGAAGTACTCGATATAGTCGGACTAGTCTTCTTTATCTAGAATAGCTCCTACTATATCTATAGAAGAATAGTAGGCTTAATAATACTCCGGAAAAGTGTTTAGCCCCTTATATACTAGTATCTAACTAATAGGTATAGAGCTATTTCTCTCTATAATAAATTTAGTATTAAGATCTCTATCTTATATCTTTTAAGTGTTTATATGGTGTAAGGGGCTTACTTTCGACTTTTTTCCTAAGGTTTCGTCGTATATAATAGATCGTTACTAATTTATTAAAGTACCCTATAGTAGTAAAAATCTAACGTAGGTAAGAATAAAATTTTTATTTCGTTAAAGGTATCTCCTAAAGCCTATCCGCCATAGTATATCTAAGAACTAGTTTATCTAAGTACTCTTCTTTCTATTATAACGGAATCTTACTATTTAAAAGATTAAACTACGCTAGATTATCTATAGTATCTATCTTATAAATAGTACCGTATACTAATATAAGGGAGAGAAGAAGGTAGCCTAATATAAATTGCGGCCTATTGCTATCCCGTATACTAATTCCGAATCTAGAAGTACTAATTAATAAAGTCCCGTATATTTAATAAATATACTACTATATCCTTCTAACTTATACTATATATTTTTTATATCGACGATTTTTAAGCTACTTCTAATCTACTTTCTAACCTACCGCCTAACGACCTATAGATAAAGGAAATAGAACTAACTTAATATACTAGAATAGAGATTAATATTATATAATATCGCTAGATTAAAGATACCTTACTTCGTATCGAAGACCTCTTTTATGTTTGTCCTTACTAGAGGGTATAAAAGCTCCGACTCTTACTCTAGTAAAGAGATATAGCTAGAGAGCAAATAAGATAACAACTTTAAGTAGTCCCGGAATAAATATTTAGTGATTAGTCTACTATAAAAATAAGACTATTCTTAAAAAATCTTGCTTTATAAAGTTGAGTTTCTCTTTCTTTTAGTCTATAACGACGCTATCTACTATCAAAGTTTTTTTTATCTACTATATCTAGGTAAGTTTAAGATAATCTTAGAGGGGAAGTTACGAATAAACTAACTATTTTTATTTCCTTTCGATCGTCTAGGACGATTTTAGTTCTTATAAATTATTTAAATCTACTAAAGAATTTCTCGGTATACGTACTTATAGTTCTTACTATAGGTAGACTATCGTCATTTAGTCGCCTTTAAATAGAATTTACGTACTAGCGAATATACGCTTTGATTATCTTATATATTAGAGTAAGAGAACCGAGGGAAGTTTTATAATATTCGTACCTATTCTCCGGGTCTATAGTAAACCTAAAGGAAGGTTAGTAGAATACGTGAATAGGAAAGGATTACTACTTTAGATACTACGTAACTTACTCGAGCTAAAGGTTTATGGTTTCTCGGTATAATTCGTTCGTTTTAGGGAGCCTTTTATCTTTCTCCCGAATTAAGTCCTCCTCTTTATAGGTTCTAGGGGAATAACCATTCTTTTCCCGCTATAGACAGCGCCTCTCTTTCGCGAGTTTATCGCGCTTAGTAAAAAGTCCTTTCGGCCTATAATTAAGTAAGGCGCGACCTAAAGGTAGGGAACGCATTTAAAGTAAAAGAATACGATATTAGATTAATATATAAGCTAAAAGGCGCTTGGATAGAAGATATATTGATTATTATATACTAATACTACTATATAGTTTGCTCTTATATCTAAGATCTTAAGCTCGAGCCGCTCTGAATTAGAAGAAAGATAGAAGCAATATTATAAAACGGATGGGGTTCTCCACTCCGTCCTACGCCCTTTCGTTATGAGGTATCTCCTTAATAAGATATAGTGCTCTAAAAATTAAGGGTAGCAGCAATGCTATCAACGAACTAACTATCACAGTATAGACGACCCTATGGGGGCTAATCCCTTCTAGGTATAGTCTACGGTGGGCTGAGTGCATCAGTGTTGCTCACTGATTGGACACTGAGCATCACTGAGTAATCAGGGAGCACCCAATGAGCACTCACTGAGCACTCACTGAGCGTCAGTCATTCTGCACGTGACTGATCTGAGCATGATCACTGATCTGAGCCCGTGCTGACATCTACTCAGTGAGCCTGAGCCTGAGCACCCTCATAAAAGCGGCGGCAGCTCAAATAGGAAAGCCCCACCCGCCAGGGAAAATCCGGTACGTATAGGTACAAATATCACTACTTGAACTTTCCCTTTTCCGAATAGCAATATCACCCACTCTTGTTTCTGCACCTCTTCTTTGGTTAGAACCTTCACTATGTCCTTAAGGAAGATAGCCAAAACCAGACCGGGAGGTTGTAATAGCCACGGTGGATCTATTTTCTAAGGTCAGCTTCGATGGGACTAGTAGGATACAAGTGGGAAGGAGGATGCGAGGGGACTTTCCAAAGAACCAAAAAAGCAATCAAAAAACAAAAACATACAACAGTGAGGATTCGCTGGTGGTCACCCACCCAACTACTAACTCACCGGCGTGTGGCTTGAGTACGGCTGAGCGGACGGGAAGCCCTATTTTCCACACCCTATGGTCGTATGTACTTGTGCAAACTATCAAGGGGCATATATAGCACAGGTTATACAACCGCGGGTAGAAACAGCCGGCTGGCGATAGAGAGAGGTCCCATGAGTTTCAAAGGAGACTCAATATAATTGAACAAAAACATACAAAAGCATACAACAGTGAGGATTCGCATGTAATCACCCACCCAACTACTAACTCACCGGCCTGTGGCTTATGTGCGGTCATTAGTTCGGTAGGTGTCGCCCGGGTGAGGGAGGATTGGGTGAGAGCCGCCTTATGGTCGCGCGACCGGGTTCTCATCAGTGACTAGTTAGAAGAGTGCAGATACTGGGACAAAGATTCCAGACTCCCTCATACGGAATTCAACCAAAATGTCATGGTTTGTGTTGTACCTACTTCGGGATCTGTGGCATATTGATAAAGATACACCTGAGGAACATACACGAAGTCGCCAGACAAAAACTGGGCTTCCACCAGAACAAGAAACTTTGCAAATAATCGATGATTTGTTTACTCCATTCTCGTTCAGCGATTCAATGAACTTTTATCTCCTAGTCCAAGTGAAAAAAAGAGTACGGGGTTTGTCCTCTAGGTAAAGTGGGCTTAATAGTAGGGATGATACACTATGAGTTAGGGCAAGGCTAGACCGAAAGAAGTGGATCACCTGGACACAACGCACTAGGATCATGAGCGATGAAGTGAGTCAGTCGTATATATGCTAGTTCTCACTGCACGTCTATTTTCTGTTAGAGATGATGTTGAGGAGTTTTTGAAGAAACGTGATAAGTTTATCCTTGGAGCTTGCATTAAAAATAGAATTCGGTGGCGGAAAGTTATTAGCCGTCCTTTGAGGTCGATTGTCGATAGGTTTCTTCAGGGCCTATCATGTTTTTGTTTTGGTTTTTAGTCTCAACGTTGTCTGGGTAACCTAAAGATAACTAACCTAAACAAGCGTCCTATGAAAGCCTAGGCAGACGAATTATACAAGGCAGCAAGGTTATTCCCTCATTCGGGCTTGGTAGTTTTTACACCGCAATTACACTATAAAGCCAACAAAAGAAACATCAAAGTGAAAATGTGCCAAAGAATGTGTTCCGCCAACACACACCCGCTCTCTAGAGCTCGCAAGACACAGGCCCTTATCTCGGTGATTTCGTGGCCGTGTGCTGTCGCCGCCGTTTTTACGAGTCGCGAGGGCCCTCACGCATTGATTCAGCTGGGTATAGTGAGTTTTCCCCTCCTACCATGATAGAAGACTATCTAACAATTTGAAGATCACTATTTCTAGTATTATACCTCTACTTATACTTTCCGGGTATCGCAAATTCGGAAGTCAATCTTATTCGCTGCTTGAAATCGCTTTTGATGGCTTGATCGCCTTACTCCTAGTCGGGGTATATATTTCCGGAGTGATCCTCCTTTCCACTCAACATATTAGCGAATGGGAATCTGTCTGGGACTATACGCTTGACCGTGGTCTTCCCCAGATTTACTCTAACCTCTCATGTATCATTCTCGGGTAAGTTGGTCTAGTAATTGAATATCACCGGGTCTTTCAAATATACTAATCCCCTTAGTCTGTTATATTTACGCACCTTTTCTCAAGGCTTCTTCCATAAAGGTGTCATGTCGATGCTCAAGGCCCGATCGACGGATGCTCCAATTACCAACATTCAGAATATGGCCGTGGGCGCGGCGGGCTTTGTCTCGACTGACAGTCCTCGGGGTTTGTACACTGATGATGTTGAGTCGCAACTGTTTCCACCCGAGAGCTCCTTAATCGTGATGGATAATCAGACTACTGGCATTGTGACAAAGGAGTGAAGCTTTTGGAATGCTAAGGACAAAGCTATATGGATGCAAGGGTCGATTTGTACGACCTTGCAAGGGTCCAGTCTTTGGCTCGATGTAGTTCTTCTAATGTTTCGTCAATGAGATTGAAGATAGCTATTATGTGATAGATAATCGCCAGGATTGCCAGGAAAGTACATTTCCCAAACCTTGGGGCTTTTAGTCAAGACTTTCTTTTCGCTTGAAAATGATCAGTAGCACCCTTATGATGAGCTTTTTATGGAAAAGCCTCCCCAATACCGCGTTCGGTCGTGTCTAGGACAGACATTCAATTCTTTAGCAATGGACTACATGGGGTTCTCAAGTTTACCCTATCTGGAAATAGTTTGGGGTAACCATATTTCTGAGAACGAAGTAAATTATAGATGGCCCTGGAGCTGTAAGACAGGCTAAGTGATTTGACCCCTATCACCCCTAGGTGAGAATTGGCACCCCGTTCTTACCTCTCCTACCCCAGTTCCCACCCAGACTTCTCACATCACACTCACCCTAGAGTGCTTGGGTGAGCTGTGAATTACCGTTCGAGTCACCACCCATCGGGCGACCCCACCTACCACTACCCTCGATGAACGAGGTTATAACAAAACATCTTGGAAGTATTATAAATACGAGCATATCTTACAAGTAGTTTTTAAATCGTATTCTGCAATTTGAATCTAGACTCTGATGTTTAACACAAGGGTATTGTTGGGTGCATGGATGCCTTAGCCCCACATGGGCCAGGCATATATAAATAGTAGATAGCTTCTCTCTCTCTCTCCCTTCTTCCCTTCTCTCTCCGTCCACTCTGCTCCCTACGGATCCTTACGCATTACTTCTTTATTGAAGCTTTACATCGTAGCATCCTCCATCAGGTATCCTTCGTTTTTCTTCATCTTCCTTCATCTTCCATGCCTTGATCAATTACGACACCGAATTATCCTAACCGTCATGTGTTATAGATGCCGACGCCCCCTAAGGGCGTGCGGTTTTGGTGCGGCGCCAGTATGAGGCTTGATTCAATGACTCGATGGTTGTGTTTCACGCTTTGGCTCGAGAGGAACAGCCCGTCGGGGACTCTGTTCCTCGGACCATTGCTGTCTCTGCGAAAGGCCTGTTCTTCGTCTCTGAGTGCAATCTCTTGCGCTCAATATCAACAATTAAATCAGTTACCAATTCTTTCTGGACTCATTTACATATCAAATTTATACAACTCTTGAATTTGACAAGATGTAGAAGTGAGTTTGGTTACTGGTTCTTCTCAAATATACAGTGTTCTTTAAAATATTTATTAGTCAAAACCGTGGGGAATTTATGATCTAAGCCAGGAACTGATACATGTATGATCTCCCTGAGATCTCAACCCAATGTAAGCTGGCTCTCATTTAGGCAAGATAAATTTGCTAGATAGGTGCAATTTTTAACCAAGCTTTCACCTCTCACTCTCATCAAGCTCATTTCACAATGATATCAGTTGTGTCTCAATTATCATTTTCATGAATCATACTTCGTCTTTAAATTATCTTACTTTCTTCACCGTATCCTCACCCGAAGCCATAGAACGTCATCCAACAGACGCTTTGTCTCTCAATGACCTGAGTAAAGATTTTTATTTTCGTCTTTGATACAACTTTAGATCTCGCTAACATTTACCCTTTCAACGTATAGCAAGCCGAGCGCGTGGTCGCTACTTATCTCGGGTTCGACACTATCGTGGATCTCCAGCGCGTTATGATCATATCATTCATATGGCCCTGCCTTGAGGCCATCCGATTGATAAGTGCTCTACCTGTCACCGTCATCTGATCTATCACCTGACGTCACCTGATCCGGCTGGACTGGTTGAACGAATGTAATGGAGAGGTCAACATCGTCCTCACGATCAAAATACAGAAGCGCGGTCGTCGCATAACTATCCAGCAATGGGAAATGCGAAACAAGACGCCATTCCCAAACCAAACACTTGAAATTACGAACAACCCGGCGCCAAATTGCGAGAGGATTAAGGGGTCGATGCGACTCTCCTTTGAGGATATCCACCTCAGGCCCTTTGGGCCAGATGACACTGATTTTATCATCAGTTATCGTGATATTGATAATTACACACGCAGAGTTTGATGTAAACAGGACAAGGAGGACGAAAAGCGCACATCTAGACACATCTTGTAAGTTGGACCGTACTCTAGTTGAATGCATCATCCTTATCTTCCCCTTAGCTTCCGGCCTCACACTACCCGAGACCAGCGACAGTCTCGTATTTCCAAGTACAATCGAGGCCAGCCAAGCACTGGAATCAGATGATTCAAAGAGACAATTCCTTTCAAATACCGAGATCTTACCAAGCCTAATCGATTCCTGGGAAGCAGTTTGTCACGTGGCAAGGAAGGTATCTTTCTCAATCAGAAGGCCTATTGTCCCCTTACTGGTGCCTTAGACATCAAACCCTCTGCAGGTAGATAGTTGGCAGATCCTGCCGTTCTGTAGCGATCAACTCAGACGCCCATCTCTTGTCAAGACTTACAAGGGCATTAAAACTTGAGTCCTTATTATAGTATCTACTACCGTCTGAATATAACATACCTCGCAGGTTCATCTGCAAGGAGTGTATAAAATATCCATATCATATTGTGGCAATGCAGGATGGTTGAATTAATTCCAAAGAAGAGAGAACAAGATAAAAGAAAAAAGTTGAAAGAAAACATAATTCAGTGCCAGTCTAAAACCTCATGCCGCCTGGATTGATATCAACCTCATTCAATCCCTTTTGCTGGATCCTGAATCGTCTCTAACTGGATGCAGCACTTGCATTTTTGATTGCTTGTTGCCTTTTCCATGACCAATTTAGGTAACGGATGCGGACGAAATAAAGAAATAACACAATGTTCGAGTAGTAAGACGCGGAGTTGCGTTGAGACCGGCACTCGTCTATATCGCAGTATTTACGACAGATGACGTATTCATATACAAACGGACATAAGCCTAGGAAGATCATGTAGCTAGAAAGTACAATATGAGTGATCTATAATGTAAATTAGAGTTCGGAGGCTCGTACATAAAGTTATACTTCGAATCAAAGAAGCGAATCCTTTTTAGAAAGCGTTCTAGCCATGGGATTTCATGATCATCGGCTAGCCGTGTTTGTTGGGCCGATGCCAAGTCCATCGTGAATCTTAGCAAAGCACGCAGACTAGGCAAGGGTAGGAAAGATACTGAAATTGAGGGTGTGAGCGGAGTGTGAGGAAAAGAAGTCAAACTTTTGGAAGGGGAATTAAAAAGTACTTATAGCGTGCTAGTGATGTGGGGGCTACTTACCTTTACCCATAGGGCTGTGCTAAGAATCTCATGTTATGTCGATCAGTCCTACCGCCTACATTGCTTTTTTTTTTTTCTGCCAGGTTACGCGCTTCCTACGGCGACGATAGCGTTTTGAAGAGAGACACAGACAACAGATTATTTCAAGATCCAGTTACGAGAACAAAGGTTCTGCACGGGTGGATGCTGCCCTTTGGGCCGCCAAAATTGCGTATTATCACTCCTAATTTCTGCGTCGAGGAATATCAAGGAAGCCATCCCCTAAAATTTCACTATGCCAACTCAGCATCTTTTATTCTCGCTGACTCATTGGTACAGATACTAAATGTGAGTTTATAGAGCCATATTTATCCACTCATTCGTGCTACTCCTTCACCGTACCGCCTTTACTGCTCGATAGTACAACCTGAGGAGCGCGCGTGCTCCGAATTATCATCGCCTCATCCTAATCTACATCATCATTAGCATGGCGGTTCCCTACACCAATGTAGTTGGTACTGAAGCATCTATAATCGACACAGCCCGCTGATGTTGCAAACATTGAGATGACAGCATGTCCCTTGCGTGACAGGAAAATGGAGTTATAATTTACCAGCCTAGCGGTTTCAAGGTCGCACGCCATCAGGACAGCCTAACAATAGCAGGGGCAGTTAGATCACAGTAAACCTTGTCAAAGTTTCAAGTGGGTTCTCAAGAAGTGGAACATTCCACATGTTTGTGCCGACATACATATCTCTATATATATTTTTCTGATAGGCTGAATTCGACAAGGTGACTGCTGCTTAATGCGACCCAACAGGGATAGGAGTTTATCTATATCAAGCCCCTTCTCGGATAGATACTCAAAGGTAGGCTAGAGGAGCCATTCCCGTGTCTCAAATAGGTGTAGTACGTCTCTGCTAGGACATAAAATTACACTCCCACCTAATGGTAGAGCAGATAAGAAGCAATCGTACTCTTTTGCTCAGGTCTGGATCGAAGGAAGGGGCGGCTTCAACCACATCCACTCCATCACCCCACGCCCTCTATTTGAAATATGTTGGACTGGATTTGCTTAAACCGAAATACTTGCACCTTAAAGAGACCAATTCCCCGATGACCTAGAACTCTTCGAGTAACCCTAGACTCAGATAACGAACCGATGAACAACTAGATATATTTCCTTAATTTCGCGCAAGACGTTGGTTTTGAACTTAATTTTGCTAACAAAGGGACTAAATGGGGCTGTTAAGACGAAATCCACATCTGTAATGCTACCTTAATTATTGAGAAAATACCCGAAGTAGCTGGGCTGAGAGAATGCTAGCCTGAAACTGTAGGGGAGACTTTTGGTAACTTGGCTAGCGTTCTAGCCTTCATAAATTGTATCCGGCCCCTCTTGGCACGTAACAGAAATCGTGATGACCCAAAGCTTTTTGCTTTAGCGCTAAGACAGTTTAGCTGCAGTTTAGATATAAGCAGGATTTTTAGCCACTTGGTGTATGAATAGAGGTGCGGTGGCATTAGAGAAGTGATATTGGGGGAAACGGTACCCACTCAAAAAGGTAACTGTCCTAAATATGAAAGTGAACTACGTAGTAAATCGAGTGTAACTCTAAAGTGCGGTAGAAAAGTCTATTCCTCACATATTATTATGCAGTAGATTCACCCTGCCCAACCACAAGATACTTCCGGTGGCTCATATCTCGGTGATGCCGTCAATATGGGCGTGCACTGAATGGCTCGACGTTCCTCATACTGCAAAGCCGACATGATCTAGTTACATTGGTTGTCCTCACTCCCATAACGGTACCAGTCTGGCCATTCTCCTATAACAAAGTGCCTAATCCGGTACAAAGTAGCAAAATTCCAAATAACACGGTCCCACATATTTGAGCCTTGCATCTACATAATGCAGCGCGCCGTACCTTAGCCCTATACCCCTGTTTGCTCTAAGTCCATTAAGCTCCAAAACTCAATGATGCCCAATGAACTTACCAGGTGCTCGGGCGTTGTCTCTACGCGGTGCTCATAAGAGGAAGCGGTCAACACAAGACGATACTACGCCTACATTCCCGATGAAAGAGGCTTCAGATAGCTTTTATGTTGAACTTAGGCGCTGTGACACAAACAAGGGGTTGCTTTTATTTATTTATTTTATCTCTGCTGAACCGTATTATCCGATGATCCTTATATATAATTTTGGGCACCCTAGCCCGAACCCAGATGATGCTTACGACGACTCTCAATTAAGTATGCCGATCATGGCTGATCTTATTAGACTTCGTCCACTCACACTACACTATGCCTACTTTGTTCTTACCCCTACCATCTGCAGTATCATATTCTACACGGCTCCGACGCAGATCCATAGTCTCCACTATGTTGACGCTTTGTTCATGTGTTTCAGCGCCATGACGGGGACTGGGCTGAACGTGGTACGTCTGCACAATTAATCGTATGAAACCCGGGATTGATGGCTCACTTTTTCCGAAGGTGGACCTGTCTACGTTGGGTTCTCTACAGCAGGGTATCCTTTTTGCCCTTCTTATTCTTGGCCATGCTTTTCCAATTTTCGCTTTCATCTCCTTATTACGTGCCATATCGTTCCGAATTGCTCTGAACGATGCCCCAGCGGAGGAAAAGGGTGACCAAACGGTGTTCCAAATGCCGATATTGAAACTTGAGGAACAAATAGGCGGTTACAAGGAGCATTCCTTGCCTGCCAAATTAATAGACAAGGCAACCGTCAGGATGGCAGTGAGAGAAGTTCAAGCAGATATAGAATTATGCAATGGTCACGAACTTTCTGCTGCCACGGACCCGCGACATTCTGGCGAAACCCAGCGAGGTTCTTCCCTCGGGATGAATAACAAAAATAAAGACATCGGAAATTGGAAGGCACGCAGTCGAAGCCTAATTTCTTGGTTCAAGGGCGTGGTGCACCGATTAGCCAACCATCTGTCTTGCAGAGATTCAATCTGCTGCAATGCACCAGGTGGCATAAGGTATATGGCACTTTGTTTCATAACAGGGCTTATGATGTTCTATTTTATCGGCTTCCTCATTCTTGGTATCATGAGCATTGGCCTATGGTCAAAGTTCGTCCGCCCAGATATTCCACGGGAGGATAAAGCTTCCCCTTTTTGGGCAGGTGCTTTTCTTGCTACGTCTGCGTTTTGCAACAACGGGATGTCCCTCATCGACACCAATATGGGCCCTTACCAAAGAGAGTGGGTAATTCTTTCATTCCAAAACCTGTTTTTCAACGCGATTTATTGACACAGTCCCCAGGCCCTTTCCCCTTCTTGTCTGCGGCTTTCTCATCCTTGCTGGAAACACTCTTTTCCCCTGCTTACTGCGGTTGTCCATCTGGGTGTTGAGAAAGATGTTGCCAAACAATCAAACTTGGCAGTTGTGGCGACGAACTTTAGATTTTACTCTCTCTCAACCCCATAAGGTCTGCGCTTACTTGTACCCGACCTGGCATACATGGTTTGTGTTGGGCACAATCATTTTCTTTAATGCCCTCATGTGGGGTGCTTTCGAGCTTTCTGCCATTCATAATGAGGAGATTGGGTCTCTTCCGATCAACTTCCGAGTACTAGATGGGCATTTCCAAGCTTTAGGTAGGTCCCTCACCATTCACTGTTGGATAGAGCTGACACAGAAGGAAGCCGTTCGAGGTGGTGGTTTCTCTGTTGTCGCATTCGATCGCTTGCCACAGGCGTTGCTCATTCTGTATTGTTCGTGTCTCACTCTCCAAAAATGTAAATAGTGTGCTAACTGGATTTATTTTAGTATTTATGATGGTACGAACTCATATTTCGCTCGGCAACGGTATTAGTAACTAATCATGGAGGTTCTAGTATATTTCTGCTTTCCCTGTCTCGGCCGCCATTAGGTATGACTCTTTCCAGTGTTACTAATTAGGATTGCAGTCTGACATATTGTAGCAGCACAGAGGATGCGGATGACTGGCCCGCAAAACAGCCTCAGCAAGACCAACCTCACCCGCGCTTCTCGGGCTTTCCTCGCGGCCGCTTCGTGTACAAACAACTTAGTTTTCAATTCAGCCACGATATCTGGTGGCTCTCCCTTGCTATTCTCCTCATAACAATCGTCGAATCGGGTCACTTCACAGCTGAGCCATTGGCCTTTTCTACCTTCAAGATCATTTTCGAAGCTGTGTCTGCATACAGCTGCGTCGGTGTAACTATTGGTTATCCCGGCCAGAGCTACGCGTTTTGTGGTGCATGGCATACAGTTAGCAAGCTATTGCTTATGGCAGTTTCATTGCGAGGAAGACATCGTGGTCTGTCAGTCATTGTGAATGCCGATACTCTTCAACCACGGGGTATCAATGGAACAGAGAAGACACAACCAGAGAAGGATAGGTTTGTAAATATCGTTTGATTGTGTCTAAAAAATAATCACTCGCTTTCACAAAATACTGCTCTTTACTCTTGTTTTGATCAAAACAAGAACGCATATATAGTTTTCATTATCCGCACAAAATTATGATCCCGAAATAAAGTGTTATGCGAAGTGAGCAAGGGGTGTATTAGCACCTGTTAATAATAGGATGCTAACTTCCAAACATTCAGATACTACGGCCTGGCATTAACTACATATGTACGCATATGCTAACTAACTATAACGGTAAATACTACTACTCAATTTGTAATAGTGTTGACAAAACTATAAAACTTAGGCCTTATAGTTAAGAACGGAACAAATCTTTACATAACGAGGTTCGTTATATGTATTTATCTTTGGATTGTCTGCATGAAATATTCTACCTGAGTATTTAGTGTTTGGCAGACGTATGTCTGACCCTGAAACCCTTTGAAACCCTCAATAGAATTTGGTATTCGGAGGAAGTCCCTCGGCCTGGTCATCTCTCTAGATTGGTCAGTTAGCACGGCTAAATTCTGCTGACATGCAGCAACGGCGCCCTTACCAGCGCATCGCCAAATCCCTTCACGAGCTCAATTTCGTAGTCAGAGAGCGCGAGCTGTTCAGGCTCAGGATCGGTAAAGGTCGTTGCAACATCAAAGTCAATCCAGACCAGTCTATCTGGGTTTCCACGAACAAGGAGTATGTTTTTTGGGTAGATGTCTTGGTGGTGAACGCCCGCTTTGTGTATCTCCTTCATGCCCTCAATTGCCTGGGGAAAGAGCACGTCCGAGTAATTCACGCAATTCAAACTCTCTGCATTTGGGAGGTATTCTAGTAACATCCCTCTCGGTTGGAACTTGTCATGGGCGAAATGTTGGAAAGTCGGATAGAATAGAGCTGGATCCACTCTATCGATGTAGCCGTGAAATTTTGGAACGACGCGGCGCTCACAAACACCGGACGTAACGAGCTTCTCGTATGCATTGAATTCGCAGCGAAATCGGTTCAGATCACGGCCATTCTCGGCATACCCAGGGTCGCCGTTGTCGTGAAAAAGCTTCAATATGTACTTTTGCCCATCCACTTCTACCTCAAATATTGAAGATGCCTCAGAGCTCGTAATATGCCGAGTGATATTGATCATGGAGGGATCAATTTCCCTTAAGGGGCCGCTTTTTGGATGCATTGTTGTCCTGTTGGAGATGATGCTTTCACTAAGGAGTTTAGGACAGGTTAGGCAACAATCACAAACATGGCTCCCTTTTGGAATAATAGCCGCATTACATAAGATTCATAAAGACGGTGTGTCTAGGTCTATTTTAGGTATCCTTGCATGTGCAACTACTAGTACAGAGTAGTTACATTGCAAAGAAAGAAGGCAAAAACATTCAGCAGTAATAATTCGCTGATGATCATGAATACTTTCAACAACAGGGTGATTTTAAATCTCTTTTGCAATCAGATAGCCCAACATTTTACTTCTGGGTATAGGAAAACGAAAGTTAGTGAACAATATTGGTTGGAGTCCCTGCCTCAGACAGCAACAGCTGACCAGATGCCAGTGTTTAGTTGCCCTGTTCCTCATTGTTCTTTTCATCAAAACAAATACACAAGGCAGCTATCAGCGCTGCATCAACGCCAGGTGCTACAACAACGGCGTAGGTCTGCTGGCCAAACAAAAGATCGCGGCCGCTAAGCAGTTTCCGGTCAATGCGAGCCACTGTTTGGCCGCTCTTGTCGTCGACAATATCGGCAGTATGATCGAACCAGCCCCCTTTGATTTTGAGAGCCACTGCCTTGCCCTTACTATCAGTGAAACTGGCGGTGGCCTTGGAACCGACCACTAGTGGAGTTAGTAATGTGTATAACGTGCGGAGTCTGTCTACTTTGCTTAATGGTCTTGGATCGTAAAAAGGGATACTTACATGTGAGACCACTCTTGACCTCACAAATCTTCTTGCGGTGGGTGTCTTCGATTGCATAGGTCGAACGGATATGTAGAAGCTCCTTCACAATATCAAACAAGTGCTTGCCATGGGCGTCCTCGACCTTCTTGCGACCAGAAAGCGACACCCAGGCTCCTTGCACTTTCAGAAATGGCTGTCCATCGGCCAATTTGATTTCGAAGCTATCCCCAGAGACGGAGAGCACCTTTTCTTTCAGGACTATTGTCTGCGGCTCCTTCGCGATATATTGTTCGAATAAGGCGATAGGCTCGGCGACAGGGTCGAGATTGTGGCGTCCCAGGATACCCATGGTGATAGGTGGATTCAATGAGGCTTTCCGAAGGATAAAGACTGGAAATCAACCAGAGGAACGCGGGGTCAGGCTCGCGCCGATCATCGGTTTACCGATATCATCACGTGATCCCCACTTGCAAAATCACCGCGGTATGTAGCCTCATTCAGGTGTTAGTATTATTTCGGATATGTTTTTATATGTTGTTATCCAATCAAGGACGCAATTAAGATACGAAAAGGATTTGTGGCATGAATTTATGCAGAGAGAAGAATATTCTTAGAGGCTGAAAGTGCATCGAGGATGATGGTGGGGGTGGAGAAGCAGATCCTGGCGAACGGACCTCTCACAGCCCAGCCACCCCAGCCACCCCAGCCACTCCAACTGTCCATCGATCTGAATATCAACGACATCATAGCCCACTCCGAGAGCGATCGTGAAGACGAAGACCCCTCCACAAATTAACCCTGAAACCGATGTACCCCTAGTCAACGAGGGCGATTTTGATCCGCACGTCGATTCGATTAACTAGGATTAAACCCCACCGGACATCTCTTTCGACAAGCTACAGAAGGTCAAGAAGCTGTTTACCCCACACTTGATCCTCGCCCTCAAAAACCAAGGAAGAATGTTGATATCTTCAACTGGCTTCTGGCGGTGCGCTATGGCCGAATGCCACGGCAGACCCAACCACTGCAACGAAATAATCCGGAATATTGTCGACTTGTCTTGTCAACGGAAATCTTGATATATCGGCCGCTTGGCCTCGAGCTCGGTGCTCTGTCTGGTCTTCTATGTGACATCTTAACCTAAGCTGACTCGATCCAAGAAGCAGTGAAGATATGTGGTTCCTTTCTTACGATTTGCGAAGACCATGTCTATACCGCCCATCAATCTCCGAAAGATTATTTGACTGAGCATGCAGCTGCCACTCTTTTCTCGAGCGGATTTACGGGTGTTCACTGCAGCATTTCCTCGCGCTCGCTAGACATCATGTTTATGACTCTAAAGCGCGATATCTATCTACTCTCTTTAACTTAATCCCCATGCGATGCTCGGGCATCCATTCCAACTCCTCATCCTCCATCCGCCACACCTGCAACACAACCACAACAACATTGACTACTGCGTCGCCGTTTGCTCCTGAGACATATCCCACATTTGCAAAAACGGATCCCAAGTCTCGAGGGTACTTGGAAGTGAGAAGGTGAGGACCTCTTCGACGACCGTTTTGTTTCAAATTATCTCCTGGGCGGAGTCAAGGGTGCTTAACAATGCATTTAGTTCATCCATCGATAGCACCTGCTTCTCTATCCGCAAATATTCAACTCGTGCTTTCCAACCCCCGAGAACCCCCATATCTAAGGGCCAGTACAAATGCGATCAGCTCCACAAGAGCCTATACCCCATTGCGCCCCTCAAACTTGGCTTCAAAAGCATTCACAATCTCCTCAAATGCAGCGGCCACTTCATGTGGTCGCGAAAGGAAGGGACTGTGACCGGATCCTTCGAGAGTACGAACCACCCATTTCCCCTGGCCACCTGCACCTTCCACCATGGCGTCCTGCAGTTTGATCGGAATGGCGACATCATCTGTGCACCTAATATAGCCCAATCTGCCAGTATAGGAGTCATCCTGCCAGCCTTGAGGGGGCACAATCCCCATATTGGTAGCTATGCTCTGAGGACGAATCTGCGGTAGCGCCCAATCAACTAGATCAGCCGGCACATCCGGTGGAAAGAACATGCTTCTGGGGTCCTTTGGCTGGAAAAGACCTTCACTCGGCACGTCCCACGCCACGTCGGGCAAACCGCCAAGATCGCGAATCGCCGCGCCTACGTCCATGTCCCCAGGAAGGACAAACGCACATAGGGCGATCATCCCGAGCACGCCTTTATCCGAAAGCCCCTTGATGGCAGCACTTGCAATCGGACCGCCGTAGGAATGCGCTAGGACAACGGCGCGCTTGCCCATAGATGTCTGCGATTCCACGACAGACCGCAGATGGTCCACGTCGTCGAACTTTGTCGTACCAGGTACCCCACTAACACAAGGTAAGTCCACGACCTCTACGGGGTACCCGAGAGCCTCAAGTGCGGGGATTTGGAATTTCCAGCACCACGAGCCATGCCATGCCCCATGCACGAGAAGAATAGTGGGTTTGGTAATTGATGACATGGGAGTGACCGTAGATAAACAGAGAGAGAGAGAGAGAGAGAGAGAGAGAGAGAGAGAGAGAGAGAGCAATGTATAATGGGAGGCTAATCGGAGACCAGAAGAAAAAGTGTTGGCGGTGATCGTGTTGAGGGGTATTTTTTAGACTAACCTGATGCGTACGAGCCGAGAAACGAGTGCCGAGTGTAAGAAAATAGGGCAATGTCTTTTCGACCCTCCACTGTACATTCTAGGCTGATGTGTAACTCAATGCTATGACAATCTAGTCCTGCGGTGTACTTTGACCACTGGCTCCTCAATTAAGCCTCCCGGACTTCCATGGAAAACATATACACAATTCAAGGCTGCAATAATAGTCGCCCTGTCCGGTTCGAATGAAAAGTAAGCGGAAGATGGGGGCGAGAAAGAGGCCAAATATATGCGGTGGTTGTCTTTCTCGGAGAACGGCTTATAGTCCATCATAGTGCGAAGAAAAGGTAAATATATTTCAAAAACGCCTGTACAAACTATTATTTCGTATCCTCGTGAACGTCTAGGTGAGATTCCTCCAAGACCAAGCCTCATTTCTGAATCGCCTCTTCCATAGCCCTCAAAAAGCAAGCTTTATCAATAGGCCGGCCATTCTTCTGACTTCCTTTCCACGCCCGTCGCTGATTGATCTTCCAGTGAGAATCACTCTTGTGTGTCACCTTTTTCTTCTCATCGCCGATGTCCAGCTTCATAATCAACAACCGCAGCGCCCAGTTCTCTATACAACCGGCTTGCTTCTCAGTTTCCATAAGGAGGCGTAGGAGTTCAGTGTGCAATTTCCTCAAAACGGCTTTAGTCTCCGTGAAAGCTCCCCGAGCAACGATCTCCTCCAGTATGTACTGCTTCATCTCGAGCGTCATGGTTTCGCCTTTTTGAGAACCCTTGAACACGCTTGACAACGTTGTGTTGGAGAAGCCGGGTGATTGCATCGATAGGATGACTGGGAAGGATAGCTTTCCTTCGTCGAGATCGTCACAAAAGCCCTTGTTCTTTGTGTACTACAGCAACGTGTTAGCCCGGATTCGCGGTGCCGACCAGAATATGGGGGATGGCTTACATCTTCGCTTTGGAGGTTCTGATAGTCATCCCGGATCTGGAAGTGTCTTCCCAGCAAGGTAGCGAACTGACTTATATCAAGGTCACTGGAATATGTTAGCCTAGATCTTGACTTGCTGTGAGATGAGAGTTGAAATACCTATTCATCGTGGCCTCTGATCTCATGAGACGGCTGATGAGACGGAATAGACCTCCAGTCTCTGTGAAATGATCAGTAAGTTGGTTTATAGAGATGGACATGCCAATACGTACTGCCGTCAACCATGCTGATATACTGCGCAGGGGTTGGGACATGGGTATGGTAGCTCCAGTGGAGATCTCGTCCCTGTCCGAGCTGGAGGTTACGCATTTCATCTATTCCTATCAGTCCAAAAATCCTCGCAAGTATGGTTTTCGGGTAGGGTACCTGTGTAAACTGAGACCGCAGATGGTGAAAGCATCTGGATAAGACACAATGCTTCATTCATCAGATATGTCGCTGTATTGATGGTTTGGCCAACGCCGAATATCTGATGTGCGACTGGCTTTCCGCGTCTCAGGACACTTCCGTCCTGGATGTCATCAAGTCTATTTGTAGGTCAGTGAGGAGAAGAAATTTCAGGTTAAGTCGGGCTCAGTTACAGTAATGATGAGTTGTGCAGGAAGTTGACTGCACCCTCTATGATCAAGAGTGACTTCATCGGCACCTTGTACCATGAGTTCAGAGCTGCTATCAATGTCTGCCTCACATTCTTAGAAGGTAGGGAGTTGATATATGTGTAGGGATTCAACACGGGCTGTTGATTTCTAGTTAGCACTTCGGTCTCCACGCCTTCAACAACCTCTTTGTAGAAACTTGCCTCGTCAACTGTGGGATACCCAGGAGAGTACTTAGCCAGCACATCACTCTCTATATCTGCTTTTTAGATATTGTCAGTCCAGTTTGTTCAGAATAAGTATCCCGGCTGGGACATGGGTTCATACGTACTTGAAGTCGTATCTTTGATCGCACTCTGCGGGGTGTCTTTGGCCTCCTGTTTGGAGTTACGAAGCTGTTCTGGTATCGTCAAAACTTGCACAGCGTCGCTGCCATACTTTTCAACGTGATCTTTATAAGGATTCCGGTCGATTTTGAAGTAACGAGGAGTACAAAGACTCCAAACCCAGTTTCCAGCCATGGAGTGCTCAAGCAGCTTCAGCCACCTGAGAACTGAATCGGACGGGTTGGACGTTGCCTCGTATTGTTCTTTCAACAAAACAAATCGCTCTTCGTGTGCTCGGATCTCGGCCTGGACGACTGCCTTTGCCGCGCAGTGCGTCAACCCCTGTGTAACCGCAACAATATGTACGGCATTGATCAATGGCACTTCCCCATTGTTTTTGAGGTGGGATGCATATTCCTTCTCCCAAGAGAACAAATCGTTCACTAAGCATAATTCCGCATATGCGGCGTAGCTCATAGGATCGGAGATCTTTTCTTCCTCCGGGGTGAGGGTGATGTCTGAGCCCCATCGGAAATTATACAGAGTCCAGCTTTGAAATGATCAGATTGAGTTCTCGAAATAGGGATGAGCTGACATACTCTGCGGCTGCATCAACGATTCGGAATGCCAGGTAATCGTCTAGACAAGGGAATTCAAGACTTCTCACATCCTGTACTGACGTAGTGAATGTTTGCCAGGCTTTAAGGAAAAATTCACCGAACGCGGGATCCAGACGCAGGTACTCGGCCGCGATCTTGGCCTGGACCTCGGCTTTGCGCTGTGCTCTGGGTGAAACTCTGGTCGATACAGAGGTCATACCGCTCTGGTTAATAGCTTGATGAAGCATTTCGTTTTCCAGCGACATCTAAATAGCATATTAGTTTCTTGATCTTCACAAATGAGAAGATTTCTGGCTATCATACCGCTTCTTGGTCCGCAGCATTATCGGTTTCATCTATGTCTCGGTGTTAATTGTGGTAAATGGACTAGTGACATATATCCCCACGTACCATCATGAAGGAAGGCGTATTCCACAGTGTACGCGATAAGGGCAAATCTTTCAGGGAGACAGTTCGGTGCACATAGCGATGTAAAATTACCAGCATGTGCATTCACATTGCCGAACTTCGACCCAACGGCATCAATTCCATTGAGGTCGATGTGGCACTGGACTGAGACATGATCGGCGATTATCGTTTGCTTGTGAATATATGGGTTAAAGAGAGAGGAATATGCAGGATTGTTGGCGTAGATTTCGGGATCAATGGCCTCTGCATACTCATCGGCTATATCTTTTCCCATGGTCATATTTGTAATGGTTGCCTTTGTGGGATTGAAACAATACGAGGTTGTACAACGTACATTTATCGGAGGGGAACTGGGTATAAATAATTGAATTGGAAAACTGAATTGAAAACTTGAATTGGAGAAACTAGACCGTACTGAGACAGCTACGCTAGTTTAGACCAAGTAGTATAGACTTCCTGTTCCGATGCCGGTTTCCTCGTTTTCCTCGTTTTCCTCGTTTCTACCCGTACGAATATACAAACATTGGAACTACAACGCAAGGAACCTTGAGACTATGGCTACTACCTTGCATCCGACGTTATACAACCAATGACAGTAATTGGCCGCGCATTAACAATATCTAAAGTGAGACAATATGTTCTCCACCACTACCGGTTAATCTAAAACACGTTTTCATCCTTCCATGCATCTTGGAAGCTCCTATCTTGTACTCCGTACTACAATATGTACTCCGTATCGGTCACTAGATGGTCCCACATAAATTCCAAGGTTTGACGGTCGATCATATACCTAGTCGGTTTGCTCTTGCCTCTTTGAGTGGAATCTGAAGGATTCAAAGGACAACACATCCTGTTATTAAATCAAAGTTAATGCCAAGTTAGAATATCCACCAGTGTTTGCCATGTGTGCTGCGGGAAAAAATAAAAACCCGAAATTTAGTTCATACAACATACGGAGTAGATAGGAGGGGGAGACCCGGAGCTATGGAGCCAGCCCGTTACATTTTAGTTGCATCCCGTTCGCGCAAACGGGCTGCGCCAGTAAAAGACAAGCGCGCTCGTGCATCACGGAGTATTATCCCCAGTTATCTAGCCTAGTTACAACCGGTATGCTTCGGAGGGACCTTTGTAAAAACAGCTGATTTGGTCCGCGCTTGTATGTTCTAATTTGGTGAGTTGCAGCCGGGCGGCAGATGTGGATATGGTGGACATGGTGGATATGGTGGAGATGAACGGAACAGCCTAGATGTATTGAGTACGGAGTAGCGCATATGTACACATGCAACTATCCAGGATCTTCATTTGTCCTGCCTATCTTAGGTTGTCGCCGCTTTTACAAAAATTTCCCGAAGTCCTGGACGATTATGGGGTACTTGATTTTCACTTTGTAGATGTCAGAATGGCCCCAAAAAGCAAACGGATCACGTGCTATAATTGACATGGACTATACCCAGGACGGATTAGCCCCTCTATATATCAATGTCGTACATTATTAGAGACATGTACTCCGTACATAAGTGTCATTCTTGTTTTCCTGGTTTTCGGGACCTCCGAGCTAAGACCTAAAAGCTATAGAGTCCTAGTTTGTCTAGAAATGAAGCGCAGCAGTACTTTGTTTCTTCATTCTTGCCCCTTGGTTCCCTGCAGGAATGAACCATGTCTATTGTTGGAAGGTCGAAGAACCTCACCGTGCTATATTATGAGACGGCAATTCCTGATCTGGAGTGACGCAACTTGACTATTTGGAGTTGAATCATCTACGCCTCTTACTGCCTCGGTTGAAAAATACAGTTTTTTTATATTAATTTCGCGTTTGTATGAGATGGATCTAGTCAGCCAGCGCCTAGTCTGTCTATCTGATCATGGCTAAACATCTCTTTCCTGCATATTCAAGTTCCACTCAGGCTATTTCGCTGTGGACAGTCGACGAGCCAGACTTTGAATCATCGTTGATATCCACCGGGATCTTATGATGCTCACCACTTCCCACCGGAGCATCTGGGCCGTCGAATATAACGGCGATTTGCTCCAGTGAGTAGCCTTTGGTTTCGGGGTAGAAAAGGTATGCCGTAACACCGAATATCGTCAGCACAACAATGAACACAATATAATATTTCCATGCAATAGCACTCAATGCAATGGGGTTGACGAATGTGTTGAAAAACATGCCAACAATCGTGGAGACCCATGTGACGGTCAGACCGCGGGATCGGAGGCGGAAGGGCCAGATTTCGCAGGGGTATGAGGTGAGGAAGGGGGTTCTAGCAACAGATGGATGGGGTTGATCAGCAACTGTGAATATGGAGAGGGGAGTAGTAGTAATAGGCAGGGAAAACTCACAGAGCGATACAATATCCTGCGAAGAAAATGAAAAGGAACGGGATGACGGCAGCACCGGTTGCAGTATCGCCCGTCGTCGCGAAGGACCCCGAAAGAGCTGTCACAAGCACATAACTCACAAACATAGTCACGGCCGAGACCATGAAAAGTGGACGGCGTCCCAGCCGATCAATCAAAAAGGCTCCAAGTGCAGCAAACACTAGATCCCACATCTGGAGGCAAGCGGAAATGAGGGTCTGGTCTCGAACATTTGTGATACCAACAGATGTCAGGATTAGGGCCAGGTAGTATGAAATCACACCATTGCCAACCCACTGGGCAAACATTCCCAAGCTGATAGAAATCATCAACCGACGACGGTTACCTGGTGTCTTGACCATCTCTGCGTAGGAACCGTTATTACTTGCCTCCCTCTCTGCCCGAATGGTGTGAAGAATCCCCTGGAATTCGTAGTTGACCAAAGGCGTGGAAGCATCACCCGCAGCATGGTATTTTGTAAGTATTTCACGTGCTTCCTCCTCCCGGTCAACCGAAACCAACCACCGAGGGCTCTCGGGGCAAAGAAAAGTCCAGGCAAAGCAATAAGTGGCACTAGCGCTTGCAAGAGTGATGGGAGTCGCCAGGACCAGCTAGATGAGTATGTCCGTGTAGCAAAGACCACCCAAGCCGCGACTGTTCCACCAACGTACCATCCCGACATGAAAAGAGAATTGAGGATCCCACGGTGGGCCGGGTAAGCAATTTCGTTGATTAGGAGGGGGACAGCGTTTCCAAACAGGGCAGAGGCAACTCCCAAGAATAAACGGGCCAGTAAGAATGCCGTGTCATTTGGTGCCGCTGCCTGGAGGACACTGCCGAGAATCAGGAAGATATATCCAATGTAAACTCCTCGCTTGCGTCCGTAGCGATTGGCAATCCAGGAAGCCGTTGGGTATCCAACACCACATCCAAGCCAGTAGATTGCATTGATCCATCCAAGCCAAGCACCAGCTGGATGGTCCATGAAATCTCTCCACTGGTCGAGGGCTTCAAGGCCATTCATTAAAGATCCGTCATACCCGTTGGCCGATGAGTATAACACCAAAGAAAGGATGATAAGGTTCAGACGTAAAAGATGCCCCTGCTTCCACCAAGGGATACCATCTGCTGGAAGGACAGTAGTCAGATGGTCAACTGGAACAGAGTTGCTAGGATTCTTTATGGGATTGGCCCCCATGGTGTAGACGGTTGAGATAGTTCCCGTGAAATGTAGAAGGCTTGTGGGCGAAATAAACCAAGGGGTTGTGTGAGCCTTTTATCAATCAAGGGCGATGACTCTTCCGCGATTTCTGAAGGTCGTATTCTCACGATCATGGGGTTTGTCAATTTCGTTTCAAGGCACTTCAGAAACTCCTAAACCATATTGGTTTAGAGATGGAAGGGTATTTCGACCAATCAATTGGATGAGTTTTCACCACAATCCTGTCTTTCACATCCCCGCTCATATGGTTCGACTGCATGAACCTCTCCAGCTGCAATTGCGGGATCAATTTTGTGGAGTACATGGAGAAAGAGGTCGGCCATTTGTGAGAAAAGGAGAAACGGAGAAACGGAGAAACGGAGAAACCCAGAAACCCACATGGTCGTTCAACATCAACCCAATCGGTCCGCAGTATGTCGATGTACACTCCGAGAATTCAGGAAAGTGATGCCGAAGGGGAAAAAATGGGTACTCGGTCATAGGCACTAGAGCCCAAAATACATAGGCAGCGTGCCCATTCCTCGATGTGGGAGATTTTAATCCTTTGCTTTCAAATACCGCTTAGACAAAATGCCGTATATCGACACTACGATCAGTGAGGCGGACGAATCGTTCGCGCGAATCGCGAAGGCTGACATCGAGGTGATTCTCAAACAACTCACCCAAGATGAAAAAGTCGCACTTTTGACAGGTGCGTATTAGCGTCCACAAACATGAGAGATCAAGCTGACCCTTTTTAATTCACAGGCGAGGACTTTTGGCATACCGTTCCCATACCCAGGCTAGGTATCCCCTCAATTCGAGTTTCAGACGGTCCCAACGGCGTACGCGGCACTCGCTTTTTCAGCAGCGTTCCCGCCGCATGCTTGCCATGCGGGACTGCAATCGGTGCAACATTTGATCGAGATCTCGCTGTTGAGATCGGACATGTGCTCGCCGCAGAAGCGAAGGCTAAAGGCGCACACGTTTTACTTGGTCCAACAATAAACATTGCGCGGGGTCCACTGGGAGGAAGAGGCTTCGAGTCGTACTCTGAAGACCCGATCCTGTCTGGTGTTCTCGCGGGTCATTACTGCAAGGGACTGCAAGAGAGGAATATCAGCGCAACTCTCAAGCACTTTGTTTGTAATGATCAAGAGCATGAGCGTATGGCTGTCAGCTCTATCGTAACTGATCGAGCGCTGAGGGAAATTTACTTGCTCCCGTTTCAGATTGCGATCACCCTTGGGAGTCCCGACGCAGTGATGACGGCGTACAACAAGGTGAATGGTGTACATGCGGCTGAGAACAAGAACTTGTTACAAGATATTCTCCGTGGAGAATGGGGCTGGGATGGATTGGTGATGAGTGACTGGTAACGATTCCTTTCTTCGTTTTTCAAATGGTGTCTTTTCAAGTATACTAACGGTGCTTTGTTTGGCTTCCAGGTTCGGAACATATAGCACCTCCGAAGCTGTGGTGGCGGGTCTAGATCTGGAGATGCCAGGCCCTCCAAGATGGCGCGGCGCTGCCTTGACACATGCCATCACATCCAACAAAGTCCCACTTGCTGCATTGAACGATCGGGTCAGAGCAGTTCTGAAGCTTGTGCAAAAGGCAAGCAAATCAGGCGTCCCTGAGCGGGCTCCAGAGACCCAGCTGGATCTACCCGAAGACCGAGCGCTGTTGAGGAAGATCGCGTCAGAAGCCATCGTACTTCTGAAGAACGATGGTGATATTCTCCCATTAGACAAAAACAAAAAGGTCGCAATCATTGGACCTAATGCCAAAATTGCAACCTATTGTGGAGGTGGCAGTGCGGCGTTAAACCCATACTATGCTATGACTCCCTTTGATGGCATCTCCGCTTCGGCTCTAGGTGATGTGGAGTTCGCACAGGGTATCTACGGTCATCAAATGCTGCCCCTTCTCGGCAAGTGCCTTCGTACCGAAGATGATCAGGTTGGATTCACTTTGAAAATTTTCAATGATACACCAATGCTAGCCACCAGAAAGCCTCTCGAACAACGGCACGAAACCGATTCGATGATCATTTTCATGGACTATAATCACCCGGATTTGCAAAAGACTTGGTATGCAGATGCAGAGGGATACTTTATCCCGGAAGAGTCCGGAACGTACGATTTCGGACTTACCGTCCATGGCACAGCAAAGCTATTCGTCGATGGTGAGCTTCTCATCAACAACGCCGAGATACAAAGACCAGGAACCAGCTTTTTCGGCAGTGGCACATTGGAGGAGACAGCAGCTTTGGAGTTAGAAGCTGGTCGGAAATACAAGATCCATGTGCAATGGGGATGTGGCAAGACCAGCACATTCAGAGTCCCTGGTGTCGTCGATTTCGGACACGGAGGGTTCCGCTTTGGGGCATGCAAACGTCTCTCGCCGCAAGATGGTATTGCTGAGGCTGTTAAATTGGCTTCAAATGTGGACCAGGTCATCCTGGTTGCCGGACTGAGCGCCGAATGGGAATCAGAGGGTGAAGACAGGTCACACATGGGCTTGCCGCCCGATACGGATGAGTTGATCTCGCGAGTGTTGGATGCGAATCCCAACACCGCTATTGTCATTCAAAGTGGCACTCCCGTCGCGATGCCTTGGGTCCACAAAGCGAAAAGCATTATCCACGCCTGGTACGGAGGAAATGAGACAGGCAATGGTATTGCTGATGTCGTATTTGGTGATGTAAATCCAGTAAGTATTCATGCATTCCCATCGCTCATGCAGAATAACGAGAACTGACAACCACGTGCTCTCTGGACAGTCTGCCAAGCTTCCTCTTACATTCCCTCGACGCCTGAAAGACAATCCCACCTTCTTCAATTATCGATCCGAGGGTGGCCGAGTTCTGTATGGAGAAGATGTCTATGTGGGATATCGATACTACGACGGGTTGGAAATTGATCCACTGTTCCCCTTTGGTCATGGACTTTCCTACACCACTTTCAAGCTCTCGGATCTGGAGCTGATCAGGGACTCAGACAGCCATCTGAAAATAAAGTGTAAGATGCAAAACACGGGGTCGAGAACCGGTGCAGAGGTTCTCCAAGTATATGTGGCTCCTGTTTCTCCGCCTATCAAGCGCCCTGTCAAGGAACTCAAGGAGTTCCGCAAGTATTTGCTAGAACCATCCTCGGAAGAAGTCATAACGATTCCGCTGGATCTGATTCGTGCAACAAGCTTCTGGGATGAGAAGAGTGGGAGTTGGTGCAGTCACAGTGGGGCCTACAAAGTCATGGTTGGAACGAGCAGTCGCGGAGACTTCTTAGAAAGCTCTTTGGATCTGAACGAAACAGTGTTCTGGTCTGGGAGTTGGGAGGAGATAACCAATTGATAATCGGATATTGCGCTATGAAATCATTTCCTCGACACTTGTCAAGAGGAATCGTTTATTTTCCTAACGGCGGTCATATCTGAATGCGATCTGTATCGACCCATGTTTGTAGATGCATGGTGTTCATACTTTCACTGCTGTCGAGTCGGGACAGGATTTCAGTGGACAGTTGAACATATTCCGCCGCCTGTTTTGATATGGGATCATCAGGGTGAAATGGACACGCCAGAAGACTTGTCACGATATCCCGTACTTTGTTGGCTATGTGTAAACCATTCGCCTCCAGACTCAACGGTGGAAAGTTGAATAGAATGAAAAACAACTGACGGCAAAGCTTTTGCCTCTCCAACCAAAGGCTTTTTTGATCCAAAGCTATGGGTTCTTCAGCGATATTCGTTGCTGAAGACTGAGCCTGTTGGTGAGACTGCGCGGCTTCCAATTGATCCAAGATGAGACTCTGCAGCCAAAGATGGGTGACGTGTAAATTTGCTCGTAGTGACGAGAGTTGCAATGGAATGACTTTTGTATTCTTGTCAGCGGCATCCTCGTTGGAATTTTCCGTGGCAGACTCCCACGGTTGGAGAAACGACGGAATATCGATAAGTAGATTCTGGAGACAATTCAGGCGCTCTTGGAAGTACAAGACTTGGGCTCGAGGGTCCTTGGCTCTCATACACGCGCACAGATCATCTGAAGCTGTGCTTAGATGGGTACTTCTGATTGCAGCCCAAAACACGCGCGAGTGACAAATAAAGCCTGACACTAAGCATGGCTCGTTATTGGCATTTGCAAGCACCTCATGTTCGAAGATAAATTCATCATCCACTTCGAGAGGCATAATATCTCCTGGATTGATGGAATTGAGCAAAACTGGATCCAGATAAGTGAGTCGCTCGCCGAGTAGGTTTTGCAGATGAGCGTGGCTAGAGGATACACAACCGTGTTAACTTCACGAAGACAAAAGCCTTTTTTAGAGATCTGATCATGCTCACACGAAACAATAAAAAATAAGCCAGAACCCTTTTTTGCGTAGTTGAGTCTCGATGCAATTGAGGCCCTCGTAATCAGAGATCCGATGAAGATTCAGAAGACGTGCAATTTGCATCGCTTCTACGCTGAGCATACGGGCCCAGTTGTGATCCCCAAGCTGTAGGTAAGCCGCGAAAAAGAGATACGGAACGGCAAATTTCTGAAAATTGAGCTCGTCGAAATACGAGGATGTTCTCAGCCCCATTACTTTCTGGTAACAGAAGTGAATGAACTCCTTGCGCGATGAGAACCTCAAGGAGTACGATTCTGATTGGTAGGCCTGGAATCTGCTTCTCATGGTGGCCACTACCAACGCGGCGATGGATAGAACGAGCGCAAGAAATCCATCATCCTTACGGTCTTGATCCTCCTGAAGTGCTTTCCGGAATGACGGACGGTGAACAATTGGAACCATTGGGTAGATGTAATCCAGATAGTCTTGCATAATCGCTTTAAATAGACCTCGATCGCAGAGACCATCAGTCCTATATGGAACTGTTGTAACATGACGTGCTTCCGGCCGTATCTCTGCAGGGTATCTTCGTGGGAGTTAGGACATGGCCCAGGAATTTCAGCAAGCCGGTAAAATGGCGTACCGCTTTTTAGGTCCTCTGATCTTCGAGGGTGAATCAAAAGTGCATGGTAGGTTTAAATGCTCACATCGCGCGCACCGCGACAAGATATGCCCGGACCGTTGGAGTTTGCATTTCACCTTTCGCTTGCGACAGGTATCGCATGCTTGGGTTGATAGATCTGCACGAGTAGATTGAAACATCATGAGTATGAATAAGACAGTAGACCCAACATTTTATACGTGGAAATATAAAAGCGGTCGATCGGCAGGACAATTTAAATAAATTGCGGGTAGTTTCCGAGGTCGTTCTCTAGATGGTCACGCTGAGTGGGATCAGATGGGATCAGAGACCTCTCGGGCTCCAGGGCTCTAGGGCTCACCTGGGCAAGATCACACTTAGTAAGCGAGTCACCCATTGTGTTTACGTAATGGGAATGATGAAGTCGGACTCGTCAGACAGATATCGTCAGCATTCCAATGACAGCTTACACGTACTGTCATATGCTCGCAGTCAGGAACACGCACATAATGCGGGAAGGGCCATCAAACGCCGCGTCAGTGTCTTCGTCTCTCGCACGTCACTGCCGCCCGTTCTCTCTGTTATCCATTGTCCACTAGTCCAGGCCTCACTAGGGTCATCCGATATAGGACGTCTGTAAGCTTCTTGGAGAACCACGCTATGGCCTAGTTCACCGTCCACGTTGTCTAAGCATATCGCCAACAATTTGGTTGCTCCGTCTTTCATCGAGGCTGGATAGCCCGTCATCGCAGCAATGGGCGACCAGACATGGTTCAGTGCGAACTGATGTACACGTCGATTCCACCGTTCATTGCTCTTATCGTAGGCGGCTGTAACCAGGCCCTCCTCTTGTCCAATAGTTTTCGGCTTTTTCCACCCTTCTCCGGTAATTAATGGGTCAACGCGATTCTGGTTGCCAAAGGTATTAAGTGGTCGAATGATAGGTGGGTTCACCTCGGCATCGGTAGCCAAGTTCAGGGTAACTGGATCCAGTCCACGACGCAATAGGTTATGTGGACTGAGACACCAACTGAGGATTCGCGTGGAAGGTAGAGATTGAGATTCTTGCGAGGGCTGAATCATCCGAAGCGGTAAGGGAGCCGGAGTTTGCGGACCCATCGTTGACAAGGGTATATGCCGGGGAACAGTGGGGACGGAATGGAGGAAGCCATCCGTGGACGATGAGGGTTTTCTGGTGGTTGAACCCATCTTGTCTGTTCAGTTTGAATGTGGGGAAACGAAGTTGAGGTATCGGTTTCCTCCAGGCTACCTGGGAGCACCCTATATAAGCCCCGTATAGCGTCGATCACAACCGAGGTTCTCGATAACCCGTTTTGATACCCCAGTTCCACCATATATAACGTAGATCCCATTGGCTCATGATCTCTTTTGTACCCACATTTAGGGTATACCGAGTATTTTCCACCGGATATAATCCAACTGGTAATTCAAGAGTTCCACATAGAACATAAGTGATTAAAGACGCTGCCCTGCGTGTCTTTTGCTTGCAAACACTAACGCTGCATGCAGGTGACGTATGACTACATACACTTAACACTGTTTCGCCCATTCCCTCTCAGTAAGAAATACCTCAGTGTCATGGTCCCCTCGAAACGCAAGATGTATCGGATACCACGATCCGTGACCAATTATTCACTTCCGCATTACGCATGTCGAGTATCTGTCGATGGCAAGATATCTTAATTATCATTGGGAATACTACCTCTGCCGCTCAACCGTGTTTCCAGTGCTTCACGGCAGGCGTGGTGCTGGCGATATATATCGTGCAATCAGCAGCCAGATGAAGTGCGTAGACAAGAGATGTGGGAGAAACTGGACACAATGCTAGATGATAGCGAGCCAGAAATAGTCAACTCCATCTCCCTGTATCAATCCCTTGCGTCTTTGTTCTAGTCAATACCTTATCATGTGAACTGCTATTGATGATTTCAACCTAATGTACTCATTTCAGGCTGTGTACCATATCCTACTTATCTTTTCAATTAAGGGAATCTTTAGCAGTGAAAGGGTATTTAGTACGCCGGAAGCTGACTTTTCCAAAGGTTCACAAGATGAGATGCAAATTAATGAAGAAGGTGACTGGTGGACCTCGGGATAACCAACAAGTGGCCCCGTGAGTGGTTATGTCAGCAGGTCCAGACACTCACGTGGGGCGTGCTCAGTTTTACCCGGGGATCAAAAAGCGGCAAGAGGTGAGCCCCAAAATGGAAGGGGCCAGGTTTCAGGAGTTCCAGCTATTAGCCGATGCATGCACAGCCTGCCTTAGTGTATATGCATCTCGACAGGTTGGTGTAGAAATACCAACATCCCGGTTTTATACTTTATATCTCAATCTCGACCAGGTGCCAATCCGATATGCTTGTGAGCTGTAATACATTGGTGGTCACTTCGATACTAACTCAACAACCACGTCCTGGGATCTGCCACAACCATCATGCAAAGTTGGATTGAAACTCCAATTCAGCAATTTGCCATGTTCCAGGCTGCTCCTGAGATATATTAATGACTGTTATGGAAGCCCCCGGGTACCCCGGACATATCCCTGCCTCCACGGACATCCACATAGCGGTCAGACAAGCCGGTAAATCCGTTTGAATCCTTACAGAAAAATAGCGCCGGAGCACAATTAACTTCATATCCGAACAAACCTTGGAAATTGCTATTCCGTGTCTAAACTGCTAGCGAGGTTTCTGAGGGATGCCACGTAGCAATCATAAGTTTAGCTCACGTTAGCGTTTCTACTCCGGTACTCGGTATCCAATCCCAGCTAGAGCGATTGGTAAACATTCTCAATTCGGATTTATACACGAACATAACCCCTAGCGGTTGGTAAATTGTCTCTCAAACTTCGGCTGGATTTTCAGCATCAAACACATCACCATGCTACTACTGTGGTTCGGTTTCTTTTCCTTCGTTTTCGGGGTGGTGATCTACCGGCTACAATTCCATCCCCTGAGCAAGTTCCCTGGGCCGAAACTAGCTGCCCTAACAAGTTTATATGAATTTTACTACAATGTGGTCTTGGGTGGCCGGTATTTGTGGGAGATAGAGAGAATGCATGAGCAATATGGTAAGGAATTACCATTTGTGACATTGGATCATATCTCAAAACTAAATATTGTCAAGGTCCTATTGTGCGAATTACTCCTCACGAGCTTCATGTGGCAGATCCCGAGTTTTATACGGAGATCTATGCTGGCCCAACCAGGAGGCGTGACAAAGACCCGAGACTTGTGCGGCTGGCAGGTCAACCAATGTCCATGTTCGCGACTGTGGATCACAGCCTGCACAGTTCGCGTCGATCTATCCTGAGCAACTATTTCTCCAAGAAATCAATTGCAGGCCTGGAAGACATGATCCAGCGCAAGGTGCAGAAGCTCGTCAAGCGGCTCAACCTAGCCTGTGATCAAGGCACAATTGTACAGCTGGATGCTGCATCTTCGGCTCTGACTGCGGATATTATCTCGGAGTACGCGCATGGTGTGAGCCTTGACTACTTGGATGATGTCAATTTCAACAACGAAGTTGCAGACTCTATCTTGAGTCTTGCCTCTGTAGTTCATGTGTTGAAGTTTTTCCCTTTCCTTTTGGATCTGTCAAAGTTCATCCCTGATGAGGTGCTTGGAAAGCTTTGGCCCCATGCAGCCAACATCTTGCGACTGCAAAAACTGGTTCGTGCGCAAGCAGACGTTGCACTTCAAAGTGGAGGTAAAGTGGACGGCCAAGTAACAATGTTCGGTGCTCTATGTGACCCTTCCTTGCCTTCGCAAGAAAGAACACTAGATCGCCTGCAAGACGAAGGCTTTTCGTTGATCGGTGGAGGCACAGAGACCACAACAGGAACATTGAAGATCTGCATGTTCCACTTGCTCAATGACAAGGCCTTGCTTCTAAAGCTCCGTGAGGAGCTTGAACAATTCCCGTCTAGCACATGGGCCGAACTTGAAAAACTGCCCTATATGGTAAGCAATGTAATATGTGGTATTCCAAGACGAGGCTAACTAACGAACTTTGTTCCAGAGAGGAGTGATAAATGAGGGACTGCGGCTCTCCGGTGTCATAACTCGTCTTCCCCGACGTGCACCCGATGAAGCCCTGAAATACAAGCAGTGGACAATTCCACCAAACGTAAGGTCCTATATTTTCCGAGATCGACAACGCTAACGCATCCATGCACCTCAACAGTCCCTAATGAGTACTTCGACTCATTTTGTTCATACAAATAAGGATTTGTTCCCTAATCCGCATACCTTTGATCCTGAACGCTGGATCCGGGCTGAAACAGCCGGCCAGCGCCTGGAGCATATGATTGTCACCTTCAGTAAGGGTTCTAGGCAGTGTCTGGGCAACCAGTAAGTTATACCCTACTTCCTCCCTGTATTCCCAAGGCTTACCTGGAATCTAGTCTGGCTTTGGCGGAGTTATACCTGGTCATTTCCATGATAGTACGGAAATTCGATATGGACCTATATGGAGTGACGGCAGACAACATCGTCACACATAGGGAGTATGGATTTGGTGTTCCAAAGGCAAGAGGTGATGGACTCAGAGTCAGCATTAAACGGGTTCCTAACCCGTAGCTTGCGTGTTTTGACTTCACAGCTATATCGAGGGGTTCATCTTTATGCGATCATGATTACACCCGAGCATCGGCTCAAAAATTATATTGAATATCAAGCTCATGATCAACCCTACCAACCAGAAGACAAGCAGCTGTGATCACACGTGGTCAGCAAGCACAATCTATAACTGGAATCTTGGATACGCTGATTACTTTGTTATCATCCTAGTATCTCCGATGCTTTGTTGGAGTAACAAAGACAACAAAACCACAAGCTCAATGCCATTCTACTCTTTTAGTCTTTTCCGTTTATATATTCTTTGTGTATAAGAATACTTCCTTGTTTACTCGACCCGCTAAGCCGACCTCGAAAGGCATATATAAACCTCGAGGTCACCGGCCATATCCAACTCATCAGACCATATTCTACTCATTCTTCTACAACTTTGCCGATTGACCTTTATCAGACTATTCGTACCTTGTTTGTCTTTCACATAGAACAATCACTTTCACGTCCTCGAACTTACGAGGCTAGCTCCATCACTATCCACTACCATCCCACTAATCTATCTATCAAACCGCAGCCATGTCAGGACGCAGATCGGCGTCCGGAGAGTTCAGCGATGAGCATGCTAATTTCTGGACCCTCATGCAGCAGATCATCCATGGCCTTAGAAACAACTACCCAGCAAACCAAGACGACATCATTGGCCGGATGGGCCAGCTCAATCTCCAGCTCTCGACCCTTCGACGAGCCGGAGAGGCAATGGGTTTAAGTTATCCACCCAGCTCCATCGTCCGCGATGCTCCCCTACATTACTTCACTGCCCGCGCTCAACGCCATCAGAATTACTTCGGTACCGAGTTCGGGTATTCCTGCTGGTATACCCAAGCCCAGCTGGGCTACACCATTGCAGACCTTCTCCACGGCCGAGACCACACCCGCGTAGCCGATCAATTGGAACAGCTACTAGCGAGTTGGCAATTAACCGAGATGAGAGTCTTCCCCCGCGAGCTCCCTGCACCCAATACCGTTCAGCAGCCGGCCAGTATCGTGCATATTGACGGCCCTCCATACTATACACCCGGCGGCGCTGGACCAGTCACCAAGGCCACAAAGAGTTCTGGGCCGGTCCGCACCCACCCACGTGTCAATATCACTATGCCCGCTCCAACAGATACTGTTTACGGCGTGGCACGAGCAACTCGCCATCGTGCTGCCCCATACCCTGAACCAGGTGCTCGTCCGCGACGTCATGGAAATGCTAGACTAACACCCTCGATGCCTCAAATGGCAGCTCCACTCCGTAATATCCAGACGAATGGCGTTCTTCCGGACCCGGTTCTTCCAGGTGTTAGCTCCCTTTTCACCCCACTCAACCTCCCCGGTGGACGTGCTCTGCCTGGTGCACCGAAGACGTCTGTGCAGCCCCCCAGCTGGTATGCAACTCCCGTCTAATGTACCAGCCCCTAACACTGGTGATGCTGTGTCTGTTTTGAATGCCTATGCCGGGGAGACTTTGAATAGCGACTCCCGTCCGGACCCTGGCGCTCGTCGTTGAAATTATCAGCATTGACGGGGTAATGGGCAACGAAACCCGTTTGAGTTTCCCAATTTGGATCTCAGATTACATATATGTTAGGATTGGGTATTGAATGTCGATGAGTTTAAGAATATTGGTTGGCTTTGTGGTTATTGCTTATACTGACTTTAGATCGATAGTTTTTCATACTTGCCTTTGTTTTTATAGACTATGTATTGCTCTTTTTTTTTTTTTTTTGGAAAAATAACATTTGGATAATATACTACTGCATGAGGATGTTTTGTATACAGAAAATTATCACCTAGTAGATTTAGTCGCCGTGGTCCTTCAGAGACATTCTCTGGGTGGCTTTAGGCTCATATAAGTATAGTTCCAAGTTTGGGACCTCCAGGTTAGCAGAATTCATAGTAAGTATTTACTAAATCATTTAATCGACCCCTTGTTACCCGGTTGTGTCTTATTTCGGTCAAAATGAAAGACTGCTATAGTATTTTTGTGATATATATTTTGTGTAGCGTGCAAGTGCAAAACAGACGAGGCGATAAGCCAAGTGCGCGTTAACCGGGCATTTGAGCAAATATGGCTTTGTTGCTGCCTTCACCATACATTTTTATTCATATATCCGTCTAGCATTTACCTGCCAATAATAACTCACATAATTCTGAGCTGATGGCTTCAGCACAAAGACAAAGAACCTTTGTACGCCGTTTCAGATATGGTTAGTTAGGTGAATGAACAGGGGATATGAATGGCTGTAGACCAGTTGTACTATATAGATATTATGCTATACTAACCTTGAAATGTACTACAATAGTAAGATGGCACTATCCTATGGCACCACATCCATGACTTTCCATCTTGCCACTTTCCAATTTGGACCTCAATAAGCCAACTGGCCAGCCAATCAGAGGCCATTATCAATCAGGCCATTATCATTTCTTGGCGATCGGCAGATCCTCCGCGCATTTCCAGGCCAGCTTGTCCACTTTGCAGACCTTGACATTCTTGCTTCTGTTATTTTTGTCTTTCTTTGATCTGATTGAGATTGTTTTCTTCTTTATAAACCATCACTCAGCGAACCCCACGACTTACTACCACCGAACAGACCCTCCCGTTCAATCTTTGGCCTTCGCGCCACCTTGCATATACAACAACCTGACAATTCTACGCGCTTGATCTACATATACTACAAGTCGGAGACCAAGATGCGGTCTGCATCGAGGCTGCTTTATGCCGCAGTGTTCGCACTTGCTGGCTTGAGCCATGCCAACGTTCATAATATTGCACTGGACCCAACCAAGTGTGCTGTAAGTTTTGTCCCAAACTCGGATACTCCATATAGATAGCTAACAGTCCATTTGCTTTAGCTTGAACCCTCGGCCATGGTATCGGATGCTTGTGTTTCGTATGGCGAGATTAACGGCATGAACGATCTGATTTTCACAACACTCAACTCCCTCACGCAAGAAACGGATTTCTTCTCGTACTATCGCCTCAACCTATTCAATAAAGAGTGTCCCTTCTGGAGTGATGCTAATAGCATGTGTGGCAACATCGCTTGCGCCGTGAACACCATTGACTCAGAGGAGGATATCCCACTGACATGGCGTGCGGAAGAACTCAGCAAACTAGAGGGTCCCAAGGCGAACCATCCACCTCGCAATATCCAAGCCGAGCGTCCGAAAGAACGCCCACTCCAGGGAGAGCTGGGTGAAGACGTCGGCGAGAGTTGTGTCGTGGAATACGATGATGAATGTGAAGATCGAGACTACTGTGTCCCCGAGGACGAGGGTTCCACTGGGAAGGGAGACTATGTGAGCTTGGTGGACAACCCAGAGCGGTTTACCGGATACAGTGGAGCAGGCGCACAACAAGTGTGGAATGCTATCTACAGCGAAAACTGCTTCTTGAAGTCCGTGGCTGATGAGCTGGACGAGCAGTCGGCGAACGTCCCGATGGGCGGCCTCCAGGCAGCCTCTGACTTCCGCAACGTGCTTCACAAGGAGTCGCAGCGAGTAGAAGGCCTACCGCTGGACAACGAGTGCTTAGAGAAGCGGGTGTTCCACCGGCTGCTAAGCGGCATGCATGCGTCCATTTCGACACATCTGTGCTGGGACTACCTCAACCAAACCACAGGCCAATGGCACCCCAACGTACAATGCTTCAAGGAACGCCTCCTCGACCATCCGGAGCGCATCTCAAACATGTACTTCAACTACGCGCTAGTATCGCGCGCTGTGTCAAAACTGCGCAAACACCTGGACGGGTACACCTTCTGCGCCAGTGACCCAGTGCAAGACCGCGAGACCAAAAAGCGCATGAACAAGCTGACAGGCACCCTGTCAGAACTCCCCCAAATCTTTGACGAAAAGATCATGTTCCAAGATGCCAACGGCCTCGGTCTGAAAGAGGATTTCCGCAACCGCTTCCGCAATGTCAGTCGCCTGATGGACTGTGTGGGCTGCGACAAGTGCCGCCTCTGGGGTAAGCTCCAAGTAAACGGGTACGGAACCGCGCTCAAGGTCCTGTTCGAATATGACGAAACCAAGAACGGCGAGAACCCGCCCCTACGCCGTACCGAGCTGGTCGCCCTCATCAATACCCTCGGGCGCATCTCGCACAGTATCGCTGCTTCGCGCAGTATGCAGCGAGCTCTGCTGACCGGTACCACTCACATGTTCCCCGTTCACGGCGCTGTACCCTCCTCCCACCACGCCAACGCCCTCGGCAACAACAGGCGCGTGTTCAGGGACGGCAATAACAACTTCTACTTCGAAGGCGAAGGACCCGAAGACGGGTATGTATACGGCCGGGGCGAGGCACCCGAGCGGTACCCCTGGGAGCGCAAACCGCCCGGCCCAGACGACGGCTTCTGGGAGGATCTCAAGTCCGAGTGGGATATGGTCTGGGGTACGGTTGGGTATATCTGGCGGTCTTGGATGGACCTCCCACATACAATGTAAGTTTGAGCCTGGGTTTGCTTTAATCAGACTGATCCTGACTCTCGCAGTTTTCAAATCGGCGGCTCGGAAGCCATCCGATTGTATAATTACTGGCTCGGATTGCCGGTGCCTCCACGCATGTGGAAGCTCAAGGCACCCCAGCCGCGTCCGCATACTCAACCAGCTGCCTATGCTAATCGTGACGAGTTATGAGTTCCCTGTATTTCATCTTTGCATTGGCATCTGTACATATGGCGTTGATAGACTTTGTCTGGTGTGATTTTTTGATTTTTTCCTTTTTTTCGGAGTACTTGTGCGAATATATACTCCTTTATCCTTCAAGTTTTCTTCAGGTTGGATTACTGTAGGGATGTGTTCACGTTTAGGCCGAGTTTTGGCCTGTGGAGGGAAATGCAGCCGAGTTACACGGGCTACATATAGATATAAATGTGTATATAGCAGCCAGTATATCAGTATGTAGCTAGACATATGTATAACATATGACTCCACTAATTCGATCTACTTTGTCCTTAAATCTTCGATTACCTCGGTCGCCTCCCAGGTACATGCATTTGCCACCGAAGAGATTTTGCCAAAATGGAAGAGAGCCAACGGGGTAAGGCGAACAGGAACAGAACAAGATGAATGTGATAATTAGAGATTACATGGACTTATTCAATCTTCATGGTCTTCATAATCTTCATACAATAAAATACAAACCATCCACAATTATATAGTCAGGTCTGCGTACTAAGCAGAAGATACCCCGTATTCTTCGGCAAACCCCGACCTCGGCATCTCCACTCCCGGCCACATGCGTCCTTTTCTTTTCTCTTCTCTCTCCTCTCACCCTTCCAGTCTCGCGCCGAATCTATCTGAATACAATATATATCGTATATAGATGCGACTACACTAATATCTAACACCATGGCGACGCCTTCGCCACCGAAACCGTGGGAGAGAGCAGGTGCAGCTGGTGAGTGTCGTTCTCTCGATAGCCGATATCCTAGCGCCACAAGAATCAACCCAACCCACAGTGTCCACCCTCAACTAACATCCCCTCTTCTTCTCTCCAGGAAACGCATTATCAACAGCACCTATCGCCGGTAGTCCTGCTGCCTCGACCGCGATGACTACCACATCCAACCCCGCAGTATCAACGTCCACCGCCCCCGACCTTCCCTCCCGTCCCAGCGCTCTCAACTCCGTAGTCAACAACACCGCCAATAACTACTCGCCATATGGAGCCTCGCGCCTTGGAACAGGCGCGTACGGATCCAGCTACGGCGGCATGAGTGGCATGGGTGGCATGGGTTCCATGGGGTCACCCTACTCCCGCTTCGGCTCCATGGGCGGCATGGGCTCCATGTATGGCGGCGGCGGTTATGGAGGCTACGGAGGTGGCATGTATGGTGGTGGCATGGGCGGTATGGGAGGGATGGGAGGGATGTACGGCGGCATGCCGGGACAAGATCCCAATGATCCGAACAGCCTGACGAACTCGTTCGGGCAGAGCACCCAGGCCACTTTCCACATGATTGAGAGTATCGTTGGTGCGTTTGGTGGCTTTGCTCAGATGCTCGAGAGCACATACATGGCTACGCACAGTTCATTTTTCGGTTTGTCTTCCTCGCGAAAGAAAATACATATGATGGACACTCGCTAACTCATTTCTATAGCAATGGTCTCGGTCGCGGAACAATTTGGAAACCTGCGCACAACCCTCGGCTCAGCCTTGGGCATTTTCACCCTCATTCGGTGGTTCCGCACATTGATCGCTAAGCTTACAGGACGTCCTCCGCCAGCTGATGCAACTTCTTTGACCCCCGCTGCCTTTGCAGCTTTCATGGGCGGCCGCGGCGCTACTACACTCCCCGATGGCTCACCAGCTCCCACCAAGCCATCCAAGAAGCCCTTCTTCATGTTTCTGATTGCCCTATTCGGCCTTCCCTATCTGATGGGCAAGCTCATCAAGACTATGGCCCGATCCCAGGAGGAAGAGGCGAAACGCCGCCAACTCGTCGGTCCCAACGGTGAGCCGGGCTCAGCATCGCTCGACCCGGCCAAGTTGGACTTCTGCCGTCTCCTCTACGACTACACCCCCGAGACCCAGGAGAGCAATGGAATCGACCTGGCTGTGAAGAAGGGCGACATCGTCGCTGTTCTCAGCAAGTCTGATCCTATGGGCAATGCCTCAGAGTGGTGGCGCTGCCGTGCCCGCGATGGTCGTGTCGGATATCTCCCCGGCCCATACCTGGAGACTATCCAGCGCCGGCCCAATCAGCAGGCTATCACAGCAGGCAGTGAGCCTGCTACTCGCACTTCTACAATGAAGGACGACCCTGTGGCCGCAGGTCGCACACAGAGTCTGTCGTCTCTGGGAAAGCCCGAGATTAACAGCAAGATTGGTGATATCTCGCCTGAGAGCTTCCAAAAGAGCACTTTCTACTCATGAGCCATGAGCCGTGAGCCATGTCATAGACTTTGCCCTGTGCTTGACTTGGGCTTCCTTCTTCTACTTGTCTCTGTCTGCCTTTGTCTTTGAATTGCTAGACATGTTGGAGCAGGGTATGATTTTCTGATAGTGACGTTAACCGGCCAAAAGCTCCCATCCCTTCGAGTATTATGCTCATCCTTATATCCCCCGAGCGTGCCTTTTGGTCTCCTCGATCCTTCTGCTGAATTGTGATCTACTATGATGCCAGTGGTTATCCTCTCCCTACCCAGTATCGCCTGGGTAGTCTCTATTTTCCACTCTTTCTCCTTTTCTTTTCAATCTTGGCGTTTCCTTCCCCTTCTGTCATTCCATCGGATTGGATTCATTTTAGCGACGGTCCCCTATCCCATTTGGCTTATGTATTTAGTACTTTAGTGCAATGCACCACATACACACCGCAACCTTGAAAACCCCCCCACTAGTTAGTTCTAGTTCGAAACAAAAGCCCCCCCTCCTTCCCCTTCCGTAACCACAAAAGTACCAATATACCCCTATCCAGTCCTCCAACCTCCGTACATCCTCCCCTTCAACACGGATCACTCCCCCCTCGTGGAATATCCCTCGTGTGGCCCACAGTGGGCCATCATACCCGTCCCGTCCGCTCCCGGCACATATCCGGACCCATCTCCACCGCTTGAGTCTGATTCTGACACTGGATACATCGAATATCAATCTTGCTTTTACCACATATTCCCAATCCGCACTGAAATTGCATACCCTAATCAAACTCCTCTCCAACATCGCCTTCGTATGATATGCAGGAATCCGTACAATTATTTACTATTAATACTGCAGTGTAGGTGTAGGTGTAGTGTACTACATGTACAGCCCTAACCCATCCATCCCCAACCCCCTAAATCTAAATGTAAATCTAAATCTAAATCCAATCCAAACCCAAATCCAAGACAAAATCCAAGACCAAATCAACCCCCTTCCATGCAGGTGCACATACCCGCCCACGTCATCTCGCTTCCCAAACCCCAAAGCCCCCCCCTGCTCCCTGCGTAAATCCCCCATTCAAGCATAGTCTACCCTTTCCACTTCGAGTCATGTTCGAACTTATCCACCAGCTGCATTCGGCTCCCTGCAGATAAGGCCCTTTTTCGCCTCCAGACTAAGCACTCCCGGTTGTGTTTTCATTCCGTCTTGACTATTGCGGTTCCGGCTGTGAGGCAAATTCGGGGGGGTGGCTTGGCTTTGGCTTTGTTTTTGCGTGAGTTTAGATTTGGATTTTGTTTTCCCTATTCCCTATTCCCTATTCTGTATTCTGTATATCCGGTTTGAGATCCGGTTGTGGTATTTTGAGATTCGAAGTAGTTAGGGCCGTTTTGGCTTTTTGGAGGCTTATTTGGTTATTTGGTTATTTGTCAAAGACAATTTATATTTACATTTTACTCCGTACTCCGTACTCCGTATATTGTTTGCGACATATGTATGGTACTGGGGTAATGGAGATCGGAGTACGGAGTAAGGGGGGTCGATGGTTGTTGCCTTTTTGCTGTGTGTTGTACTCCATGCGCTCTGTTCTACATATTCATTCATCCACTCTTGGATTTGGAATTTGGAATTATATTGATATCGTGTTGGTACTTTTATCTTGGTACTCCGTACTTCCGGCGGATGTTGTACTTACTGAGTACGGAGTATAATCTGCTTAAACGCTTAGATGGATCTAGTTTTGCTTTTTGGAATGCGTTGTAGATAACGGTTGTTCGTCCATTCATTCCAATGCTTTTGCACTACGTTTTCTATGTTTCCTTCTCTCCGAGTTGTGTCACATATCGCTACCTACATATATACGTTATCCCGGCTAATCTGGGTTTGCTGGTTGGGACTATATATGTAGCGACTATGCATAGTAGAGTGTGTTACAATAAGTCCCACGAGGAACTGGCTGTTTGAGATACTTGATTTCAGCATGGCAGGTCGCAGTCGTGTCCATCTGGGATATGTTGTGCATGGGGAATCCTGGAAAGGTTGTAGGGCTGGTACACAGTTAAGTTTGTCTAGGATGTTGTCTAGGATGAAGTGAAGTATGATCGCCGGGAGAAACGGTAAATTGACCGGGGTTGTGTGGTAGAAGTGTTGGGCAGCGATTTTCAAGACCGGGGTTGCAGCACAGTCGTTTCCAGGGTTGTTTCTTGTGTCTTCGAGGAAATGTCGTGTCGGGTGAGACATAGCTGAGACTGGGACTGGAACCGGGATTGGTTCGAGAGGGGAGGATGATGTCGGTCGAGCGGATGGATAGGTATTGTTGAGCTGAGACGTGTGCCCCCCCTTCTCGTGCTACCCATACTTGATAGCCAGCACAAAGGATATACAGAAATTCAGATGCCATAATGCATAGATCACCAATCTAAAACGCGGAGAAGCCATAATAAGAACGCCCTTGCTATGAGTCTTCCTCCCCTGGGCTATGTTTGGAAGGGAGATGATGGGAACAGAGCACATGAACCATATACATAGAGAAAAGACAAGAAGAGAGAAAGAAAGAAAACGGGCTCACACGCTGATGGGGAAAGTAGGGGGGAAATCAAGACATAGATAGAAAGCAAATGACGAATAGGGCAGTCGAAAAAAAAAGCATTGAAACGAAAAGAAAGAGATAAAAAAAGAGAACCTCAAATCAAAACCAAAACCATCAAAAAATCAAAAATTACATCCCCAACCCCTCATGGTGAGGAGGCTCATGGTTAGGATCCTGATCCCTAGCCCACTTCGACATCGACTGCGTAAGCGTGAAATCCAAATCCTGCAGCCTCGTCTGGAACGACTCAACCGTATTCCAGTCCGGCGGGTGCGTATCCACTTCACTCGGTGCATCCTCTAGATCCCTCGGTGCGGGGCCATGGTGACCATGCGCGTGAGACGCGTGCGAGGAATGAGCATTGTGAGGGTTGTGCACGGCATGGGATGCATGAGAACCGTGTACAGGGTGCGATGGGTGGGAGTTGTGAGACCCATGTGCACCGTGCGAGAGATGGTTGCCTATTGAATGGTGATAGGACTGGATGTGGCGTGGCTGAGGCTGGATTGGGTGCATAGACATCGGCATGGGCGGTGTCTCTTCTAGTTCCAGATCGGGCAGGTTTTCGAGGTGGTTTGGGTCTAGAGCGAGATATCTTCCATCAATATCATTCGGTACACTCACACTCACCGGAACGGCCGTGGATTTACCGTATGAGCCGAGTGGGTAGGGAGGCATCTCTCGGGTTGGCGATTGCATGTCCGGGAGTGGTGAGATGGGTGTTGTGACGCTGTGTTCGTCTGTTGGTTCTGGTGTGTAGCAGGTCATGTCGGATGGTGTTTCTATGGAATTGTTAGTATGTATACAACACATATTGGGGAGTTTGGGGGGAGTTGATATAGCTAAGACATCATCCATGACATCTATAACATCCATGGTATGGTCTATATCGACTCGAGATATTGAGGTCAACTCACGAGGTTCTGGGCTTTGGGTCTCAGTCTCTGGTTCTTTGCCTCGATTGGTATCCCATGATGTTCCATAACGACGCACGAAACGGGCGATACGTTTTGGATCGACGTTCTGACCGTTTACGCGGAATGCTGTCTGTTTGCCTTGGGCGGCGCGCTTCTGTTGCTTCCGAAGCATAAGATGGACTTCCTTGGCTTTGATGTTCTTTCGCACATGCCATGCTGCCAGACGATCTTTGTATTGTTTCTCTCTAATGGACTGGAGTTAGGTGATACTGTGACCAAGGACGGAGAAGATCTATATGAAATGAATATACCACTAGGCATATTCAAATAGGAAGAGGAAGATGAAGATGAAGATGATAAAGAAGAAAAGGATAGTAATACGATGCAAAGAACTTATAATCTCTCTCCATGATGCGTTTAACATCGCGTAGTTTCAACTGATCATTGCGGTAGAGTTGTTCGATGATTTCACGGTATTCGTGCCAGTCATCGGATCGGCGGGGTCGAAAGACGTTTGGCGATTGAGGGGAGATGGGGGTTGAATAAGTATTCTCCATTATTGTAGAGATTATAGAATGTATAAGAGAGAGATAGAGTTGGGGGATCCTCTATATCATACTGGTCTCATGGGATTAATATGCAAAACAGAGTCCATAATAAATTCGGTTTAAGGAATGCAAATCATAATATGTTTCTAGAAAATAAAAACCAAATGAAATATTTAAATATCAAATATCAAATATCAAAACAAGAAATCTAAAAAGAGAAAAAGAGAAAAAGAAAAAGAAATAAAAAAAAAGAGAAAAAGAAAAAGAAATAAAAAAAAAGAGAAAAATAGCAAAGAGGCAAGAGATGAGGGGGGGCCAAGGGAATTCTCTCCTCTTTGCGGCGACGTGCACGCGGACGCACGACCCCCTGCTTCCCCGGACAAATCAAATTTGATGGGGGATCCAGTGGCTGAGCCTTGACCACCGTGAGGATCAGCTAGGATCAGCTAGGATCAGCTAGGACTAGGATCAACTAGGACCAGCTAACTAGTTATAGGCAACTTGGGGATATCTGTTATAGGGAGAATATCTCCGGGGCCAAGGGTCTTTTTGTGGTAGGAGTCTAGATATAGGATTCTTTGTGCTTTTTGTATTTTGTATTTTGTATTTTATATTTGCTTTTTTTATTTATTTTAATCATGTTTTAATATTTCTATATTTCTTCTATATTAAATCGTTATTGCTACAAATAAGTGGAGAAGGTACTTTTGACCTTTACAGCCTAAGCGAACTATTACATGCAGTGCACTGGCCGCAAATTGGATGCATTTTCCGTTGCCTTTTCTTTTTTTCTTTTTTGGTAGAGATAATAGATAGTACAACATATAGAGTACCTATGGATATAGTACTTCATATGGAGTATACTATACTCTGATACAAAGTACTCTATTAGAATCATACTAATCATACTAAAATCCAATATTAAAACACAAAATAACCTGCAGATCCGAACAAAAAAGACCGGGAGCGGGCCGAATCCTCCCTGACAGGTCTTTGTCCGAGGCTAAAAATGTCCTCTAAAACCCCAGTTCCGTGGATCAATAAGCCACGTCACATTGAATCTTGACATATTTTACCTAGGTATAGAAATATATGTTATATATATATATATATATATATATATAGTTATAGGTATGTGTGTATATGACTCGTGAGAAGATATGGATTATCTATATGACACCTGCCATAACGTGCCAGATCTCAACTGTCACTCCCCCAAGCAAGGAGGTAAAGCCGTTAATCCCGTTAACGATACGGAGTAATGCACCCATCAAGGGGGGCGAAATTCCATGCGCTTTGGTCTCGAGACAAAGTTACCCTGTCGGACCAATTTCCCTTTAGTACCTTTGTATTTATAGTATTTATATGTTGTAGTTAATATACGGAGTCAGTCCCTCTCCGTCCGAGACTTATTAAAAACATACGATGCAAGGTCCGTGCTACCTCTTCCCTTTTTCTCTTTTTCTCTTTCTCTTTTTCTTTTCTTTTCTGGGGGACTTTCTACCCAAAGTATACCGAGTACGGATGTACAATATAGTATCTCCGTTCTTATGTCCTCGGGGGGATAAGTGATGTAGTACAATGGAGTTCATATGTATGGAGTATATACTTCTGTTGTGGATGTAGTCATCCCCGGTGGATTTATCTTCATGTTTTACCAAGGTTTAGTCGACTCCACTCAATCCTACGCTCATATACAACGGTGCACATGCCCCCCGTTATCATCTGCATGCGTGGCCCATATTCCAAGGGCTAGAACTCCCAGCGCAAAACTCAGGAACTAGTGTGTTGGTCAGTTGGGAATCATAGGTTGAAGATGATGCACTGATCTACAGGGTTTTGTCTTTTGTCTTTTGTCTTTCGGGGAGCGGAAATCCTCGTCCCCGAGGGGGGATGGGTGGTATCTTTGCTGGAAGCTTTGATTAGATCCGTATGGATGAAGTGAAAGTACCAGAGTACAATGAATAACTATTTAATATGTAGGAAAGGGGGTTAAATAATAAGAGACAGATAAAAAAAAGAAGAATAATAGAAAAAAATAGGAAAAAGCAAAAAAGTTAAAAATTATCAACCAGCGCGTAAATACCGCTCTCATTTCAGGTATCCAAGCCCAAATCACTAAATCACTAAATCACTAAACCCTTGCAACAATCGATTGGAAAAGTGCGGGGTGTACTTTGTTCTCTTCAAATGTTCTCTTCTAATATAAATACATACCTACCTAGGTAACTAAGTATCAAACATAACAAAATCCCATTAACCGCGCTTCCCTTGGGAGGGAACACAACGGCCATCCCGCGTGGAGCCCACTCCACTCGAGCCGCCTGTTTCCGGAGATATCTGCCGTCGACACCCTCATAGGTCCACAGACCATCGTTCACCGGCTCGGATCGCATGCAGGTACTAGGATGTAGTGCCCAGACTGGAAATGGGCGTACGAATGCACACATCGGAGGCAGTTTCCCTCTCCCGCGCTCATAGATAATGAGGGAGTTATGGAGAGAGAGAGAGAGAGAAAGATAGTGGGGGAGGTCTGTTCCCGGCCCACGCGCCAGTCCTACACTCAGCCGACATATGTCAGGGGATTGGGCCGCTTCGTCATTCCAGTTCTGTTGTGACAGGCCAATAAGACGAGGAGAGGGGGCTCAGCCTTGAAACATCCCAGTGGCACGTCATTGCCACCCCTCCCCTATAATGTACATCGATGTACATCGTGTTGCTTAGAGCTTATCGACAAAGTACGAAACTGACGCACTGTGCAGGTCTTTAATTTCATCCATCTGCGCGATTTTGCGACCACATGCCTGGGATTGGAATCCTGTGCAGCCTCACCTTTTGCTGTTTTAGAAAAAAATAAATTCCCCCGGGATATGTTTCAGGGTTTATTCCTCGGGGCTGTTGCTTGTCGGGCTTGGTCGGCAGCTGCTACGGCTGCCGCCGCGACAGCAGCTGAGTTGTTAGACCCCGTGCTAGCGAGATTGCTGGCATGCGCAAGGAGAAACTTGCAGCAAGTGAGCGTGTACTTGCAGGCTCGAGTCCATGTCTCATCATTCTGGTTGAAGCCCAACTTGATGCTGGCATCGCCAATACGGTCCCGCTTAATCTCATAGGGCAGCTTTAGCCCCGGTGCGGTGGCACCGGTCTGGCCACGACGGGGAGATATAACTGGTGCTGGCGTCTTTTCAACAAACTTCCCCAGCTGGCGGAGACACTCAAGGAACCCCACCATGCCCGAATCAAAGCGACGGTGGAGCCAAGGAAGGTTGAGCGGGAGATCCCCGGACGAAAACAGATCTAGTTGGGTCACTTTAGGTGCAGCTCCCTCGACCGGCTGACCGGATGGCTGCATGGGATATTCAATCTTGTCAATCCGCGAATTAGACCCTAGTGGTTTGAGACGATACCCCTGGAATTGGAATCCGAGTTTCTCGGCCATCGTGGCCAGAAGTAGAGCTGTTTGTCCCCATGCAGCATTAATTTCAGGCCAGTCAACAGAAGGATTGGCCAGCCGGCCCAGCCGTAGTCCATTGATAGTACCGAAATATCCATCATGACCAATGCAAAACGCGTCGTTGTAGACATTCGTCCGTTGCAGTCTCTCAAGCTGCTGGGAGTCATGGTCATAACGCATATTGAGCGCATCCCGTTCGCTTTGAAACTCAGTGAGCGTCAAGGCAAACGCATTGCGCGACCGCCAAAAGCTCTCCTCGTCTGCATCCAGGCGTCGCGATTCGATTTCCAACCCGGCAATCTCTGCATCCAGAGCAGCCTTTTCTTCCTCAAAGGCCTGCAGCTCTGCAAATGCGGCCCGTTCCGCTTGCAGGCTCTCATCCAACGATTTTTGTGCTGCCTGCAGGTCCTCCTCGGTCGGGATGGACCCATTCAGGTTTCGAAGAAATGAGATGTATGCATCTCGCTCCTTCGTAGACCCAGTCAAGCGTTTTTGTAATCCTTCCACTAGTAGCTCGGTGCATTCCACGCAAATAGGATGGTCGATATCAGAGCGCGCCGAGACTACCTCAAACAGCCGTGTCGTTTTCTCCACTTGATCAACGAATGACCTATCCTCCTGGCCCCCCAGTTGCGCTTGTGTATGATTTCGCTTGCTTCGAGCAGCAGAGTTACTTTCACCGACTGTTGGTGGTGGCGCAACTTGAGACTCAGTGAGCATCACGAATGACATATTGCCGCTATCGGCTCGGGGTATTGCGGGCGGGTGGTGCTGGCTTCCTGCACGCGGGGCGGGGATAGACCGTCTATAAACTGGCGATGTAGCATTTCTAGAGGCCTGGTCATACTTGTCGCGGTGTTCGGGTGGATAGGACGATCGCGCTGATGAGGAGACAGCTCCAGTATCTGACAGCGTCTTGCCTGTGGAGTCTAGACCGCAGTTTGATTAGCGGGATCGGAACGATCGCTCTGTGTAAACTTACTGGATAATAAGTCAAAGGCAGCTGGGTTGAGTGACTCTACCGAGCCATCCAGCTTCAGCGGCGTGCGACATTTCTGGCAATGCATGGTTGTTAATTCATCCGGGAGAGTGTGGGGAGTGGAAGTCGGGGAGCTCCCAGGGAGCTTCGGGGGAACGTCATTTCAGTTTGTTTTTGCTTTGCCGCATATTTGGCTCGCGCTTGCGCCTACACACTACATTTTTGACACTTTACTTTGACAATCAATAGATTGTTGCCAAATCTAATTATGCGTTATTTTATTACGCGCTCAACGTTCGATCATTTCTAAGGCACGCGCCGATTCTTATCCGCTACCATGGGCAGCCCGGATGGTAGCATGGACGACTCCATGCAGGACAATATGGAACGACCAGCGAAGAGGCCATGTCTATCATATACCCCCGAAGACGACGAAGACGTCCCCGCAGAGTTTGATCTCCCAGCCGCGCGCGCACAAAATGACTCGCGACTGAAGTCTCTCTTCGAAGGCATTTTCGCGAAATATAGCCAGGACTTCTCCGACGTTGGTGATGAGATCGACCTGCAGACTGGAGATATAGTGGTAGACAATGGGCATATCTTGGGCATGCGAGGCGAGCAAGACGCTGGTGGCCAGCCACGATCATGGCTCCCGCAGGCTGACCTGGATGGGCCGGAAGATTCTGATGCAGACGATGACAATACCACGAAGGGAGAGGAGGATGAATTCTTTTCTATGGCCTCCTCTCCCGGTGCTCGTTCTTCAGATGCTCCACGCGAAGAATCGCCATCGAAACAGCTACAGACAGACATGGATACCTCTTTGGATTTCGTGTTTACATTTAAGGCATCAGGGACTGCAGGCCTCAGTCCCACGACCAAGGAAGAACATGTCTCCCATCCCACAAACCAAATCCACACTTCCAAACCGCAAGATCCAATCTGGGCAGTCCCGGACTTGCCCCCATCCTTTTCAACACCCACCACTGAAACCCGCAAATCAAACGTGGGCTTCTCTCCACCTGTCAGGTCTACGTCCCCACCAGGGAGCGGCTCTGTCTGGGCTGTAGGCAAACCCGGCAGACCACGTACAGAAACGAAACCGAAGGCTACGCCGAGTAAGCGTCGACCAGCCGCGAAGCGCAAATACCATTCTAGCCCTGTTACACACGACTGGTCTTTTGCGGCTGTGCCTGATGGGAATGAGTCGGATGACCCTTTGCAGGACTACGAACCATCACCGACACCATCCAAAATGAAAATTATTCGTGGGAAGCGGCACATTCCGACTAAAGAGAATGATGGGCCATCTACGCCTTCGAAACAGCCAGCTGTTGTCGTCGAAGTTAACGATCGAGTTGACGATCAAGTGGATGACGAAGTGGATGACCAAGGCGATGACCAAGGCGATGACCAAGGCGATGACCAAGGCGATGACCAAGGCGATGACCAAGGCGATGACCAAGTGGATGACCAAGTGGATGACCAAGTGGATGACCAAGTGGATGACCAAGTGGATGATCAAGTGGACGACCAAGGCGATGGCCAAGAAGGAGGCTATGAACCAAGTGACCATGACGATCAAGCGGCGCACACACACCTCGAAAAAGCACACCTCGAAAAAGGGGACCACGAATCGAGCAAGCAGATAGATGGAGTGCCCGAAACACGCCTTGGGGATGGGGGCTCCGAACTGAACCACCAAGAAGACGGAGTGCCCGAAGAGCAAGTCCAAGTGGCTCACAGGCCAAGTGATCGAGAAAACGAAGTGGCTAGCGCAGAATACAAAACCAAAGTGCCATTCCATTTTATGGCGGAAGGCGATTTGACCCCCAAGGCCACGGCCACGGCCAGTACCCAAGCATCATCCCCGCAGCCCATGGAAAGCACCCCAAGCAAAAGGCGACCCATCACCCCCGATGAAGCAAAGCTGATCGTGTGCATGATGTACAAACAAGAAAAGAAGGCTAGTGATGTGATGTACATGTTACCAGGTCGTGAATACCAGACCGTCTGGCACTGGTTCTACAATCACTGGACCCGCCGCCTCACCAATCCGCCTCCACTTTCCGCCGCCTGGTCGCAGCCTGAATTAGAAGCTCTGGCCCGACTCAGCACCCAATCGGATCTTACCTGGGGCCAGATACAAAGTCGATTTAAGGGCCGATCACGACATGAGGTGGAGTTTGAACTGCTACGTGCTTTTGTTGGTGAGGGCTTTACCTCTTCAATTATCGACAGCGTGGAGGAACACGCGGAGCCGGAAGATGAAGACTCGGAAGAAGATTTGCAGGACGACGAGATAAAGGACGAGTCGGAATCTGATGCAGTCTTGGAGGAAGTCGAAGAGGAGGCAGGAGATAGCGATGCTGCGTCCGAGGGCACTGCCCAGGAAGAACTGGAGCAGCTCGAAATCCAAGAGGTGACCGGGACAACCGACAGTAAGGCGTCTGCTCCCAATGGCTTCTTGGGCATTTTTATAAACTCCTGAACATGCTGATTGGGTGCAATCAGTTATACTAATAGGGGGCCAGTGATCGATGATCGATAAATCTATCCACATCCATAACCATAACCATATCCATGACATTCATACCATCTTCAATTAATATATTTATTGAAAGTCTTCGTCCCGTGCATTCATAACATCCTCAAGCTTGGTATCAACAGCGCCACCCACATCTCCAGCCTTGGCCCAGAATCGAGACAGATGCCGTGAGCCAGAGTCCGAAAGTACCGTTACAATCCGATGACCAGGGCCAAGCTTCCTTGCTGTCTTGACAGCGGCGATACCTAAATCCATATATTAGTGAAACGCATCAAATGCACTAGTCAGAGAGTTAATAAACCCACAATTCACAGCACTACTACTCCCAATAAAGATCCCATCCTTCTCCACAAGCCACCTAGCCATAGCCAAAGCCTGTGCATCAGTAACACGCACTGCATCATCAATCATCTCCTTCCCAGCCTCGAAATTCGCCGTGACACGGTTAATACCAATCCCCTCAACAATAGTATCAACCTGCCTCCGCCGCCTCGTGCCCTCCCTTTCCTTAACATCAAACATAACCCCGTAGACGACTCGATTAAAAAGCCCACTTCCCTGCGGGTCAGCCAGCACAACCGTAAGTCTAGGCAGTAACGGCTTCAAGAACCTTGCGACGCCCGAAATGGTCCCACCGGTGCCAGCGCCCGCTACAAACGCATCAATCCGGCCCCCACACTGTGCATACAGCTCTGGACCAGTCCCTTCATAGTGGGCGCGCCAATTAGCTTCGTTCTCGAATTGGTCGGCGAAAAAGCCCCTGCCACGAGTCATGCGTTCGTTTGCCGCGGGGAGATCGGATTGCTCATCCGTTGACGCAGAGGGGATGCCCGATGAGGCCGTGTGCATTTTTGCCAGTGCTCGTGCACGATTCACGAAGTTGGCTTTCTCCACTATGGGTGCTGGCGGAACCCGGTCCACGATTGCCCCGAGTTTCAGCAGCAAGTTGGATTTTTCAATTGCCTGGTCCGACGGCAGGCAGCTGGGTTGCATGTGCATTAGTGGTTTTGGCTATTGGGTAGGAAGGAGAGGGTGGCGTATCCGTACATGTGTGCTAAGTAGCCCTTCGCCCGGGCTAGTGTTGCTAGTGAAATGCCGGTTGATCCCGAAGTTCCTTCGTAGATTGTGTCGCCGGAATGGGGTGTCAGGATACCCTGTTCTTCTGCCTGGTTGGTGTCAGTGATGCTGGGCTAGTGCAGGTAAAAATAATTTGGTGTTGCTCTGGCATACAATTTCAATCATGCTTAGTGCAACTCGGTCTTTTGAACTCTGACCAGCGCCATTCAAAAACTGCGGGCATTGTTAGCGCATTCTTAGCTCTTTTTTTGAGGTGGTTGGTATACGAAGTACCCAGCCTACTTACCTCTGCCTTGCCTAGAATCTCACATCCCGTTTCATCTGATAGTGACTTGATCCGCAATAGAGGGGTGTTTCCAATGCAGCCTTCAATGCCTTCCACAATAGTGGGTGGGCCAGCTCGGGCGATGAGGCCATTTGTTGGAGATATTTGCTCTGTCACATTATCCTCGCGCCTGGGACGTGAGATTTCCTGATATGCGAGTGCCAGGCAGACGCCAGTCACAAAGGCCGTGCCTATGTACGCCGTTGAATGATCTGGCATCTTCCAATGCCGTTTTATGTCTTGAAGATTGAGGTTTGGTGCATAGACGGGAGATATGAAGCTCGGACCACCAGGCTTTTTTGGTGGAAGATAGCAGTCAGCCTGTACTTCGTCGACGAAAAGAAATATTGAAAGTGAATTCAATTCAAAGAATTCTCTTGATTCAACCTGTCTTCAACTTCAAGAAACATGTAGTCACCAAAGTTGTCGAAGAAATTGAAGGTAATGACTTTTGCCTGAGGCACGTGGTGTCCTGCCTGAGGCCAAAAAGGTTATCCAGAAACGCCGTCCTTCTCCCCGGAACAACCTTGAGCTTAGCTCTGCAATCACAATGGACTCGCCAGTCCTTACCCAGCTGTTCCGACAGCTCTTCCGCCATCCAGCTTGTCGATCACTAAGGCGGTCGCCTTCCGTACTTGCTCGACCACAATCCCGATCATTCCTCACGCGGCGCACGCCTGTCAATGTCAAGCGCAAAGTGCACGATGATATCCAGCTCTGGACAAAACGAGGCGACTACCCCAGAAATATCGATGAGGAGTATAGGACATATCCAACAGTGACAGCGAAGGAGCTACGTAACCGCCGTGAACGGCCGCGACAGGTCAAGATGCTGACGCGCGAGTTCATCGACGGTGAGTTCGGCGGCTAAATGAAGCGAGGCTAGTTCTGACATTGCGCTTCCAGACAGCCTTTACAACCCACACTACGGATACTTTTCCAAACACGCGACAATTTTCAGCCCCGGAGAGCCATTCGACTTCAACAGCATCGAAGACGGACCCGCGTTCCACGAACTCCTTGGTCAACGGTACACGGAGTTCGAAGACAAGCTTGATGCAACGAACCCAGATATCGCGCGGCAGCTATGGCACACACCGACGGAGCTCTTCCGACCATACTATGGCGAGACAATTGCGCGGTATTTGGTGTCAAACTACAAGCTGACCCTATATCCATACCACGACCTCATCATCTACGAAATGGGAGCAGGAAACGGCACAATGATGTTAAACATTCTGGATTTTATCCGCGACACCGATTACGAGGTGTACCAGCGCACCAAGTTCAAGATCATTGAGATCTCACCCGCGCTCGCAGATTTACAGTACAAGAACCTGACCGACAAGCTCAGTGCCAAGGGACACCGAGACAAGGTCGAGATTGTAAATCGGTCAATCTTCGACTGGGACACATACGTTCATTCCCCGTGTTTCTTCCTAGCTCTGGAAGTTTTCGATAACTTCGCCCATGACACCATCCGCTACAAGCAAGGCACCGAAATGCCGCAGCAGGGTGGTGTGCTGATCGATTCTGTCGGCGAGTTCCACGAGTATTACAACAACCAGCTAGATCCCGCCGCAGCTCGATTCCTGCGCGTGCGTCAAGCCGCCGCTCGCCGTCCTTTCCCGAGTCCGCTGGGCCCACCACTCCTCCGCGGTCTCCGCTCCGCCGCGCCCTTCCAAAAGGAATACTCCTTGCCGGAGTACATCCCCACCCGACTGATGCAGTTCTTCGATGTCCTGAACCAGTACTTCCCAGCGCACCGTCTAGTCTCGAGTGACTTCAGTTCCCTGCCAGATGCTGTGCCCGGGATCAACGCGCCGGTCGTGCAGACTCGGTATCAGCGGCAGACAGTGCCGGTGTCGACCCCTTTTGTAAGTGGATATTCTCTTCGATGTGAACTTTGAACATGGCTAATTTCTTTTATTGTAGGTCCACCAAGGCTACTTCGATATCTTTTTCCCGACGGACTTCAACGTCGTCGAGGATATGTATCGTGCTGTTACTGGGAAGCTGACGCAGGTCACGAGCCACGAGGAGTTTGTGCACCGTTGGGCTTACATCGAGGATACGGAGACGCGGAATGGAGAGAATCCTCTGCTGAGCTGGTATAAGAATGCCAGCATGTTGATGACTGTGTAGGTAGAGATCTATGTCAATATCATTTAACCATCCCCTATCGGCTTTGCGTATAATATGGGCTCCTTTCTTTATGTGAGAATGTATAGTTTTGCTTCAACAGCGCGCTTTCTGTGGCAATGAGTCTAACCCACCCGACAAAAGGTCACTAGAGGGAACTCCCTTGATGTTTGAGGAACTTTCCGAACTGCACTACAATCTCCAATGGCCACCGCATCAGGGCTGTCCCCAAAGCCCTCATCACTCGATGCATGATGTTTGTCTGCCAGGTAATTGGGGTAATTGAGAGACGCCTTGGAACTGCGCTTGACTTTCAACAGACCCTTGACGCATGAACAACATGCTAGTCTTTAGCTTTACCACCTAGTTCCGTGGAATCTGAAAGACGCTATTCGCGGGTTCGGCAATATCCTTGACCCTAAGGGTGAAATCTGGGGGCCGATAGCTACCTGAAGCGGTGTTGTCGTCAATCTAGACAACCCTAAATGATGGATAAATGGGTGTCAACCTCCAATCAAACAGAAGATGTCAAAAGAAAACCAGCACTTCGCATAATGCTGATGGATGTTGCGACAGTGAAGCTCTTGTCGCCTCTAAAGAAGGATTGATATGGTTAGATGCTAGGAGGGTAAATCAAACATCGATCCATTGAAGAATACACGTAACAGGATGGTGGTAATACAAAACCGTAGACATATACCTCGTTTTCATAAGCCTCCCTGGTGCAATTCCTTTCAAATGAATTATACCTTGGCACAAGCGGGCAGCTCAACATTCCCAATCCATAGAAAGCTGGCTGTGGCGGGGCCAGGTTGGAGTCATGTCGACGGAGTTGTTTTGTAGAATGCCGGCTGAGAAAACGCAGTTTGACCAAACACAGGCTGAGAAAACACCAGTGAGCAAATTCTGACTGGGAGAAGGCGGGCTTCGTTTGAGCGGATCTAGTAATTGGAAATGTTTGATCGCGGTCCGGTTGGAATGCGTTGGACTCTATGCAATAGCGAGGCGAGGTATCGGAAGCAAGAGGGGCCGTTCTCTCAGCAGCAAGGATGTTGGTCGTTATATTAACGTTGTTCAGCATGACACGTGAATGGTTAGGAATGCCTTCCTTGCGACGGAGCCCATGTAGGGCTATATCCAGCTGGGAGAGGATTGCTGCGTTGAGAGATTTTGGTGTAATGGCTGGCGTAGGATCAATCACAGGCACAGTGATATTCACATTTTGGATTGTTGTATGTAAGCCACAATGTTCTTTTCGCCATATGTGGTCGGGGATGAACAGTCTGCAGTGATGCCACGAATGCCCGATATCCGCACACTTCCTGCAAAATGCCGTGCAAACCCCAGTATGTCTTCTATTGCAGCGATGACAAGTGGGACGACATATTCCCTGATGTGACCTCGCTCCACAGTCCTGGCAAAAGGAAGGTGGCCTGTATCGCTGGGGGTAACCGTCCTCGTCTTCAACTTCATCATCCCTGACACGCTTTTTCATAGCCCTAAAGATTCTCTTATTAGTAGATGACGTTGAATGAGACCCCTGATGCACTTTACTCACATGGGTCCCATAGTGGCTGCGCTGAAAGAGAGAGAAGCAAAAGAGAGAGGAGAAAGTCATGAGGGCGTCTCTACATTTGGACAGCCTTAACGAGGAAGGAGCGATTCCGTCACATGAGCGATGTCAAGCCAAACGGGAAGGTTCGCATTCTCAAAGTAAAGGGCGAAACTGATATGAAGGTATTAGGAGAGGTCTACATTGTGGACGTCGAATTGCATGGTGAGGTTGATTAAAGAGTTAAGAATGTTAAGCTACAGAGAGACTACGAAATCTGACGGAAGGAATTCAACTGGTAAAAGAAAAACTTCACGGCTTGCAACTCGCATCCTAGCACAGTTAATAATGTCTAAACGATGATGATAGAGCGAACACATTTCGATGCAACAAGCGATACTCTCCTCCGGGTACTAAGCTGGAATTTGCGACTGTCGTAGCGCACAGGCATCTAAAAACCTCTGCGGGAGTAAAGTGAGCCGGGGATCCTTTCCTGGCACTTCCAGTATACTCGCCGCTGCGTCGCTGTATGAGGAGCTAAACGTAGACCAGAGAGACTTTTCAGGTTCAGAGTGTCGCGATGGGCGAGGGTAGTACGGGTCGTTTTCGAGAAATGCTTCCACAAGGTGAGCAATCAAATCATTCGGCCTTTCGAGCCCCATTCTTTCCTCCCATATGTTGCATAAATTGAAATCGAGGACCCAAACACGAGTGGTTCGACGTCGAGAATTGACCTGTATCATTCTTTCAAGGTCCGTGTGAGGGGGAAGCCTTGCAAGTTGTTCTGGGCTGAGACCGGTCGAACGACAAATGTCCTGAGTATAGGACGCCTCCCCTTCACTTCCTAGCACAAATTCAATATCGTAACCATCCACATTTGCCGACCAATGAATGATTGCCAGAGCCTGGCCCATGGCTTTGGCATAATAATGAATGGGCAGGTTAAGTTCGATCATTTGATCGAGACACAGATTAAAGTTTCTCAGAGTAAAATTGCGTGGTGGTGGGTCATTCGGTCCCCGGCGACGACCAAGATAGATGCGGGCCAAACAATCTCGGTTGGTGTCTTGGGAAGTTACAGCGAGTTGCGACGGCGCAGGGCAGTACGCTTCTATCAGGGCTTGTCGGGCCAGCTTTGGGAGTGGAAGTATGCGTTCTGTTATCAACGCCATTGCCGGGAGAGGGAAGGAGGGGTGAGAACCATGAAAAAGATCAAGGTGCGCGTGCCACCACTGTTCGTTTGTCTTTGGCACATATGAAAAGATTTTTGGAACCCGTACTTCAACGGACTGATGATTCGTGAAGGACTGGTACACTGCCAAGTGCGCTTGAAAATCTGCCCATAGGGCATCTTCAAATGACGGACGGGAGATTTTCACTACATATGCACGGCCTGGCCGCTCGAAGACTATCCCACATTGGCCGAAGCCAATGCTGCGAAACCCAACAGAAGCTGTCCGCTGTGAGTTGCTGAAAAATGCGGACGAAGAGGGTGTAGAAACAACGGGAGTTAGTGATAAAACACGGCTCAAAACTTCTCTAGGTTCTGTTGTGGGATGAATCTGCAAGTGTGACGTGAGTTCTTCATTTCGTGCAGCATCAACTAAGGCAGATAATTGATTCGTGAGATCAATATCTTTACGCAAGTTGGATGAGATGGTAGAGCTGCTTTGGTTGCGTCGCTCCATTATTGTGAGGATCTGATGAAAGTGGAGTCCAAGTGAGAATAAAGTGGAGTCAAAGTCAGAGAAGGAACAAATGAGAGATGACTGCCTGTGGGGGTTATTATCTCACCGCCTTTCGATCCTCTACAATATAATTCAATTCAGATTCACTTCAGATTCACTTCAGATTCAGTTTACCTTGAAAGTCCCTACGTCCTTTTTAAAGCATTGATTTTATTAACCTTATAATCTAGGTATAGTTACAGGCATCTTTTAAGTAACCATCGGCAGGCTTCAATTAACACCTATGTTGTGGTTACAACATTGGTTTTTATAAAGCGAGAGTGGATCTGAATTACTGCGGGCAAAATGAACCAATATCCTTTTAGACAATACCGATTTCTTATAATACCGTATTTACTCGATTGTTATAGGAATCCCGTAGTAGAATTGAAATAACCGAATTGCAACCATTGAAATGAACGGTGTTCCGGATCCTAGTTTCTCCCACATGGAAGGTTGTTGATGAGTTGATGAATCCGACTCCCTTTCGTCCATGAAGGTGGGAGAGACAGCCTGGGTACTAGAGGGGAAGAAATGAGTTCATAAAACATATATATGAGGAAGTGCTTTTTCCTCTATGGCTTGTAGATCCCATCCCATCTAAGCAGCCATCAAAATGATAAAAGTAGGTACAACACAACCAGGCCTTGCCAGCCAGAAATTCGAAAGATATATCCAATACCTTTGCATGTACATAACAGATCAACAACAATAACCTAGAATTCAAACTCCTTCCGGAAGATGTTAACGTCCATGCCGGCGACAACCTGGTCAGCCAAGTCACGACGGCCCATCTGGCTGAACACCCGACGCAGCGTGTCATACAGATTCGTGCTCTGGTTCTGGCTAATATGCAACATACGCTCGAGGCGTTCGTCATCCAGACCATCAGGATGCACACCATCGCCGATGATCTCACGCGCACGCTCGCGGCCCTCCTGCTCCACAACGCGATGCATGGATAGCGCGCCTAGTAGGTGCTGTGCGGCTTCTGGGTAGCATCCGATGTTGATGCAGGATACACCCAGATTGTAGCGGGCGCGCACAAAATTGGGGTTGATGTTGAGGGCTTGCTCGTAGGCTTCGATGGCTTCTTCGGAGCGGCCGGAGTTGGCGAGAGTCGCGCCGAGTCGGTTCCAGAGGAGGTGGAGCTGCTCCTGTTGGTTGGTGCTACCGGACTCGGTGGAGGTTAGCGCGGCGGAGAAACAGTCAACGGCCTTCTCGTATTCCTCAGCGCAGTAGAAAAGAACACCTAGTCCGACTTGTACGTCGGGGTCCATCTGGGCTCCTGAGGGGGAGAGCTGGGCTGCTTGGATGAATAATTCTGTTACGCGGTCGTGGAGGAGTTGTCGGTCTGTGAAGCCGAGGTCTGAGTCGCCGGACACTTCCTTCGGGTCAATGATAGTGGGATACTTGTGGGACAGCCAACGCTCGAGTGTACGATAGGCGGTTGAGTCGTAGCCCTCGTTTGTGTACGAGACAGCCAAGCCCATCAATGCATTCAAATTCCCGGGGTCGACCTTCAGGGCTTGTTCCAACGCACGGATAGCGGGCAACTCCTTTTCGTTCTGCGCCTGCGCAGAGCCCAGCATCGTCCATGCTTGCACATGCTGCGGGTCCTTTTGAACCGCAGCCTCAAAAGCCAGCGCTGCTAGTGACAGATTACCGCCATCACGCATGACCTTCATTCCCTCTTCGAATGGATTGCCTACAGCCTGGTAGACATTATCCTCCTCGAACATATAGTCGCCGAGCTGGGGATCCCGGAAGCGAGAGTTCAGACTATCAAAGCCATCCCAGTCACCGAGATCACCAACATGCACGTTATCGGTGACTTCAAAGTTATCTTCCTCGGCAAGTTTCCTGCTCGTTGCGGTCTCAGCCTGGACCCGTTGCCATACAGACTCAAACGCGTCATTGGAGGGCACTGACCTGTCCAAATCATTCAGTTCCGCCTCAATGGCCGCATTAGCCGCCTCGTCCGTCTGGGCCTCATTGCCAACCGTCGCAGTCTCCATCTCAGCAAACTGCGCCTCCCAGTTCTCATCGTCGAGCTCCACCATCCGCCCCTTCCCCTTATCCTGTGTCTGCCCCTCCACAGGCCCCTGCTGCATCCCCATCTGCCCACCCATCATAGGCTGCATCATCCCCATACCACCCATACCACCCATATAACCACCACCCATGGCCATCGGCCGCTGGTACCCCGCCATCATAGGCGATGCGGTGGCGGCGGCAGGGCTCGACGTCTGCGGCATGCCCATATGGTTCTGCTGTTGAAAGCGAGCGAACTCGGCAGGGTTAAACCCAGATCCGTTGTTCATCTGGCCCGGGAACGCGGCTTCCATTCGCGCTTGCTCGCCTGAGTCAAACTCCCCGGCCCACCCTGGCGACCCAGCGCGGGCTGGCCCCGTCTGGAAATTATCTAGCTCGCGACGCATGTGCTCCATTGCGAATGGTTGCGGCGGGGGGGCCATTAAGTTGCTGTCCTGGTTGTTGCATAAAATCGTCCATCATCTGATAAGGAGTTTCCCGACGCCGAGGTTAGTTTCCGTTGCTGTTTCCTTTGCGGGGGAAGTTCGTTATGGGCTGTCTGGCTCACCTGGTCCTGTCCGCCCATCATATTTTGTGAGCGCATGCCTTCTTGCATGCCTGGTCCCCGGCCGACCAGCCGGTCGCGCTGTAGTGATTTATCATCCTGGACGTGCTTTGTGAATTGTGAGAGAGGGTTCCCCGCAGTAGAGCATTCTGCGCCACCGAGGAACGACATGGTGGGAATGTGACGGGTTAAAGGTAAAGTAAAATGGTAGAGTGTTAATGCAAAAAGGAAATTTGAAGAGAAGCAAAGGCAATGTAAAGGTGAAGGTGCATCCCCGGATCTCTCTGACGTGGGGTTCAAGGGCTTTCCGCCTCCTTCAGCCGAGGTTCCCCGACGGCAGTTTAAGAGTCACGAGATTCACAAGGTACCAGGTACATTTTATGTATATCATATGCAAAAATTCACTAAATTGACTAAATTGACTATTCTTACTAGTGAGATATTTGAATTGTTCATTCTCTGGTCTCTTATATACAAGATATCATTCATTTGTTACTGTCTCCGCTTGCTTTGCTAAAACTGTCACCCCGAGATATATTCAAAGCCAAGTCCCCAAGTTTACTAAAACAACATCAGTATGCCGGTCACAAATATTATGGAAAAGATACTAACCATGAACCGCTTTCACTTGAGTGTAGGCCGAAAGGGCATATTCACCCAATTCTCTCCCAATACCACTCTGCTTGTATCCGCCAAACGGAATGGCAAAGTGGGAGTCTTGACTGCTGTTAATCTGTTGAGACTCAGCATGTGTGATAAAATATATATATATATATATCCGCAAGTACATACCCAAACCATGCCAGCCTGAATAGAGGCAGCGACCTTATGAGCACGGGTAATGTTCTCTGTGAATAGGGCAGCACCGAGTCCATACTCAGTGTCGTTGGCCTTGTCAACCGCATCCTTCTGGTCCTTGAAAGACTGGATAACGACGAAGGGACCAAAGACCTCCTCCCTCACGGGAGTCATATCACGATTGGTATCCTTGAAGATAATGGGCTTGACGAAATAGCCCTTGGCATCTAGGGAAGGCTGATCATCTCCAAGAACAAGCTGTGCACCTTCGCGCTTGGCAGTCTCAAGATAACCAAGAATGCGACTTTTCTGCGCAGAGGACACTTGAGGTCCGTGGTTCACTTGGGGATCGAATTGGCTGCCGACAATAGAGTTCTCGATAGTGTACTGCTTGAATTTCTCGACGAAAGTCTCATAGATGTTCTCCTGCACATAGATGCGCGAGGTGGATGTGCAGATCTGACCCATATTGCTCATGATTCCGACATGGGACCACTTCACTGCCTGGTCGAGGTTGGCATCCTCGAAGACGAGCAAGGGGCTCTTACCGCCTGTCTCGATTGTAATAGTCTTCAGGTTCGAAGCGGCCGCTTTCATAATGGCCTTTCCGGTGTTGGTGCTGCCAGTAAAGGCGATCTTGTCCACGTGCAGGTGCGATGCCATAGCGGCACCGGCAGTGGCACCGAGACCATTAACAACGTTTACCACTCCAGCGGGAAAGCCGGCTTCCTTGATCAAGGAGGCGAGGTAGAGGATTGAGAGCGGGGTTTGTTCGGCAGCTTTGATGACAACGGTATTACCGCACGCGAGAGCAGGTCCAAGTTTCCATGCCGCCATCTACTTAGCATTAGTGTTGCCTCTACAGATTCGGTCAAGGAGGGCCCTTTTGTGACATACCATAACGGGATAATTCCAAGGGATAATCTGCCCACACACTCCAATAGGCTCATGTCTAGTATAGGCCAACTTGTCCTCGTTGGTCGGGATGGTCTGCCCGTGAATTTTGTCTGCCCAGCCACCGTAATAACGGAAGACAGAGATGACTTCGGCAAGGTCTTCACCCAAGGCTTGTTCATATGGCTTGCCGTTATCCCATGCGTCGATTGTAGCGAGAATGTGCTTGTCGCGGTCGCAGAGGTCCGCGAGGCGGGTCAGTAGGAGGCCTCGGTCATATCCGGCCAGTGATTGCCATTCTTCAGACTTGAAGGCATTTTTGGCAGAGGCTACAGCGAGGTCGATGTCCTCTGGGCCAGCAGATGCGACGCTGGTGATCACGGATTCATCGTAAGGGTTGACAGCTGAGAGAGTCTGGCCGGAGATAGAGGGCACGAATTCATTGTTGATGAAAAGTCCTTTTTCAAACAATCAGTCACTACGTTCAAACTTTTCAAGAATGCCTGCTCACCAGTAGGTTGCGAATAAGAGACCTGGTTAGGAGCCGTTAATTGGATAGGTTGCGCCATTGTGAAATGTAGATTGAAGTTTCTTGGGGTTGAGAAATCCTAGGGTTCAAGGTTCAAGGCTTTATATCATGACCCTCATGGACAATTAGAAGATTTATTTCATTTCGTGACAAACAGCAATGCTTTCTGGGGACAAGCCAAGGAAATTTCGATTTGGGCGTGGCCTGTCTTTTTGCCTATTTTGGAAAATGTGGGGTCCTATAGATGAGGGGGCGTGTGGTTCTGGAGGATGGAGGGACTTTGACAGTTCGATGACTTGGCCCAGTTACTTTCCCATTCAAGTCATTGCCGTGTAAGATGTCGAGAAAGATGCCCTCTAAGGCAAGTAACATACCCATCTTAAGCCGAAATCTTGGCTATTATCTCCACTACATCCACAATCTATACAAGATTGCGTAGATATCCTTTTCAGGTAGTTTAAAGGGCATGGTCAGAATATTTACCATATATGAAATACCCCATTTTCTGTACATTCCCCAAGAAGAATGCTCCGAATGGAGGAATACTCTGAGTGGCTGTTTAAATAGACCGAGGACTTCCATTTCCCTCCATCACACCTAAAAATCCCTATCTCTTTCTATCTACTTCTGTTCTACCTATTGGATTCATTCTCCAAATCCACGAAGCAACCATGCAATTCTTCAACTACGCCGGCACCGAGGCAAACTCGGAATCCTTCCACTACTCGCAAGCCGTCCGCATCGGAAACACTATCAAAACCTCTGGCCAAGGTGGCTGGGACGAGAGTGGCAATGTCCACCCAGACATTGAACAACAAGTGGCTGTCGCTTTTGAGAATGTCGCAAAGGCCCTGAAGAGCGTTGACCCGCGTCTGTCGTGGGAAAATGTCTATGCAGTGCGCAGCTATCACATCAATGTGGATCAGACATTCGATATGGTCACCGGCAATTTCAAGAAGGTTCTCCCTGGCCATCGGCCCATTTGGACCTGTGTCGAGATTGGCAAGCTGGGAATTGAGGGGATGGTGATTGAAATTGAGGTTGAGGCTCATTGCCCTTACTAGCTGGGGAGGGGTTTCCTCCAGCGGGCTCGCCCATGTGACGAATCCGTGTATATAATTTGCAAACGAGAACTTCTACACTCATAAAACAACATGATTTTCAATCATTGTAGTCGTATTATACCTGCGAGGTAAAAGCAAAGAACGGCCCCGAAATCAGAGCGAGCCGAAAGGAGCCGTAACCCGAAACCTTTCCACTTCCATCTTAGTGCTCAGGTTCCTACTCTACTCCGGACACGAGACCTCAATCGTCATTTCCCTGTCTTTTTGTCCCCTCTAAGATCCATCCTTTAATACCGGCCATATCGAGCGGCACACAATCAGACACTAACCCAGACGAGGCCGTGCGTCTAGCCGTGGAGCGATTTCGCGCCAAAATAGAGTTCTCAAATCGGCAGTTCATTTAAGACCGCATCGATGAGATCGATGCTATACAGAGACTCTCGACCGAAGATTAACAGTTACGTCACATGCTTAAGTACTAGGCTGATTTGGACATCAAAGATTGGAGTAACTGGGGTGATGACGCTCCCAAATATATTATTCGACGAGAGAGCGAGAGAGCAAACGTCTCGCCACTAGAGGACCTGAAGACGATATTTCATGAACGTATGAATGGAATCATTCTACCAACGCTGGTTACAGATGAATGGCGCGAAATATTTCTTGGGGTCGTTGAAAGCGTGTGGCCGCTGAGCAAGATGAGGACGATGAGGATTTCCATATTCCAAGATGTGATCAGCTGGGTCACTTCCTCAAATACGCCAATGGTGCATAATATCCCGACTTCCGTAGCTCGGGTATGTATCTGTCTGTCCGGACCCGCGCCATTTGGATTTGGAAACGATTTTGCATTTCCTGATCGTCCGAATGTTCAAGCACGACCTCCTCCTGAAAACGCGAAATCCCGGGAAGAACTAACGGACCACCTTCAACACAACATTCTAGGTGGAGCGAGTTAGAGGTGAAGGTCGGTTTCCAAACTGGCCTTGGCTTACGTCGAGAACACGATATAATGTTCAATAGTTGTAATTGTATTATCTTTCCATATTTAAGATAGAGGTAATAACATGGCCGAAATCGGAGCGGGGCGGGAGCTGTACCGTATCTGCATATCTGTAGTTCTGATAAAGGAAGAGCAAATTGCCGCGAGATCGAGGTAGACCCAATTGGGAAAGCTTTTGGGCAACTTCCATGACCATTCCTGGGACCATTCCTGGGACCCACTCCACAAGACCGACAAATGGTACCGATAAGCCCAACTGAACCAGTCCCAAGGGCCAGGTGGCCCTACCCCGCAATCATCTAACTGTAAATATAGTAGTTCCAAGCTTGGCCATGGGGACCATGATAACAGCCCTGGGAATGTCATAGATACGTGACCCTGCCATAATGGCTTCCTCATTAAGCCGGGGGCAAAAAGATAAATGGCCCAACTGCTTTCCCTTGTTGGACTAGAACAAAGCTTCTTATCCAGGTTCATGCTGTGGGGAAACGGTATAAAGACCAATGCTGCATACCCACAGAATGAATGTATAAACCGGACAGTATTCTCTATTCCAAATTGGGGCAACCAACGGAGACAACCATGGAGAAACAAGACCTCAGCATAGGGTCGTGCGACAAACTCGAAACCCATGGGCTCGGAACATATCAGGATGAACAGCTATACCAATTGGGGTACAAGCCTCAGCTGCGCCGCACGCGCAAGTTGTCGAGCATGCTGTTCATGTCCCTGTCGATTGCCTCCATCCCCTATGGTGTCGGTAGTGCCCTGATCAATGCCGTATATGGCGGCGGCCAACGTTCCCTCTTCATTGGACTTCTGGTAGTGTTGGCACTAGATACGTGCGTCGCTCTTTCTCTTTCAGAACTTGCCTCGAGATACCCAACCTCATCTGGTATCTACCACTGGTCATTCCGGCTCCTGAAGAACAACGGCAGCAGAAAGCTAGTCTCGTTTGTCACAGGCTGGATCTGGCTCATCGGAAACTGGACCATATCGCTTTCAGTGAACTTTGGAATCGCTTCTCTCATAGTTGCAACCGTGTCTATCTTCTATCCCGCCTGGACAGCTTCTGATTGGCAACTCCTTCTCATCTTCTACGCTATCTGCCTTGTAGTTTTCATGATATGCTTTTTCGCAGACCACCTCCTTCCTCTAATCGACACACTCTCCGCGGCGTTTTCGGTCGTCACATGCATCACACTCGCCATAACCCTCCTCGTCCTTGCGAAAACCGGTCGTCACGATGCCTACACAGGATTTGTTGGGTATGACCCCAGCTATTCTGGCTGGGAGAAGCATTTCACGTTCTTCATCGGCCTACTACCCCCAGCTTACGCATTCTCCGCACTGGGAATGGTGACCTCCATGGCAGAAGAATGCACAGACCCAGAAGTCCAAATTCCCACAGCTATCAGCCTAGTACCTGTGGTAGCCGGTGCTGCAGCGCTGATATTCACTGTGCCAATTTGCTTCACTCTTCCACCGCTAGCGGATATCATTGCTGCGCCATATGGCCAAGCCCTGCCATATATCATCCACATGGTGACAGGTTCACCGGCAGCCTCAATCGTCCTCATGATCCTGGTTCTACTCGTCGCCCTTTTCTGCTCCATCAGTATCACAACCACCGCCGGGAGATGTACCTGGGCGTTCTCGCGTGACAATGCAATCCCATTCTCACACCTATGGTCATCCACTGTCAGGGACAGCCCACTGGCAGCGTTATGCTTGGTTACTGCTATTGAAATGCTACTGGGACTTACCTACCTCGGAAGCAGTAGTGCATTCACGGCTTTTGCCTCGGTGGGCGTGATCGCGTTAGCTGTAGCATATGCGATTCCCATCGCGATCAGCTTGTTTGTTGATCACCGTGTGGAAATTAGTCAGTCGCGCTGGAAGCTGAATCCTCTCATTGGAAAGTCGGCGAATGTCCTTGCGCTGTTGTGGATTTCTTTCCAGGTTATTCTATTCAGTATGCCTGTCACGCTTCCTGTCACCAGTGAAACCATGACCTATGCGTCTGTTGTGTTTGTGGGTTGTGTAGCTTTAAGTATGGGCTGGTATATGTTCTATGGACGGAGATGTAAGAATTTACCTTCCCTTGACTCGAAGATGAAGTACTAACTTGGATACAGATTTCAAAGGGCCTCTAGAAGAAGCCGAGCATTAGTAACTTGGAATTAAGTTTATATAGCGCGCTTGTTAGTTGGGTTGACATAGTCTTAATAATTATATTCCTGACACTTACACTAATCTCCAAACGTAATCTAAAGAATTATATTCCAACTTAAATGTTAAGCACCACTTTTTGACAATCTTACCGAAACTACCATTGGCCTATACTGAACCAGACCACCCGTCGATAATTTTTGAATCCCACACAGGTGGGCCGAGAATATGACGACATCTCCAACCGTTCACCACATTGGGAAGGCCTAGGAGACCTTGGGAAGGGACAAGATAGGAGAGTTTCCGAATTGCGGGGAAGTCGCACTCAATGCAGCCCTGTCCACGGTACTTAAGTGGGGATATCCACATATAAGACCTTATCGGGACACACTATACCTAAACGGATGGGTACTTCAACTCTAGGTCGCTTAGGTCGTTTGTGGCCCAAATATTTACCTGATTAGGTTTAGCGCTTTTAAGATGCTCTATCAAGTGTCCCAGTTTAGGACATGAAACTTAGTATGTATACACACTTTATTTAAGAGCACCTACACCCCATCAGCTATGTATACTACTTACTACAACTGTTACCGTCAACGAACTTCAACATTAGACGAAAAACAATGATTCCCATCAGCATCGCGCCTGCATCAGGCGCCCTTCCTTTTCTAGGTCTACTCCTGTCCATCCTCACATGGGTAGTAGTGAAATGGCCAATTCGCCGTAAATCCAGCACACCTCAAATACAACAACCGGAGAAAGAACTATTCATCAAACCACTTCCCAGCCCTCATCCCAATGATCCGACTTCAAATAATCCCAAATTGTATCGCCCGTTCCGACATGGGCCCAATTTCATTACAATGGGAATTCGCAAACTGCACTGGGACAACTGGATTGAAATGGATTCCTACTTTCTTCGGTACCACGATATGAAAGCAGCGGAGTTGAAAAAGGATTTCAAAGAACATATCAAATATGTCGATAATGCAGTCACCAAAGATGCTTGTTTTGAGCTTAATGAGGAATTGGTCCGTCATCTGACACATCGTTATCCCAAGACCTTCCGATTAGAAGAAGGGAAAGTGCATAATAGCCTTACCGGGGAGGCGTTTCCATTCCCGGCAGGTATGCTCAGATTCATCTCTTGCAAAAAGGATTTCGGTTGACTTTAACTATAGCAACCCCTGACGAGGCTCTCGCAACATCAGCTCTGCTGGTTCAGGATGACTTAGTGCTGATGATGAAAAATGATGGTATGTTCTCTTCGCTTGGGATTCAAAATGCTCAATATCTCATGCAATACAGATGGAGAATACCACCTCGACGCAGCCGCCGTCTGTCTTCCCGGCTTCTGGCGTCTTAGGGAGAAATTCCGCATGTCCCTAGATACGCTTCACTTCGAAGCTGGCGTTCCTCATTATGCGGCCAAGTTACAAAAAGCCATGAATAAGTTCATGCTAAAACTTACCCCGGACAAGCCAGTGGAGAGAAACAATGTATGTTTAATCCATCTACTGCCTCGTTAATTACAGAACATATAGTTCTAACAGAAACTACAGTTCTTCATCCAGCTCGACGACGGACTCCACTGGTCACACCGCATGGGCGATCAACAAGGAACAGAAGTAGCATGTTCGTTCCCTATTCCCTCTATTTATAGATGAAGCAGATATTAACGGGATTAATCACCAGCATGGGCGACTGCCAACGGCAGAGACCTGACAATTGACGAAATCCACTTCCGCTCAGAAAGGCAGACACTACGTCGGCTGCCACGCTCGGGGGCGATTTTGTTTACCATTCGCACGTATTTCGAACCTGTCACTAAATTGGCTCAGGAGCCTCATATCCCTGGTCGATTGGCGGAGGCTATTCAGAATTGGGATGAGACTGTTTCTTACTATAAAGGCAAGTCCAGTTGGGATAAGATTTTGATGCCGTATCTAGATGAGCAGGATCGTTTGCAGAAGGAGCAGGGACTTGTGGAGAGAGTTGAGGGTGAATTCCCGTACTAAATTGCATTGCTTAGCCTTTTGTTTTGTTTTTGAGTGGAAAGTTGGAATCAACGCTCTTGTATATATCCAGAAAATAGCCGTCCAATAAGAACGCTAAAATATACACCATTTCATCTTTTGAGTGTGCAGATTTGGTCGATATATCGGATCATCCTATTCCTAGCACATCCTTATACCCGTCTAACACCCTACCTTTTTCGACGTAGGTAACGCAGCCGGCTCAGATGATGAGTCTTTATCTCTTTCCTCCCCTTCCCGACCAGCGGCTAGAGGAGAGTGACAATCATATACGTAACTAAAACTGATCTGTATAGGGTGGTTGTATACTGGGGATGCACCACCATTTATCGTTAGGAGCGGTGTAATAGCGAGCTACATCGGGTTAATGAGAACATCATCATCACCATAATCATCATCATATAAGAGTAGGCAGTACAATATAATGGAGGGAACCCAATAAATAATATTTTCGATAATACTATCAAAACAGAACAAAGAGCACAATCGCCAACACCAACACCAGGGTATAAATAAAAACAAAATCCAAAACACCGAAGACAAACAAACAATCCAAAATCACGCACAAACAAGGATGGGCCAAGCGCAAAGGGGCAAAAGCAAGCCTGCACAAGCCGACACAAGTCAACATGGCAAGCGCCATGTATATACAATAGCCTGCGTGAGGAAAAGGATGAGCGAAGCCACCATCCCGGCCGGTTCCGGGGTAGGTGGTAGAGACAACACGATCGGCTTATTTACCCCGCCGAAGGGTACCGAGGACTTCGGCCAGAGGGTTATGCTTCTTCGACTTTGGGGGAGACGGTACCCCCCGCGGAACGCGGCCCCATCGGATCGGAATGCCGTTGTTACTATCCGAAGTCCCTACTTCTCCCCCGTGGGGACACCAGACTCCTCCACAATTATATGGAGAGTGGGGATGTGGTAGGTGGTAGAGACAACACGACCGGTTAACTATTTGCTGCCCCGAAGGCACCGACGACTTCGGCCAGTGGGTTGACCTTCTTCGACTTCTGGGGGAGACGGTATCCCCGAGGAACGCGGATCCACCGGGTCGGAATGCCATCGTCGCTATCTGATCTCGCTTCCGCTCCCACCGTGGAGGTACCAGACTCCTCCACAATGAGTGCCCTTTGTGGGTCACTTAGTCTGCCCTCATGGGCCAAAAAGCTGGACATTCATTTTATTAGCATGGCGGATCAATACGACAGAACAAAGTAGGCTACACATACCGAATCAGCCAGACGATGAAGGCCATCACAACAACTAGGCCAATAAGACCACAGGCCCCAGGGACCACACTCTGTGTTTCGTGGTGTATTGTATTGTTTGCCATTTTGGAATTCATTGTTAGGCAACCTGTTGAACTAGATCGCTTCTTTGTGGGAGAAATCTGGACATACATTTCATTAGCATGACAGACCAATACGACAGAACAAAGCAGGCTGCACATACCGAATTAACCATACGATAAACAATACCACAACAATCAGGTCAGCAAGGCCACAGGCCCAGGGACCACACTCTGCCAGGCAGGAGTTTCGTTCTGTGTGCGTGCCATTTTGGAATTCATCGTTGGGCAACCTGTTGAAGTAGGTCGCTTCTGTGTGGGAGAAATCAGAGGAAGAATGATTAATTGATTCAACTAGGAAAGCAGGGGTCTATGTACCTACAGGCAGGCACCTTGATCACGTAACTCTGATTAAGTTTTGTCGTTCCTTCCTTTTTGGTGCATACATACATACATACATAGTTACATACATACATAGTTACATATCCATGGATGTCTCCATAGTAGTATACAAGTCAGCAACATCAACCTTGGAACCTTCAGAAAACCTTCTACGCAACTAGACCATTTTCGGAGGGTGATCGCACGATGACTCGGAGATACGATCTTTCTTCAATCTTCTCCTCCCGAGGTACTGTCCAAGGCTTTCTTATCTTTTTTCTGCTAAGCTTTCCACTCGCGAGCATGGAAGTTTACTCTTCCGAACGGGAAACAGTCGTCGACGTGCTTCTTGCCGAGCAAGCTCTGCGCGAACTGTCGCAGGCTGAGGAAACGCTACACCATAGAGCTATGGCCTTACAAAAGACCATAGCTATCGAGTCTGATCGGCTCCAACCTGACAAGACCACGCCTGTCGAATCTACTAGGGTCGAGCTTGAAAAGACGGATCAACAGCTTAAAGGGGTTCAACTACAATATGCAAGAAAGGAGCAAGCCCTTCACGAAGCGACATCTATGCTTAGACCCTACTTTAAAGTACCCTATGATGAGTTAAGGCGTGATCCTAAATGGTTTATGCGAGAAGAACTAGTACAGGACTGTTCGGATCGAGGTGGATGTTGTGGCCGGGAATGTGGGTGCTGCGCACAGAGGTATCTATCTCGAAGGAAGAAAGGCAGAGGCCATTGCACTATAGAGTGTCAGTGCTGTATCGGCTTTCGAGGCCTCGAGTTTCCAGAGGAAGATAAAGAGGAGATTAGGAGAAATTTCGAAGCTAGGCTTGAACCCCGGGGCTCGCGTTACTTTCACAACCTGGTAAATTGGTCTTTTTGTCTATTAGAGTGCCAAAAGCCTTCAAAACCAAAGTCCCGGTGGCATCGAATTTTCCGAACGGGTTCCAACTGATGAGAAAGAGTCATGAGGATGGCCGTACTTTGCTTGAATGTCGCTACTTTGCTCGAGAATAATCTGCTAGGGGAATGGATTCTTTTGACCACTCTTGTTTGATTCAAATGTCCTGGCCGATATCTACTATCCATGTATATAACAAGATTAGATGTAAAAGTACGTGATATGCAGATCGTGATATCCAGGTAGTTAGTTCTTCTTGATAAACAATATCAAATAACAGCAGAGGCATTTTTCAAACAGCTAGAAATCCAATTAGACAAAGATGTTGATGAGCATTGCATACCATATGCTCACATCGGTTCATATGGGGCACCGATCCATGTTACATATAGCGTATACGGTTATACAGTCCTTAGAAAGAGGACAACACCCCTCCACTAGCCGGAAGTTTCACGCGAAATCGACTCGGCAATGCCTGTGTTTCTCGGCACGGTTCATGGGGCTGGTGAGATCCGCCATATGCTGATCATGGCATGGGGTGGCGAGAACCTAGAAAAGATGGAGATGCCGCCGGACTTGGAGAGACAGATTCGGAGGTCTAGGAAAGAGATATATGCGCACGGTATTGTGCATGATGATATGCGCTGGCCTAATTTATCACGGAATGTCGAGTTGCAAACAAGAACGCAGGACCAAATAAAAGGTCCTCTGGTGATCTGCGGGAGCTATTGCTGAAACGACGGCGTATGACATGAGTATGGATATGTTTTGGAATCGCAATACAATGGAGATCTGTGAGGAAACAATGTATGTGGGCTCATGGCATGAAGTGGACTGAGGGAGAGAAAGGGAGGAAGAGAGGAAGGGGAGAGAGGAGCTATCTGCCTATTTATGTTGTACAGGACCTGCCTGTCACATGGGATGCCTGGGCCATCCAACAATATGTCACTTAGATATACCTACACGTATATAGCCATGGAATGAATTGATCTTCCTTAGATAAATTGAAAATGATTAAACCGTGTAAGACAAATAATGGTACGTGTAGGTGTAGACATAACTAATCATTTCTGTTTAATATACATACATCATTGGAAGTTTTCCGGTTGCCAAATTGGGACACTATTGTACATTTTGTAGAATTCACACATAACCCTCTCTACTGTTTCTGCTCAGTTTCAGTGTGATTGGAGACCTGCTCAGTCTCAGTGTGATTGGAGGCCTGCTCGGACTCGACATCATCCCGAGCACCTTGGCGATTGTTGTAAAAGCTCTTCTTCTCAAGCTTCTTCTGCTCGCGACGCTGGTGGTCCTCAGGGGTCAAGACCTTGCCCTTAGCAAAGGTGACCATCAGCTTGCGGCCGTAAGGCGCCTTGCGGGACAGAACCTCCTTGGCGCGGGAAGCGCTATTCACGTCGACGAAGTCGACGTGTCCGAATCCACGGGGCAAACCCGTGCGACGGTCGACGGGGATGCGGACATCGGTGACACCGGAGATATCATCGAACAAATCCTGCAGATCCTGGTCCGTCAATTCATAGGGCACGTTGCCCATGTAGAGGGTCTTGCTAGGACTGTTGCCGGTCATGGATCTGTACGTCGTGTTGGAGAACTGCACGACCACCTCACGGCCTTCGAAAACGCCTCCGTGCTGTTGTCTGATTGCTTCCGTGGCTTCCTCGACGGTGGAGAAGGTAACGTAGCCGAAACTGGAAGGGATAATGGGTCAGTGCCTGATAGGGGTTTCAGCTGCATTGCTGCTGCTGTCAATCGTCGGTTTTGGGAACCTACCCTTTGCTCAACCCGCGGGCATCGTGCACAATCAATGCGTTCTCCACGGCACCGAATTTCTCAAACTGCTTGCGCACGTCCTCTGCGGTTACGTCGAAGAAGAGGTTGCCCACGTACACGGTGGTCTTCGGTAAAGCGCCCTCGCTCATATACTGACGTCTGCGTTCTTGTCTTTCCTGACGGTAGTCCTCTGGCTTCATATCTGGTGTGATAGCCTCAACATATCTGACCGGAATTCGTGGACCGTCTTCATTGGTCGAGTTTAACCGAGTCTGTGTGAGGGTTGGGTAGGCGAACAGCGCAGGAGTGGGACATGCTGAGCGCAGCACTGTACTAGAGGCGGTGATCGATGAACGCGAAATGGCTGGGGACAATTGAAGCCGAGAAACGGCCCGGCGGAAGCAATGCCTGGGGATTGTTTAGTATTCGGCAATCTTCCAAAGTTACAGCAGAGATCGAGGGAACATGAGGTATAATGACTCGGACTCGGACTCTGCATTCAGTACGACTCACATCTTAATAATTAAATTAACACAAGATGTGTTTAATCACGTATTAGAAATAATATGTTGACAGGAGAAGAATTGCGTGAAGCCAGATACTTTTTCCCGGATAGATAGATAAGTACCGACACGTGACTGATATAGCGCCTATGATAACAAGAGTAGATTGAGGTTGTAATCGGATTTGGTGGATTCGGCAGAATGGGGATTTGAAGAATAGAGGATGCTATTTCGGACACGAGTACGTTTATGGATACGCCTGCTTTGCGAATGTTGCATTGGATTATTTGTTGTATGTTGGTATGCTAATGGGAATCGGGGGTCTGTTGCTTTGAGGGATTTGATGGGTACTACTACTGGGCCATTTTGTTATGTTTATTTGTGATGGAAGTGGGATTGATGGGAACTTCAATGTATAGTTATTGGTGTAGGGATGTTCAGCAAACTGGAGTACAATCGCTAGTTTAACTGTATAGAAACATTTTCTGATCCGACCCTCTTGCCTTCACACTCGATCGAAATCTCCGTGGAGGCGCCTGAGGGTACCATCTCAATCGTGTAATGGAACCTCTTGCATCTCTGACCACCGGGACCTTTGTGACTTTCAAGTTCATCGTATTCAAAGCCGGTAAGATCGAAGTTAATGGTGGAATGAAGCCTCACACCAGGACTGGTCAATCTTTTAGGCGGCCGTTCGTTTTCGCACTGATAAATCTTCACTTTGAAGGAAGACGGTGGGAATTCTTCCCTCCTAGTATATGTTCTGTAGAACTCTTTCCGGATAGGAGATGCCCTCATAATTTCCTCGCCCTAGTGGTAGTTGTTAATATGCAAGTTTGTGGTAGGAAAACCCCAATTGTGCCTACCTTTTCGATATACCACGACATCTGATTTCTCGCCTTGTAAATACCCTCGGCTTGACATAAATACTTATCTTTATGGCGATGAACCCCTTCTACGAATCGAGGTGTTGAGTTGACGCCGAGACACGTCCTAGAGATGGTTGAAAGAATAGTAGGAGCATTAGGCACCTCCACGGAGATAGGGGCCTCCATGAGTCCTTTGAGGATGGCTCCACGGCAGATGGCAGTATGTCTTTTAATCATATCTTAGTTAACAATATCCGGTCAAATGTAATAGCAAAAAGACGTACCTCCTGACGGCGTTAGACCGACAGATTTCGATACCCCGATGTGAATATTCGGCCTCGAGGCGTTCGCGGATATAGGGGCTGGAGCCGAGGCCCCGACAAGAACGATTCCCTTGATAGTATGAGCATCCTAGAACTGACAACAAGATACTCCTACTTACAGTCACATCATGGCCTTTGTCTTCAGCCGTTTCTATTTGCTTGTCCACTAGTTTTAGGTGACCAGGAATAGCTCTAGCGTCAAAGGCCGTTTTGATGTCAGAGCTAAGTTCCTAGTTAATGGAAAGTAATCATTGCACCGATTGAGGAGACGTACCTAGGGAAAGTAGACATACCCATTCTTGATATGGGGCTTGCGGGATGTATCATTCAAGTCTGCGCCAGATAACGGGCCACGCAGTATTGACAATGTCCAAAAAGGGCGATGGTCCTGTAGAGAATATCGTGACTTGATACCGGACTCCCATTCTTCTGCTAGGATAGTTTTGATATCAGCAGGGGTAAAGCTATACCATTTACGGCCGATACGAGCTTTGCATTGTGATTTGAAGTCTTCGTCGATAAAGATTCCACCACAGACACTGCCTATACATTGTTAGCATATCTGTAGCTTGCACATCTCTTTTTGTGACGGAGCGAAGAGAGCATATAATTAGCTTACCATCACCCTCGACCGCTTCGCGCAGCTGGAGAGGCTTCGTATCTTCAATCTCGTAGGTAATCACATCCGTATGACAGCGCGACGGCAATTAGTCGGTGCCTTAGAAAGCATCGTCGTAACGCGAATTGAGCCTACTTACCACGGACCCTCCTCCAGCATCGCAAATCACAAACACATCACCCGGGTCAGTTTCTTGGGAGAGTTCGGTTTCATTTGGGACTTTGAGTTGTTGACGTCCATGGTAGACCGTACCATGTTGTAAGTCTCCGGTTCTCTGTACTAACCTTGAGAATGAGGTTCGATATGAAGGTTTGAAGGTGGGAAGTAGGTACTAGTTGTGAGGGATTAAGCATGTTCACGACTTATATAGGTACCCCCCCCCGGCATTCTTACAAGCTCACTGATAGCATACTCTTCTGTCACAAATAACCGTTCCGGAAAACCCCCGTCGTAAAATGCTGGAAATTTTCAAAGTCGCGTATCGTACCGACGGTATCGTTAGGTCCCCCCTCGACAAGGATGGGAATGGTTGCCTGCCCGAATGACTTTGGCAGCTTGCATGTCCCTTTGCATATCGGTTATAATCGGGCGTTAATGCACTATTAGCTGGGCTCTCCCAATGTGTCTATACTGATATTCGTGGGATGCAAGGCTGTTGGTTAGTTAGTCTGTCTCTCACACAGCGCTCCGTGTCTAGATTTTAGTCCAGTTGGCGCCTATGCATATGGGAAAGATATATAGCATGGCTGGCTGGCTTTCGGGGAAAGGACACAGATAGCGTTATGCTTCTCTTCGATATACGATACTTAGAAACCATACCCAGTTGTCTTTCCTGCCGTACTCGTATTCTATGATACAAGTCAATTTTGCAAATACCGATCTGCTGGGGCTCTGGTATACTCCGTAATAGACAAGAACGTTTCCGAGGTTGGGAGACTAGTAAACAATTCAAGGCAAGAAACCTCACCCTTCGCCAAGTAAATGGCTTGAGCGGGGATTGTATGGTTTGCAAAACGTAGGATCCTTAAAGTACTGATACATCTTGGTTTCTCCGCGGAGATGAGTATCTATAGAGAGACGTGGCCGAGTAGTAAACTGCAGCAGCGGCGAGGCTGACTTGCAGCGGCAATGCATTCCCCATATTGAGCCCCCCAAATTTGGGCACCTGCAGTCAGCTCCCGTTAAAGACAGTTACGGGCGATTATAGGGAGTGCCTTGCAGCATATTTTATCACCGCTATATTAATTTCAACTTCTTTTTTACATACACTGACATCTTACTAGATCTCCTTTTTTGGATGTTCTTCTTAGGGTCTTTCTAGTTGTATTTCTGGTTGTCTTTCTAGTTGTCTTTTCTAAGGCATTATAAGGCATGTCCTCAGATTTTAGGTGTAAAAGGCGCTGGGCTGAATATCTTATATAGAGAACATTCAGAAGTTTGGGATTGAAGTGAAGATAAAGGATAAAACACAAATCAAATGTAAGGTTTGACAACTCAGGAGTGGAAATATATAACGGTAGCCTCATGATATGATACATGTACATTAACCAACCCCCAACACCAACAGAATCCATCAAAAGACAACATCTTTTCTCAGATCGCCTGGATTCCTCCATCAAAATGACAATCATAGTCGCTCCCACGCATACCTATCCATCCGGTAAAGAAGAAGCAAAACATTCCTCATTGCTTCAAGTCATTAGGTCAAGAAACCAACAAAACATTCCGAGGTATCAAAAAGGGCCAGCGCAAAACTTTTTCTGGCAAAAGCGGGAGAGAATAAACCATGTGAAATACGAGTACACCTCCACCTCGTTCATTGGGAACCTTGGCCCCGATCATTGTTTTGTGGAGGCATTGGCGACATGCCGTACCCTGTTATAGGCACACCTCCACTGTCGGGGCTGTTGGAGGATGCTGAGAACATTGTCGGTGGCCGGGGAACACCACCAATCGATGGCCCCCGACTTGAGGTCAGAGGACTAGGCAGCGAAGGCTGTGACATGCCTCCAGACTGTTGGGTTGTTTGGCGCTGTGCATCAATCATAGGCCAGAATTGATTGGATGTGTCGAAGGTTGGGTTTTGGATGTATGTATCCCAAGCATCCTAATACCAATATGTTAGCATTGAAATCCGGGTCCTAAAGAAGAAAAGACTTACCCAATCCAGATTAACCTGCATGTCCGGCATCTGCCCGAACATGCTGCTAAAGGGCGAAAGTGCACCCGGCATTTCCGCCGAGGCACCCACGCCACCTGCTCCCATTCCCATTGGCGACTCCCCCGTCTTGAACGTAGGATCGGCAAATGGCGGCGGGCCCGGGTTCATCGGGCTCATTCCGCTGCTCAGCAGGCCGAGGGTCATGGCCGCGTTCTGCTTCTCATCTTGTGGCTCAAAGGAAGCAGCTCCGGCGTTGTTTTCAACGCCTGGGGCCATCATGTGCAACTTGCTGAGCATCACACCAAGTATGCTGGATGCTTTCCATGCTTCCATGCTCTCATCGAGCGACTCATCCCAAATTTCTTTTGAGTGTTGGATTGCGGCGGTCATTTCATCGCGCCGCTCTCGGCCCCAGGTGTACGTGTCTCCAGATGGCCGGCCGCTCACCTGCAATGACAGGCCGTGGTATAGGTCGAGAGTAACAATGGTGGCTGCGAGTAAGAAGTCGGCTGAACTTTGGGAAGTTACACGGCTCTGGCGACTGCGTAGGCGTCCGTTGCGCGTCTCCGCGTGCAGGAGCGCCTGGACTTGTAATAACTCCATTGCCGAGTCGATACATGTCCTTCGAGAATAGGTGAAACGGGGATTTTCCCGTGCGCGAACCACATACGGGCGATGAAGCACACACTGAGCTTTGTTATATACGGCCATTACCTACACAAACGGTCAGTATCGATGTAAGTTGTGGCGGGTTTCAGGAAACTTACGCTAAACCGTGACATAATCAGATTAACAGGGTCCAACTGGCACTCCTCCATAGGTCGAATACGCAAGTGGTCAGGAATCAAGTCCCTTGCTTGTCGGAGTTCCGTGTCGATTTCCATCACCTTTTCGTATGGGGCTGTTGAGACAGCAGAGCTTTGATCAACCACTTTACCGAATACGTATGCCAGACGCGCTTTAGCAATCAAATACGAGATCGGTGTTGGCTCGTTCAACTGACGAGGGGGCGGGAGTTCCTTGCAGTCTTCATCGAAATCATCGTCGTACAAATTCCGTGGTAGCTCAGTATCGCTCTCCGTGCCTCGGATCATCCCCGGCAGCCCGACTTGGTATGAGAACAGAAGGTCGGCCTGGCGCACAAAGGTCCACACTCGCCGTCGCATCTCACCTTGGAAAGGGGTGATGTTTGGGTACATTTTGGAGTCGCGGTGATATCCCGATCGCATTGCCAGGCGAGTAACAACGCCAGTCATGACCCAAATGGAAATGTCCGCTTCTCGAGTCTGAGAGAAATCGCCATGCAAATGAAACACGAACGCTTCAATCAGATACGGGTGAGGTTTTGTGTAGTCAGCCAATGTCAAGCATTGTGCTACAGAATTTCGGAATCCCGCAGCCATATCCAGAGACTTGCCCCGGAATTCAGGTGGCTCATCGCCTTCGCGGTGGTAAGATAGCATTGCCAACCTCATCATTCCGAAGAGCATGGCGATCCAGACGAGTTCGGTCGCGGCAGGATCATCCCAATGTTTATTATACTAGCGGAGTCAGAGTCTAGACTCGCAATGAACTTCCTCTCGGTGGGCTTACCTGTGCTTGAAATGTAGGGCCGTGAAGAACATCTAGACAGAGTCAATATCCGGGTAGAATCACGGGTTATGGACATAACAAATACTCACGTGTTGCAGGATCATAGCAATTGAAATAGCGAGCAATAAGGATGTCAGTTGTATACTTAGAAGGCAAGCCACTCATGATCTCCCCACGGCTCATCGACCTATTGATACCAAACAGCAAATTCGCGCCTGTTGTATCACTAGCTGGGCGGGCCGCTTTAACTTTCTCAACTTGCTCCTCGAGTTGCTTCTTATGCGTTGTGAAGAAACTTCGCACCTCGGAGATCTATTCGACAGGTTAGAGAGGTTCCGGTTTGGTCAAACCTCCTCAACTTACATCATTCAACACAGACACCCAATGAGCGTCGCTGATGTAATACGACTTGTTATTGTCCATCTTCATGACACCAAACGACTTCGTCACCTGGTCCGTGTCACTCTCTTCGGCGCCCTCCATGCCATCCTCTTCGGCATCGATGTCATGGGAGAATCGAGTCGAACCTGTACTACTTTCCCCGGAGAGTGCCGCCATGGCAGCAGCCGGGCCTGCAGACTGAGAGCCGTTTGTCATCAACGAAAGAACCAAGCCTTCTAACCGATCGATGCGGTTTTGCATATCATCCGGTGTATTGGAAACTTGCTGGGTCGAGTTCTTCTTGCGCGAGTTGGGTTGCGCATAATTGCATGAAGCAGCATCTCCTCGTTTGACACAGTTTTCGCAAGGATTTGTACGATTGCATTTCAGCCTGGAACTGTTAGAAAAAAAAAAAAATAGATTTCAGCCATGTCTTGTTGAATGCTTACTTTCTGTGCCGACAAGGCCCGCATGACAAAGGCACCCGGTTTCGTTTCCGGACGACTCTGTAATCTGGAGAGTGGCCAGCACTCGATGAGTTTGTAGAAGGAGGTGTCGGTGTCATTTTGAATGGCATGATCAGTATTGGTGATCAAAATTATTGCGATGTCCTCGGTAACACCCGTAAACACTGGCAAATATGATGCAGTGCACTTCAAGTCAGCGGTCCAGCCGGGCGGGGCTCTCAAACACGCTGTCGAAGTCCGCACAGCTCTGAGACCGAATCAAATATGCCACTCAGTTATTCTGCAATTCATCCAAACAACCTTTCGGTATGATTGTAAGACACCCCTGGATATCTGCACGGGATTCCGAAAGCAATTTGTTTCCTTCCCTGGTCGTAGCAAGGTATGAACAGTTTGGCGCAATGTCGATGCCAGAGGATTTGGCTCGTGTCTTTAGGCAACCGTGCCAGACCTAGGGCTTAGAGATGTGGCTGATGTTGTTCGCGAGTATTTTGTGCGGTCGGAGATGATACGTAGGCCACACAGTATCACCTAGACAAATTTCAGGGTAATGCGATGAACGGATGTGCGTTGTCGAAGCTTGTGAAGGAGGGGTGGGAGATGCCGCGTGGGTGGATAAGCCTGGTCGGGGGCCAAAACCAGATTTGGAAGGCTGTTGATAATATTTTTGATTCAGGAGTCTAGATCAGGGTTCCCTTTAAGTTAACTATCACAACAAATAGATGATCATAAGAAAATGAAGCTAGACAAGGTGGGTGAAGGTCCCCGACCAAATGATGATTAATCCGTTATCTCCGATTTTCCTTATCACCAGATGATCTCACCTCAGTGTAGTGCCAGGTGGACACAATACAACATTGGAAGTTAAGATAAACAGTTTCTACATATATCCTTATGTTTTGAAATGCCTGTTAGATGCAATGCAGAGGCCTTAACTCCGACATCAGGTTGATTCTCATTTTAATCCTAGACTTCGTTTTTCCCTGGTTTGACGCCGATTGGCCAGCTATACGACGATCAGTGACTCATAGGCGTAATTCAATCAAACATCCATAGATGCATATAACTAGTTATGGACCCCATGCTCTTTTTTTAAGGAAAAAGGGGAGAACTACCTATATTGGACGTTAGAGTTACACTAGACGTGGTTTGCATGCGCTACAACATATATACCTCTACTATTACTTATACAATCCGTCACTTACCTCCACCGGCCACCAAGTTTCAATAGCATAGTACTTGTTTGTAAGCGATATAGTATAACTAACTAGTTAGTTATTCCAAGAATTTTAAAGCAACTTGAGAATTTTGCAACGTTGAATAAATATTCACATAAAACTCGATAGCATTCTCACCACAATTCAAGCATTGTCAACCTATCTCCCGGCCGAGCCCACTGCTCTTATACCCTCCAAATGGCAGATCATGGGCCGTAGTTGGGCTAGTGCAGTTAACTCCAATCCAATGGCTCCGGACTCCAGCTTCGTGGCTATTCCAAACGGAGTCTGCTACGGGCGACTATAGGGATCACCGTAACATAACTCTCTCATTGGTTTATACTAGTTAACAACTAGTTATGTAACTAACTAGTTAGTAGTAATATTGAACCCAGATGATGACTTATGATGCCTTAGAAAAGATATATAAAGAGACATCTAGAAAGACAACTAGAAAGACCCTAAGAAGAACATCTAAAAAAGAAGATCCAGTAATATGTCAGTGTATGTAAAAGAGAAGTTGAAATTAATCAAGACGGCGGTGATAAAATAAGCTGTAAGGCACTAGCCAATGAGAGAGTTATGTGATGGTGAGCACTATAGTCGCCTGTAGTCTGCATTGGTGGACTTGATATTGTCCTGAATTGCAGTACTGGAAATCGTCGAGCTACTACATTTGGATATGCTATATGGAGCCTACGATACTGAAAACTTCTTATGTTCGTCCAACCCTTCCGTTAGTACATATAACTAGTTATCGCTTATGCGATGTACGTCTTGTATCTTGTGTATGAGAGTTCAAATTATGTATACTATATTAATTCAACCCTGATGCAGAATAGTGTCGATTATTGCGTTACAAAGAATTCTCGGTTGTTGAATGTCGTCCCGAATGCCGATGCACAGGCTACACTCAAATATGGGGTATATACTTGGCATTCACTAAATACGGGGGATCTGATCTCCTCGAACTACATTCCAGTGGATCCATCTTCCGGTTATTGACGAATCGAAAACTTGCACGGGGTAATGCTTCCTAGGGATACCTCACATGTCTACACTATCGTCCATCGGATCCTGACATGCACAACTGCCGAACTCAGCGTCTTTGTGTGCATCAAAGCGTTTTGAGATCATGATCTCCTTCTAGCGGGGAAGAACATTACGTATGTTGTGTGATATGGCTATATATAACGTGCCGTCCTTATGGCTACTGCGTTGGACAAGGCCTAAGGGATCGGACATAATTATGGCTATTATCTTATATCTTTCTAGTGCTACACTTTACTATGCTGTCTATGCAGTTCCTCCCCTGTTCCTACTCTATCTTGCATTCAATTATTTCTACAATTCATTAAACATCTTTCCTGGTCCTTTCTGGGCGCACCTGACTGATATATGGCGATATATCGATGTGAAGGGTCGACGTCCTGAACTTACCCATATAGCTTTACACCGCAAGTATGGCGATATCGTGCGCCTAGGGCCACGCACTTTGTCCTTCGCGGACCCAAAGGCAACAAAAGTGATCTACGGTCTAAACAAAGGATTCACCAAGGTAGTTATACGCCGGCCCCTGCAACACGCACGCCTTCTAATTGAGAGGATAGTCCGAATTCTACCCAGTACAAATGAGCGTTTCTAAAGGCGAGCCATTACCATCACTGTTCTCTACGTTAGATGAGACATTTCATGCGAATCTCCGCCGTTCTGTGAACCATGCATTCTCAATGAGCTCATTAGTACAGTATGAGCCGATGGTGGATGAAACGACGGAGATTTTCCTCGACCAAACAAGCCGACTCTTCGCTGATGGATCCACGGTGTGTGATTTCGCACGGTGGCTACAATTCTTTGCCTTTGATGTCATTGGAAGCATCACGTATAGCAAACGCCATGGGTTTATCGAGAAAAACGAAGACATCGATGGAATCGTCGGTTCCCTGGCAAATATCTTCGATTATTCTGCCCCTATTGGTCAAATGCCATGGCTAGATAAGCTGTTTTGGAAGAATCCGATATTTGATCTTCTTCAAAAGTTGGGCTTATCAGATAATTCTCATCCTGTGGCTATCTTCGCAAAGCACCGCATGGAAGAACGTATGTCAGCAAAAGTTGATGTAACAGGATCAAAGGATGACCTTCTCACAAGGTTCCTCAAGGCGGGTGAAAACCGTCCAGATTTCATGACAAACAAACGCATCCTTACCATGGCCGTCTCTATGGCCTTCGCCGGGTCTGAAACAACCGCCATCAGCATTGCCGCCGTGTTTTACTACTTACTTAAGAACCCTGCGTGCATGTCACGGGTTAAACAAGAGCTGGATGACGCCGTGCACAACGGTACGATCGTGAACCGCCCAACAGGACTTGTCTCATGGACAGAGTCACAACAGCTGCCCTATCTCGATGCCTGTATAAAAGAAGCTTTCCGTATGCATCCTGCTGCAGGACTTCCGCTGGAACGTGTTGTTCCTGCATCGGGAGTGGAGATATCCGGTCATTTCATTCGTGGCGGAACAATCGTTGGTTGCAGCCCCTGGGTTATTCACCGTCGTGAAGACATCTTTGGTTCAGATGCCGACGTATACAACCCGGATAGATGGCTTACTGCGCCGCCGGATCAAATAAAGGCTATGGATGGAATGATGCTCCAGTTTGGTGCCGGTTCGAGGACCTGCATTGGAAAGAATATTTCTCTAATGGAGATTTATAAAATTATACCCAGCTTTTTGCGGAGGTTTGAGGTATATTCTCTTTGTTTTCTACGCGGGGCAAATAGTAGGGATGCTAACTTATTTCTTTGTTAGGTACAATTGGCATATCCTGACCAAGAATGGAAACTGTGGAATGCATGGTTTGTACGCCAACACAACTTCAAGACGATTTTTACGGACAGAGAGATTATAGTATGATTTAGCATTGGTTATTTTTTATTTTTTATCTTATGTATTGAATCCCGGAACTTTTATATATTTATTTTTATTACCAAATGTGATTTCTCAAGAGACATCCTTCTTAATGAAAAGGCTTTTCGCGCCCTTTGCAATATCAGCATACATCACTGTAGATGACTGGCTTTTTTAGATTAGCAGAGTAAACTGTCTTCAGCACAAATAACTATCCTAGTTGGATCAACATGTTGAATCATTATTTTATAATCCTTTCACACCAGCCCTATCCCCAATTTCTGTACCAGAGGTCCAACTATCGTACAAGTGCTAGATTGAAGAGAAGAAAACTGCGAAGGACTAATATTCAAATGTGTGGACATCTTGTTAACCTGTTTGGGGATTATATAGCGAGCATTATGCTTCTGATCTTAACAAAGAAATAGGGGCTAAGAGGCACTAGTAACTACATAACTATATCATCCTAACTAGTTAACTATAGTTAACTGTAATAACTAACGTGTAATATCGAATGCAACACAAACACCAACCAACATCAACCAACACCAACATTTAGGCTGCAACATGGAACTGACACTCTTAGGGCAAGGCTGATCTGCGGGATTAAATCATTGGATATTATTGTACACGAACTCCCCTAACTCATATCTAGCTACAGCAGCCAACGGAAATATACATAACTAGTGAAACTCAGTATTATTTTTCCTATCACAGAAATAACCTGGAAATACACCGCTATCATATCCCTGCATGTATCTACCGGTCGACCGCAGGGACTACAAACAGCAACGGGTATACGGAGTAGAGCTAGGCTTTGTTTTTGTTGTTTTTTTCCTTTAACAAAGAAACCAGTAAAAAAAGATACGAAAAATGACCCTATTTCTGTGTCAATAAGTAAATACTTGACACATTGTCCTGATATTGTACTACATATACTATGTACCAAGTAGATATAGTTAGTAGAGGACCATGGGAAACGATGAAGTGTTATAGTCACTTCATCACACTTCATCCATACCAACTAGAAGCCTCCAGAACTTGTACAACTATTTACCTACTTATATTCTATGTATATAAGTAGTGAATTAGCCAATTGTCACCCTGGTCACCCTATAGTCACGCTATATACACCCCTGTTAGCTGCCAGCGCAGCAAATAAAGAACAAACGATACATCACTCCATAATAATACTTAATAAGCCGTCCATCCCCCATTCCCCCAATTCTCCACTATATTCCTATTTTTTTTTTTTTCAACATCTTCAAACCCATATTGCCATCTTTATCCATTACCTTATTATGAGTGACAATCGGGGTCGTGGACGTGGTGACCGTGGAGGTGATCGTGGCCGGGGTGATCGAGGTCGGGGTGCCGATCGAGGTCGCGGTCGCGGGGAAAGTCGCGGCGATTTAGCCTTCCGCCCAGCCGGTAGAGGGGATGGAAATCGTGGTGATTTCCGAGGTGATTTCCGAGGCCGAGGTGGTGATAGGGGTCGTGGCGACTTTAGAGGAAGTGATCGGGGTCGTGGCCGAGGTGGAGGTGATTTCCGCGGTCGTGGTGATTTTCGTGGCGGTCGTGGGGGTGGACGTGGAGGTGCTACCAACTTTGGCCCACCTATCTTCAGGTTTGCCTCTCACTCTTGGCTACTTACTCATTGAACAAATCTAATCGTTTGCCTATAGACAAGGCGAACCTATCCCACCTCCTAATACCACCGTCACCAAGACCGAAAATGACCTTGCCAAAGCTCTGACTGTGAGCGGCAAGAAGACAATCAGACAGGCAAAATATCCCGAGCGTCCTGGTTATGGCACAGTTGGCAGGCCGGTGACTTTGTATGCAAACTACCTGCCGTTGACCCTGCCTAACAAGCAGCTGTTCCGCTATCATATTTCCATTGCAGCCGACTCTGCAGGCCGATCTGCCCCTGTGGGCAAGAAGGCCCGACACATTGTGCGTCTGCTGTTGGAGGAGCACTTCCCCCAGCAAAAGAACAGTATTGCGTCCGACTTCCGGTCTACCCTAGTCTCATGCGTCAAATTGACTGAGGGTAAATTCCATGTGCGATACAAAGAGCACATTGATGATGACTACATCGATCCACCCCGCGTGCACCAGGTTACCTGCCAGTATACTGGCGAGATCAATCCTGCCGACTTGGTTAACTATCTGACCTCCACCAACGCCGGTGCCATGCTTGAATCTAAGTCTGAGATTGTGGCTGCTCTCAATATGATCATGGGCCACCACCCCAAGACGGATGACCAGGTCGTCTCTGTAGGAGCCAACAGACACTACAGTCTACGTCAGGATAGCATGGAATCATTCAACCTTGGCGGTGGCCTATCTGTTCTGCGTGGATTCTTCGTCAGTGTGCGTGCCGCGACTGCTCGTGTGCTCTTGAACGTCCAGGTCAAATATCTGGCCTGTTACAATGAAGGGCCTTTGGTCAACGTGATCCAAGGCTACAACAGCAGGAGCACTTATCGTTTGGAGAAGTTCCTCAAGAGCCTACGGGTTCGCATAACCCATATCACTCGAAAAAACAGTCGCGGCCAGCCCCGGCCTCGCATCAGGCCTATCTATGGCCTAGCAAGCTCCAGTGATGGTGGCTCGTCCCCCAACCCACCCAGGATTACCTCCCACGGTGCTGGTCCCAAAGATGTGCAATTTTTCCTAGCTGAATCTAGCCCTCAACCCGTCGCTGTGCCCGGTGCGCCCGAGTCCAAGGCTAAGAAGGGAAAGAAAGCGCCCAGGGCCGGTCCTGCGGAAGCGGGTCGCTACATAACCGTTGCTGACTTCTTCAAAAAGGGTCCGTTGATCTTGACTTTTCCTTCGACTCCCTCCCTCCTCGTGTTATGCTGACTTCTCTATTAGAGTACAACATGACTTTGAATGCAAACAACCCAGTGGTGAATATCGGGTCTCGTGAGAGACCTGTCTATGTCCCCGTTGAGGTCTGCGAAGTCGAGCCTGGCCAGCCAGCTAAATCCAAGCTTTCTGGCGATCAAACAGCCAGTATGCTCCGCTTCGCCGTCATGGGTCGAAAGCCGGGCCAGAACGCCCAGTCGATTGTTACCAAGGGCGTTGGTGTGCTGGGACTTGGCGAGCCCCTAAATGCCACTCTAGTAAGAATTACCTCGCTCCGAAGACCTCGTCAAGATATCTAACCTTCATTTTGCAGTCTGCTTTCGGTGTTAACTCTTCCACTGAGTTGATCACGGTCCCTGGACGTGTTCTCCCCGCCCCAAATGTCTACTACAAGGACGGGAACAGGACCAAGGAAATTAGAACTCAATTTGGCAGCTGGAACATGCGCCAAATCCAGTTCTCCAAGCCTGCGGCCCTGAAATCCTGGACTTATCTTTACATTGATCAGCAAGGCTCCCGCCCAGTTTTCCAAAGCCAAGATCACCTTGACAAGTCTCTGCAAGGTTTCAGAAAGACACTCGTGGATATGGGAATGGCTGTGGGCGCCCACAAGCCCGGAAAACGTGTTGTCCTGACCGGCAAGAACGAAGCCAACGATATCCAGCAAGCCGTCCTCGATCTGCAAAAGCAGCACAACCCAGTCTTCATCCTGGGTGTCCTCTGCGCTAAAGACACTGGCATCTACAACTGCGTCAAGCAAGTCTGCGACGTCCGCTGCGGAATCCGCAACGTGAACGTGCTCGCAGAAAAGCTTATCAACTCCAACGACCAGTACAACGCCAACGTGGGCCTGAAAATCAACCTCAAATTAGGCGGTGCCAACCAAGCCCTGCGCACCGCCGACCTCGGCATAATCTCCGAAGGCAAGACAATGCTAGTCGGGATCGACGTAACCCACCCGTCGCCAGGCTCCGCCAGCACAGCCCCCAGCGTAGCAGGCATTGTCGCTTCAGTCGACGCAACCCTCGCCCAATGGCCCGCCGAGATCCGCGTCCAGGGATCCCGGCAAGAAATGGTCGCCGACCTAGAAACCCTCCTCGCCTCCCGTCTCCAGCACTGGCGAAAACTAAACAGATCCCTCCCGGAGAACATCATCGTCTACCGCGACGGCGTCTCAGAGGGCCAATACAACAAAGTCATCGACGAGGAACTCCCCCTCCTCCAAGAAGCATGCAAGAAAACCTACCCGGCAGACCAGACAAAGAAAGGCCTCCCGCGTCTTGCCATCGTCGTCGTCGGAAAACGCCACAACACCCGCTTCTACCCAACAACAGAACAGGACTCGAACCGCGAGAACCCAATCCCCGGAACCGTCGTCGACCGCGGCGTCTCCGAGGCCCGAGACTGGGACTTCTTCCTACAGGCTCACTCCGCCCTCCAGGGAACTGCCCGTCCTGCTCACTACTTCACCGTCTGGGACGAGATCTTCTACTCCCGTCACCCGGCTAACAGCCCCGGCCCCGGCGCGGCTGATGTCCTTCAAGACCTCACTCACAAGATGTGTTACATGTTCGGCCGTGCTACGAAGGCGGTTAGTGTCTGTCCGCCGGCGTACTATGCCGATCTGGTTTGTACGCGTGCGAGATGCTTCTTGAGTGATCTATTCGACCCTATGTCGCTTGATCCTTCTGGTGGTAGTACCAGTGGCACTGACGGCACGGCGGATATGTCCCGTATGGTGGATGTCAAGATCCATCCTAATATTGCGGAGACTATGTTCTACATCTAGGTTGGTGAATTTCTGGTTTGACATCTATTGGATATCTATTATGCGCGTTTGCGTATCTTTCTGAGACCTTTCTGAGGCCTTTCTGAAATCTTTCTGAAATCTATTTGAAATCTATTTGGAATCTACTTGATTTGGATTGCATTTAATTTATTTGGTGGTGGAAGTGGAAGCGGAAATTGGGATTGATATTGAAACAATTTTGGTGGAGGAATGAAGGATATCACACTTTTGGACCTGGAGAACTCACTCACATTCACTCGCTCAATCTTTTTGGTCTTTGGAAAATGTCGTTTGGGGTATTCTGTCTCGGTCAGCTTCGATACTTGGACACCGGACACTGACATCTAGTTTACTATTTGGAGTAACTCAGCTGTGAGACTCAATTGAATCTTCAAACGATAACATATATGGTCCCTTAGTAGACGTGTACCACTGTTATCTTGAAGTAGAAAAGGGTTTACGAATCTGCTAGAGGAATCAAAGTCAAACACTATAAATTAACAGATAAACGAATCCCGCTCTCGTGGAAATAAACTTGTACACTAGTGACATCTTGAGGGCAACAGGTACAGAAAGGTAAAAAGAAAAGGCAAAAGAAGATAGACAAGAAGGCAAATGGTTGAAGGTAATACATGCAGACCCAAGCATTCCACACTCGACTCCAACTACAAGTTCCAAGCGCGAAGTAAAGGGGAAACCATGGGCCTCTTATTTTTTTCTGTGATTTTTGCAGTTTCAAGGACAATGTCCAAAATTCATGCGGGTATCGATACATAGCTCGTGATCGGAAAGAGGCGGCCGTTGCTTGTCATATAACAGGAAGACGGAGCTTAAGACGACTTCTCCACTGACAAGGGATACATTTGTAGTATCAAAGCTAAGCCCTAGACCAGCGCAGGCTCATTTAGTTCTCTCCGTGGGTCCAGCTGGGCTGGTTGTGGCCGAGAGGGTTGCGCTGTGCAGTGGCATTTCTCCTAACGGGCTCGGGAGACTGCTCGTCGTAGTTACCCCAGTGTGACTCCATCATCTTATTGTGCGCGGTGTGTTTTTGGGCAGCCGGCAGCGGGGACTGCTCATCGTAGTTACCCCAGTGTGACTCCATCATCTTATGGTGCGTGGTGTGTTTTTGGGCAGCCGGCAGGGGGACTGCTCATCGTATTTATCCCAGTGTGACTCCATCATCTTATTATGCGCATCATGCTTCTGGGCAGGCTTGTTCTCCTTGTCAGAGGTCGGGGGCTGGTCCTCGTCGTCGAAGAGACGGTTCTCGTAGAGACGCTTGCCGCGGCCGGCGAATGAGCTGATGACCCGCCCGTCGTCCCCGGATTCTTCATCGGTCAACTCGAAGTGACGGTCTGTGTCGCGACGGGGCTTGACCACATTTGGCTTGCCTTGGGGGATCCGTCGCCATCTTCGTTATCGCCAAAGCCAAAGTGCCGGCGTTCTTGTCCGCGTGGAGCGCGTGAGGCCTTCACGGGCGTCTCGACGTCGTCGAAGTCCCAGTGGGTTGCATGTTTAGTGTTTGCCTGTTTGACTTCTCCCTTTGCTTCGCGCTCCGAGTTGTCGCCGCCAATCTCGAAGTGGTTGTATTTTCCAGGGGCAGTTTTGTAGAAATGGCGGTCTTCGTCAACGGGCCCTTTGCCGGCAGCATTTTCTTCGCCGATCTCAAAGTGGCTGTATTTTCGGGGGTCGGTTCTGTAGAAATTACGGTCTTCGTCGACGGGCCCTTTAGCGGCCTTTCCGTCCTCTTCGTCGACCGGGGCAGCCCGGCGCTGGGGCTTCGAGGGGGAGTCGGGCAGATGGTCATCCTTCACGAAGATATCGCTGAAGTTACGCGTGGCAGGTCGCCCAGACGAGGGCGCAAAGGGAGGCACATAGGCGGGGGCCTTCTTGGTAGGGGACAGAATCTCATTCAATGAACCCGCTCCGTAAGGGTCTTGTGTGTATTTCTTGCTGGATGCAGGTTTGGAGGTCTCCTTGCTCGGGGAGAGGAGCTCGGTCAGGGAGTCGGCTGAGTAGGGATCTCTGATGCGGCGCTTGCCTGGGGATGAGGGGCGATTGGGGAGCTTGGTCTCCGAGTCCTGAGAAGCAGGCTGCGAGGGTGCCAAACGCGCTGTCTCGGCGGTTTTGAGAAGACGGAGTTGATCTTTTCCATCACGAACGGGCCATTGGCGTCCGCGCGCTCCAATAACCTCGACTTGCTTCAGCAATGAGGCTTGATCCCAGTAAATGCGGATCTGCTTGATCTGTTTATCGGCGTCGAAGTGGACAATGTGAACCTGCAGGATGATGCATTAGCTTCCGATAACGCGACGCGCGTCGGGGAATTTACCGTGGGGAAGGTCGCGACACGGTCGGCCAGGAAATTATCGTCCATCGAGGGGAGATAAACCCCACCACCCTCAGTGAATTCGAGGGTTGTCTCCATGTCTAGACATAGCGAGTCTGATCCTTCAATGGCACTGATGACCTGGTTCGATTTCGTCTTGACCACCTTGGCGTTCTTCAACACATGAGTGATGACATTGTCGGCCTGCTCGAACTTCGTCGTGGTAGGAACATAGATCATGGACACATCGTCGGCCAATTTAGCAGACCTGGGATTATCCAGGAACCGCTGGTATTCGGTCTTGAAGTAGGACATTGTCAACCGTCTAGGGACAGGGGTTTTTTTGAAAGGAGAAAGATATTCCAGAGAAGATAGCTTTACTCTAGAATACTCTAGAAGCAAGCTAGATGAGATTGAAGTTACAAAGAAACTATTTCAATTAAGAAGAAGAGAAGAAAGAGGAAGAGAGAAAGAGGGAAACAGTTTGGTCTACGAGGCCCAAGTGGCGGGAGTACAACGTCCAAAATAATTTATAACAGGGGAAACGCTAGAACCAGTTAGTCCTCGGTACCTTGCATATATATTCCAATGTCAAATAATAATGAAAAGTGGAAAATGCATAGAAAACGCGAAAATGTAAATAGAAAAAACATTGAACATCCCTGAAATCATCTGAAAACACGCCAGTGTTTCACCATACGGGGGGCCTAGGCTTGGGGCTTGGCTCGTCTCTCCGGCAACTGGAGATTCTGGAGAATACAACTTACACTTTAAGGGCTTTAGCCTCTACAGAGGGGTATGGATTGCACAGGGGTTAGACATGCAACTTAATGCAATTGTACATTTCAGATCAAATGCCCCCTCAAGCGGTTGACACAATCTCTGATGGGTCGGAAGTCATTTCAGCTGCAATGCCGATCCAAACCGGGCACTCTCGGGTGGGAGACTTGATCGGTCTTTCATTGAAGTATAGCCATCCAAGTCAGAAAGTATGGCATGTGTACTGAGCAGGGACTTGTCAAACTCCAGCTCCTGACCGGCCAATTCATTTTTCCCCTGTGAGGCAGTAAAGCCATCCAAGCACTCGCCCTATCTTCGGGGATAGATAGCATGGTAGATTATCGTATTGGTGAAAAGGGTGGGTATGTGTTGCAATCGTGTCTCGTTACAAAGGTCTATTAAAGGAAACCGCGTTAGAATGGTCATATGTGCTGGGCGCGATTCAAATGACTTACCCAAGATAATCCTCCTTGATGGTGCCAATGGCATTGATAGCAGCCACGTCGGGCTTGACACCGAGAATCTTCAACCGCAGACTGGTTCCTTTCTCGATCACTTGATCGGCATGATCAGTGTATTGCGGCGGCACGGTGTTGGGCTCCCACTTGATATCGGAGGGGATGTTCTGATAGGCGTTGTGAGCAATGAAATTCTCTAGGATATCCAAGGTCGGAGCAAACAAAAACATACCTTTCGCGCAATGAAGACAGACAATGGACCCGCCAGGGTGAAGATACCGGTAGGCTTAACGGAGGTAACGATGGCATCGACCTAAGATCAGTCAGCAAGAATTCCCAAAGACGACAACCTCGGATCCCAAGCGCATACCGTCTCGCCACGGAATGGCTTCCAGATGATCGCACGATATCTGATAGTGTATTCTGCCTGTCCGATTCCAGGCATCACCCGCCCTTCGCCAATATCAACCATGTCCATGACACAGATCACAAAGTGATCACCTGTGCACCGTCCCTCTTCCTCCTCGTTGAGTCGACCGATGAGGTACTCTCGCATGTTGGGTCCGAAATAGGACGGGTGCATCGAGATCACCTTGGTCTCTTCTTTGAGGAAAAACATCGTCGCGGTTATGGTTGGATGAAAATGCGCTAATGCCGAAGTGCGGAGTGGAAAGATTCAAGTCGCTTTCGGGGACAGTGATGCTGTCAATCGAGGTCGAGGGACGGCGTTTTCGACCACGCGCTCATGACCTGCAACGGTAAAAGCACAAACAAGATGTGGCTGCCAGAAATGAGCGAAATGAGATCCGAGTACCCGTGGGAGTGGCAGAAATTGTATCTGCCTTGGATCTTGAACGAGGAGGCAGATACAGTTGCTGCAGGCGCAAGCTTTCCCTTCGTAAGAGCATCTCCAGTCTGGTGGGCCAAGTTTGGGTGGGTGGAGTCACGTGGTACGATTCTTCATCGGTGGGAAGTTGACTTGATAATTGCACGTTTCAAGTCAATGAAACTTCGTTTTTTCCTTTGATAGGTTACGTTCTGAAATAGGTAGTCAGTAGTGCGCTTGACGATACTTTATCCTTAACGGGGTGAGGGATTGCTTCTTATATGAAGAATAATTGGATGATCTATAGCAGACCATAGTTTGACGATATGTACAGAAGTAAATGATGGACTTTGCTCGCTTTGGGCCTTCTGGTTACCTTATACTCCCATTTTAAGCTATATATACCCTTGTCCGGTTGGTTTCGACTGATTATTGTGTTTCAGATTCAGGTTGAATGCATACCCTGAAGCTATATATATCCGGCTGCTAGTATCTTAGATTTCGATATTCATATTGCAACCGAGTTCTAAATTAACAAATTGGATGATCCAATACTGCAATGTAGAACATACAGCTAAAGCTATAATGTAGATGGTCTGTAGTTACATATGGTCTGTACATGTATGGTGGTTACCACACCTGGAGCCGCCGTTTACGATGCCAAGACCCAATGTCCTCAGCGACCACATGACGCCAGGGCCAGTGCCGTGAATATCAATTGCACCACTCAACGCTTTCCGATAAAAAGATGATGCCACTTGCCTGATATCATCCCCCGCAAAACTTTTCCCCCAGAATTTCCCATCTTTTTGTTTCCTACTCGGAATACCCGGCAAGATGGCGCTTAATCTTGAGAAACAGTTGCTCTTCGTAAGCATTAACCTTGGAACCCCCGGAACGACTATAACTGACCGAGAACCAGTACGGAGCTTACCATAGCAATCCTGTATAGCGGCCTTATCCCCATCGCCAGTAGTGCGCACCTACTAACAGCGCAGGTCAACGTTGCAATCCACATCACCTGCGTCCCAATCCTACTGTTTACCGGGATCGTACTCGTATGTGAAACTCAGATTTTCCAAATCAAACAAGATATCACCAATGTATCAAGATACTAACAGCGACTCCCAAGGCCTGCAACTGCCCGCCCTTCTTCACTCTCCCAGCCGCCATCCAAATCGAATACCTGCCGGCAAATGCCGGCACCATTGGCGCCTTTATTTACGCCACATTTTATGTCCTCCTAGAGCCCATAGCCGGCGGCCTCCTCGCACCCGCTGTTATTACAGCTGCATACTACGGAAACTACTTCCTCAGCACACACGGCAGCATCGTGAACTACTGGGCCGGGGGCATACATATTGTGTCATGGCTGGCGCAGTTCATTGGACACGGCGTGTTTGAGAAGCGTGCTCCCGCCTTGGTGGATAATCTTGTTCAAGCTTTACTGCTTGCGCCGCTGTTTGTCTGGATGGAGGTTCTGTTCTTCTTCGGATATCGCTCGGAGCTTAAGAAGCGGTTTGAGAAGGGCGTTCAGCTGGAGATTCTGAAGTTCCGGAAGGAGGGGAATGAGAATGGCAAGGGCAAGGGGAAGGCGGCCCAATAGATGCTGACTTGTGCGTACAGCATGCAGCAAGGGGAGATATTGTTCGCCAAGACCGGGTGCTTTATGTTGTTCTCGGGTTGTCTTGGTTGACGCTGAAAGTCTTAGTAGCTTTATGAGCGCGTTGATTCATATCTCTGTTATTAGCAAAGCGATTGATTGCATCTTTTTTTCCCCCTATCCTTTTGCGAGTGTTATTTTGCATTGCCTTTTGGTCAATTTGGTATGTACTTCTCGCTTTCCCGTGATATAGGCGTTGCCAATACGTAGTTTTATTGTATGGTAGTATTATATATCATACAAGCAAATATAGAGACATGGAAATAAAGAATAATAATAACATAACCAAAGCTACCTACCTATAACAAAACATGCACCCGTCTTCGGTTGCCGTGACGAAAGCCATGACATAAGCGATTCACCTGACCAGGAATTCCGCCGATCCGAGAAGAGAAAAAAACGGAAGGACAGTGGCCCGTGGCACACTCTTCCGGTTGGCAATGTCAATGAAAGTAACTCATTCTGACCTTGTAGAATATTTTGAAAAATTTGGAGAATTTATAGAAATCATATGAAAAAGAAATATAAAACAAAATATAGCCTTGTAGTAACAATAAAAGTTGTAACAAGATACACCGTGGCCTCACACTAGGGCCACCTCGGAGGGCCCAGCGTCCAAAACGGTTTAGCGCGAGTCCTGAGAATCCAATCCTCCCCCCCCGACGACAAAGCTCTCCCTCCCGTCCACAATCCTCTCTCCTCTCCCGTTCTCTCTCCCCAATTACATCTCTCCCTCAGAGAATTCATCCTCATATCCTCTGAACCCCCATTCACAATGTTCAGAAACGCTCTGCGGTCGTCCAGCCGCTCCGTTGCGGCCGTTTCGGCCACTGGCCGCATCGCCTCGGTGAGTCTATCCCATCCCAGCCGCCTTCGTCCATCGCCAGTTCGACATCCTTCATCTCAATCTTGAGCTCGATCGATGCTCATACCTCATCATACCTCGACAACGATACTTCAACAATGGCTTGGACACATTTTCCTTCTCTGGGATGGTCATTAACAGGTTTTTCGTCCATTACAGGTCCGCGCGGCTGCTGCCGGTCCTCTCAACGGCGTTCGCTCTTACGCTTCCGAGGCCAAGGCTACCCCTACCGAGGTCTCCTCTATCCTTGAGCAGCGCATCCGTGGTGTCTCTGAGGAGGCTGGTCTCGCTGAGACCGGTCGTGTTCTGTCGGTCGGGTACGTCAATTCTCCCTAGGCGGCTGGGGGCGCGAAAAAAAAATTCGATCCCCGGCTACAATTCCGTCGAATCCGCCATTGTTTATCAACAATCGACAAAATACCGATATAGAAACTAATTGAGCTTTAAATAGTGATGGTATCGCCCGTGTCCACGGCATGTCCAACGTCCAGGCTGAGGAGCTGGTCGAGTACGTGAACCCCCAAAGTCTTGGCATTATCCATACCCGAAAACTAACTCATCTTCAGGTTCGCCTCCGGCGTTAAGGGTATGTGCATGAACCTCGAGGCCGGCCAGGTCGGTGTCGTGCTTTTCGGTTCCGACCGTCTCGTCAAGGAGGGTGAGACCGTCAAGCGTACCGGCGAGATTGTAAGCACTCCAGCCCAACCCCTGGGTTCATTCTGATATTGAACCCTGAATCCATCAACCCCTTGGCAACATTTCTAATACCACCCTTAGGTCGAGGTCCCCGTCGGCCCCGAGCTGCTCGGCCGTGTCGTCGATGCTCTCGGTAACCCCATTGATGGAAAGGGTCCCCTTAACACCAAGGAGAAGCGCCGTGCCCAGCTCAAGGCCCCCGGCATTCTGCCCCGTCAGTCCGTCAACCAGCCAGTGCAGACTGGTATGAAGTGTGTCGACTCCATGGTCCCCATTGGACGTGGTCAGCGTGAGTTGATCATTGGTGATCGTCAGACCGGTAAGACCGCTGTCGCTCTCGACACCATGCTCAACCAGAAGCGTTGGAACAACAGCAAGGCCGCCACCGAGGAGGAGAAGCTCTACTGTATCTACGTTGCCGTTGGTCAGAAGCGTTCCACCGTCGCTCAGCTCGTCAAGACCCTTGAGGAGCAGGACGCCATGAAGTACTCTGTCATTATCGCTGCCACCGCCTCCGAGGCCGCTCCCCTGCAGTACATTGCTCCCTTCACTGGCTGTGCCATGGGTGAGTGGTTCCGTGACAACGCCCGCCACGCTGTCATCATCTACGATGATCTGTCCAAGCAGGCCGTTGCCTACCGTCAGATGTCTCTGCTCCTCCGTCGTCCCCCCGGACGTGAGGCCTACCCCGGTGACGTCTTCTACCTGCACTCTCGTCTCCTCGAGCGTGCCGCCAAGATGAACAAGACCCACGGTGCTGGTTCCTTGACTGCTCTCCCCATCATTGAGACCCAGGGTGGTGATGTCTCCGCTTACATTCCCACCAACGTCATTTCCATCACTGACGGTCAGATCTTCTTGGAGTCTGAGCTGTTCTACAAGGGTATCCGTCCCGCCATTAACGTCGGTCTGTCCGTGTCCCGTGTCGGTTCCGCCGCCCAGGTCAAGGCCATGAAGCAGGTCGCTGGTTCCCTCAAGCTGTTCTTGGCTCAGTACCGTGAGGTCGCTGCCTTCGCCCAGTTCGGTTCCGATCTCGATGCCTCCACCAAGCAGACCCTTGCCCGTGGTGAGCGTCTGACCGAGCTCCTCAAGCAGAAGCAGTACTCCCCCATGGCCGTTGCCGACATGGTTCCTCTGATCTTCGCTGGTGTTAACGGTCTGCTCGACACCATCCCCGTCGACAAGATCCTCACCTGGGAGGCTGACCTCCTTGCTCACCTCAAGAGCTCCCACCCCGAGATCCAGGCCACCATCGAGAAGGAGGGCCAGGTCTCCAAGGAGTCTGAGGCTACCCTCAAGAAGGCCATCTCTGCCTTCAACTCCACCTTCAACGCATAAGTGAAGAAATAACTCGGATGATCCTTCGTGGTCGGCTTTGTTTTCTTGACTCTATGTGTATAGACAAGATAGCCTGTACAATTTTGAGCCCATTGTTTTTCTGTTCTTCTTGGTGCCGGTGCCTGGTAGGAGATCTAAGTCTGCCCCTGGATGTAGCGATGTAATTATCTGCATGATCCTGGGGGTGGACTAAGGATTTCCCGTAGTGCTGTTCGAGCGAGAACTAAAAATGACTTTGGTCTGCCAAAATGTGATTATATCCTGTACGTTTAGATTTTATCCGCGCATCGGGGCGCAAGATGGGTGGACGACCGTTCTAATTCCGTCTGGTCTCCTTATGCTCTCCATGTTGGACCGCAATTATTTTCCTTTGTTCAATCAGGTATACTGTAACTGTAGAATGTAGCTTTGTAGTCTTGTTTTGCACGACTGCCAAGGGATGTGTTCGCATATGTCGGATGAAGTGGGTTAGCCTAAATGGAATAACAACTCGAATTTATGTACATGCCAAACCACTGACAGTTATGATTAGAAGCCTTAGTTCTATCTATATTCTCATAGCTATTCTATACCCCCTATATCATCCGAAAAAACACGGCTTGACAGTAGAGGCCGAAACCGGCATTCGACCTGTTATCGATAAGCGATCAAGATTTTCCCGGAGATCACCAAGTCCCCCGCGTCCGAGGACCTTCACCATTCTTTCTGTGACTGATTATATTGTTATTAACGTCCTTTTGCCATCATGTCTGCCCCTACCGATAAGCCCCCTCCTCCTGCAAGGTGATGTTGAGCAAAAACGTTGCCAACCACCTCCTCACCGAAGTCCACGAGGGCCTCAAGACTCTGGAGAAGCCGCCTCACTTGGTCGGCCTGTTGGCCAATAATGACCCTGCCGCACTGACCTATGCGCAGATGACGCAGAAGACCTGCGAGGAGAAGTGAGTCTCTACATCATTTTGACATTATCCGGCTTCAATGGCTCCAATTGCTTCTTTGGTGGGCTTCTTTGGTGGGGGTACCTAGTATGATTCATACATACCCCTCGGCCAAAAAAAAAACCCCCAAAACACCAAAAAGCCAACCAAACCAGTCCAAAGGGGCAGTCAACACTCAATTAAAACAACCTACTAACATAATGCCTTCCTCAGCGGTTTCAAGTACTCTATGCGCCAAGTGTCCCGCGACGACATCGAACAAGCCATCCTGAACGCAAACACCGACAACAATGTCGACGGCATAATCGTCTACTACCCCATCTTCGGCACCCGCCAGGACCAGTACCTGCAGCAGATAGTCGACGTAACCAAAGACGTCGAGGGCCTGAGCCACCGCTACATCTTCAACATGTACCAGAACATCCGCTTCCTGGACGGCGAAGCCAAGCGCCAGAAGTCCATCCTGCCCTGCACCCCGCTGGCCAACATCAAGATCCTCGAGTACCTCAACATCTACAACACCATCCTGCCTTACGGAAACCGTCTTTTCGGACACACGATTTGCGTCGTGAACCGCTCTGAGGTCGTGGGTCGTCCGCTTGCTGCTCTGCTCGCTAATGATGGCGCTTGTGTTTACTCGGTTGATATTACTGGTGTGCAGAAGTTCACTCGTGGTGAGGGACTGCAGAAGAAGACGCATGAGATTGTTGATCTTGAGGACAAGACTTTGAAGGATGTTGTGCCGCTTTGTGATGTGGTTATTACTGGTGTCCCCAGTGATAAGTACAAGTTCGATACCAGCCTTCTGCGTGAGGGTGCTGTTTGTGTCAACTTCTCTAGCGAGAAGGTATGTTTTATTTTGCCCATTTGAGTCTGATTAGGATGTCGCTGACTATTTTGATATAGAACTTCCCCTACGAGGTCCGAGACAAGGCCTCGCTCTTCGTTCCCTCTATTGGAAAGGTCACCATTGTCGTTTTGTTGCGGAATTTGCTGGTATGTTTCATCTCTACACTTCATTTATATGCTCAGTGTTCTTTGAAACATCATCTAATATACCGAATTATAGAGACTCATCCAGAACAAGCGAATGGACGATGTCAAGCCCGCCGAGGCCACTGAACGTCCTGGCACCCTTGAGGCATCATCATAGGTTGCTCACCACTGATTGAAATTTCGATCTCGATGGCTACGCCCTGAGCTGGCCATTCCGTAAAAAATTATAGATATTCTGTTTGTTATTAGCCATTTCGATTATACTCTGAAACTTGATGTTTCTTCTTTTGTTTCCTGTGCTTAGATATCTCCCAGTCGCATCCCACACTTGGAACTTATAGAGATTGGCTCTGTTGACCTTGCCTATTCTTCCATAACAAAAAGACTGTTTCTTGTGTATTACCATAGCTTATTATTTACGTACTCTGACGTTTCATAATACTCCAATAGAAGACCTCGCTGTTGGGCTCGGATGATGATATTGATATGATAACAAACGAGAACAACTGGTACTGACAACAGCCAGAACATTACAACGCGTAAAGAAATATCGAGTCCATTTGGACATGAATTAAAACAGCCCCGTACAGATAAACGGACCGAACATCCTAGCAGTTTCGACCTGCCACATCAGAAGATTCCACACTTTGAAGCTTCCAGCGCTTCAGGGTAATGACATTAAAGCACACCACACCCAAAGAGTCAAGCCAGTCGGCCAATGGCCCTCAATGATAAGCCCGTTAGGAAAAGACAACCACCATGATATAAACGAGGACAAGCACCAGAACGCACCCAATTGCCCACCAATATTGCCTCAGAAGGGACAGCCACCAGAGGACGAGTTCCTCCACGCTACTCTCCCAAAAAGTAAACTGATCCACCCCAGCCAACACATGCGACAGTGACTCTGTCGCCGACGTTGCGTTGTCTTTACCGACGTAGATCTTGTGGAGAAGTCTTCTAGGCAGAACAGACACGAGAGGCAAGGCAATGACCACAGCGTGATGGGCCACGAATTGGAGACCGCGTGCTACGTCATGGCCCCCGGTCCCTAAGAATTGGAACCCGAATGGTAGGAGGATGAGACGTATGTTACTGATATAAGTAACCGGCCGATCGAGTGTCTTCGTCTGGATATGGTAGATTTGACCCTGTTGGGTTTGTTCAGCAGTGGGCTCGGCTTCTTTTTCTTCGGGCTCATCAGTGGGCGGCGTGGTTGCTGCATCTGGCGTTGTTGGTGTTGTTGTCCATGTGATTCCTGGCTCCCGTCGTGTGATCTCAAGCGTTTCGGTGGCATTCACGAGGGCCTCAATCTCCTGTTGGGAAACCCACACAAGGGCTACTGTTATTTCGGGGAGAACTGAAATGGTCGAATTATTAGTTCGGCCATTCACTCATATAGTATGTTTTAGTGGGATAAGAGCTTACCCTGAGGTCGAACCGGGACAGATGGTTTACACCCCATGTTGGAGGTCTTCAAGGCTGCAGGAAGTAGATGTGAAGAGGTCTTGATAATATGGACTTGACTGAGAGTAAAACCATATACTTTGAGAGCAGTTGAGCAGTAAGGCGATGTGTGGATGGGAAGAGATCAAAGACAAAGTTGTTCCAAGTTCATTGACTCGAACTCTAAGTCTGGAAAGTGTAGTCGAGCCTTAGTTCAATAGCCTTAGGTAGAACATCCTATTCTAAGATCAATCTAAAGGGCCCTGACCTAGAGTTGGTCTGGAATTAGTTATATAGTTGGTAGTAATATTGAACCTAGATGATGCTTTATAATGCCTTAGAAAAGATATATAAAGAGACATCTAGAAAGACATCTAGAAAGACATCCAAAAAAGAAGATCTAGTAAGATGTCAGTATATGCTCGTACAGCATATAGGTGTAAAAAATAAAAGAGAAGTTGAAATTAATGTAGATTACTTCAAGAAGGCCGTGATAAAATAGGCTGTAAGGCACTACATAGCCAATGTGAGAGTTATGTGACGGTGATCCCTTTTACCACCGTAGCTGGGCAATATTGAAATAGTCACGTACACTGTTGGGATGCGTCTGATTAACTAGCCAAATGGAAACCAAAGCATAGGAAACTGATATCTCCCTTGCTCATTTGAACAAGTAACTTCAATGCACTCTTCTTAATCTCTTTTAGAGAATGAACTAGCTTTGCATTTTGCAATAGCCCCGAAAACATAACCTCTGATAGTAATTGATAGGTAACCTCCAATTTTAGCCCGACTTCTTTTCATTCTCCTTTGCCGCCAATCTCAAAACATCAATCTCACTAGCCACCCAGCGACGGAAAGGCTCGGGGTGGAATACACCATCTGCTGAGAACCAAGTTGTGAAGGGCGCCTCGCACCGCTTGTCCTGGAGAACTTTCCCAGTGGCAGACTTATAAGTGACATGGAGCTTATAGAGCTTGGAGAACTTTTTGGCCGATGATGAGACAGATATCTGTGAACAAGTTCTGTTAGTAACCTGCCATAAAATATAATCTTTAAACGAGTTGAAGATCAATTGACATACCGTCTCTCCAGTCTTCCTCTTTCCGGAGTATACCTCGCCAGCCTCAACAGCCCAAATCCAGTATGTCAGAATGCTATTCAAGACAAAGTATGTCCCTACTGCGGCGATAATCCAGGGCGAGGTAGTTGCTTCCCAACCAAGCGTACGGTCTGCGTAGAAAGTAAACGCCGCGATTGCGACAGCGCTATACCCAAGCAGGAAGCGAATGTTTGTCTTCGAGTAGTCCGGAGTGAAAGCGTATGGCGCAGGAAGATTGGTCAGGTAAGGCAGGAGAGCATCGTCGCTCGTAGACTTAAGATCTATTGCTCAACTGTTAGTGTTGTTGCTGTATAGAGTAGATCGGGATTACGGACCATTGGTCGAGTAGACCGGCACCTTGGTGGAAGCCATGACAGATTTGAGAATAGATGCGAGTAAAAAGCCTTTAAAAACCAAAATATCGAGCGTGGTTCAGCATTCAGTGGTCAAGACAGGACTGTTGTTTATCGTAGGACAAAGATGCGGCGTGGCCCTTTGGAGAAAGCTGGAGCTAACGCGGGCCAATGACATCCCTCTCCGCCTGGCAACCTCTCTTTCGCGGCCCCTTCAACTTTCCATCCCCCACCTGCAGCCACCACTTTATTGTTTGGGTTCAAAGGAGGTACTTCTTTGATACTTATTCCGCCTCAACATGGCAATTCAAGGGGCTGAGCAGACCATCCTTAGGGATCCGGCGCTATTGTGAGAGAACATGATTCGATCAAGCGGAAGTTGGACTGACCATTTGGTTATAGCTATTGGATTCTCTTTCCCATTTCAATTGTTATGGTATGAAATACACCTGGAGCTTGGAGCTTGAATATTTGCGATGCCTTTGAAACCGAAACTAACCTCTCTTCTTGGATAGATCCTGACCGGAATCCTTCGCCACTATGCCACGGTCCTGATGAACACGCCCCCCAAATCACCATCCACTCTTGCCGAGTCTCGCGAGCGCCTTGCTCTTCTCCGCGGTGTGAACCTCCGCAACAATGCCTGCTCTGTGCTGGACCGCGAGTCCTTCGAGATCCGCAAGAACTACATGGTTACTGGATTCCGCAACGGCGCATTTCTGAAGGATCCCAACAACCGTGGCCAACCGCCCGCGAACCCCATGACCGACCCCGCGGGCATGGAAGCTATGATGGGAATGCTGAAGGGAAACATGATGATGATGATCCCGCAAACCTTGATCATGAGCTGGATCAATGCTTTCTTCTCTGGCTTTGTCATCCGTATGTTGCATTTTGATATTAATAAACACGAGCAACCAGCTTACAGATTTTACAGTGAAATTGCCATTCCCTCTCACCATCCGCTTCAAGTCGATGCTGCAGTCTGGTGTCATGACTCGCGACCTTGATGTGCAATGGGTCTCCAGTCTTTCATGGTACTTCCTCAACTTGATGGGCCTTCAGTCCGTTTTTGGATTCATCCTTGGCAGTGATAACGGTATGCATATATCTGACCCTTGCCCATAATAACCGTCACTAATAATCTTTAGCTGCCAACCAAATGGCCCAGCAGATGGGTATGGCTAACCCTGCCGCAATGGTCAACCCGCTCCAGCCCGGCCAAGATCCTGACAAGCTGTATCTGAACGAAGCGGAGAATTTGGAAGTGATGGAGCACTTCTGCATTCTCGATGGAGTGGAAGAGAGAATCCTGCAAAACTTTGCTCCTGCGGGAATCTAATCTTCGCGTGACGTTGCATGTGATGTCTAGTGTTGGTGTATATACCTGTTTTGAGGTCGTCGCTGGCTTTGGATAGCATAAAGAATAGAATGTGCCATGTTTAAGTAAGCCGCAATCATCTACATAATTTACCCGAGGGTTCTTGAATGAATCATATTGCACAATATCCATAAATTGTAGTAACTCATAACCAATCACTGTTGACGGTAATTAATCACATCATTCAAGATCCAGACTTCCCCATTATGGACTTTCTCCGCAATTGAATCAACTTCAAAATTGCCAGGTTGGATCTATAGACAGTCAGTTATGATACCAACGACTCGGAGAGGAAAAAGCCTACAAAGATCTTATCACCCTCCTTCGTCCATTTCAACTTCTCCCCTGCAAGCGTCTCGACCTCCTCCCCAACCCTCCAGGGACTAGCAGGGATGAGGTGGGCCTCCACGAATCGCTGTAGATTCCGCTTTGCGCGGTCTTGACCATCTTGCCCCTCATATGCATTTACCTCTCCGAACTTCTTATAGTCCTCTGGATTCTCCCAGGGCTTCCGCGGAAGAGCCTGAATTGCACTGTTGCGTGGTGCTAGGACTGTAATGTTCTTGGATGCATCATTAAGGCGGTTGGCGACTGACTCAAAGTCACGGGTCAACCGCGCAAAGATATTGATGCCCTTGGTCTTGGGCAGGACATCTGAGATGATAGGGCTACCGCTGTCTTTTGAGCTCACATCCTCGTCCGGAGCCGTCTTTTGCGGCTGGACAGTACCAGGGAGTATCTTATCCATTATTGATCGATGCTCTTTGTGCTCGAGAGCTAGTGGCTGTTGACGTGAAGGGAAGGGATATGATAGGCCCCAGAGTGCAGATGTTGAGCTAGCGAGAAGAATTGTAAATAGAATAGATACTGTTAGTCGATTAAATCCTATGCTGCGGGTCGGAGCCATCTTGCTGTAATGACGCTGGGCAGAGAAGCAGGTCATACAACATCCATGACGCAACAGGCCTTGGCACGTGACGTGGGAGATAACAGAATCACCTGACCCTTATCGATAAGGGCATCCGGCCACAAGAAATTGGCCGATGCGATCTTGGTCTTGCCCCCGCAATATACACGTCTGGCGCTCTTGATCGATTCGATTGGTATTATGTCGGCTCTGCAGACCTTTATGCTGGTCGTGGACCACGACAAAGAAGAAGCCAAGCGCATTGCGGAAGGAATCGCTCACGGTATGCCAATTCGCCCCGCACCTGAGACCACTTCAAATCGTTGCATTACTAACGGGAGTGAATATAGATGTTGAGACCAAAAAGGCGACTCTAATTGATACCGTCCAATCTCTCGGGGAATATATTAATGACGAAGACCCGATTTTACGTGGAAAGGCGATTTCTTATCTTACGGCCATTATCCAAGCTCTTTCGCCGAAATACCTCTCGAGACAACAGATCCAAGTCTTGACTACATTCTTCTGTGATAGAATTGAGGATGGAGGTGCCGTTGATGGGTTGCAGGCCCTGCAGGGTCTGGACCGGTTTAACAAGTTTTTGGCTACCCAAGTAGCACAAGCGTAGGTGCTATACCTTTTGGTTGCATGCGACATCCCTGTGTGCATCGGGGATAAAGCTTAACTCGATGATGACCCAGTGCTGATTTATTGATATAGGCTTTTCTCCAACTTCCAAGATCTTCAGTCTCGGTCTCAAACGCAACGGTTCCACGTCTATCAATTGCTGAACGATTTGATGTCAAACCACCGCGGGGCTATGCGTGATATGGGAGATATCTCGCTTCTGGGCGTTGTTGATATTATGACGGGAGAGAAAGACCCCAGGAATTTGATGATTGTTTTCTCGATCCTGAAAGTCGTTATGGTCGAATGGGATATCTCGAATCACATTGAGGTATGTGTAATGGTTTCTTTTTAGTCGCGAATTCTGCTAACACTAGACAGACCCTCTTCGACTCGGTATATAACTATTTCCCAATCACATTCCGACCTCCGCCCAATGACCCCTATGGAATCACCGCACTGGATCTCAAGGGTCGTCTTCAAGAATGTATCTCTTCGACAAGGCATTTTGCACCCCACGCTATCCCCGCCTTATTGGACAAGCTTGATTCTACTTCTCCCAACGTGAAGGTAAGATTATTCAACAAACTATGATATTGAGATTATTCAACAAACTATGATATTGAAGCCATCTAACAAATTTATAGAAAGATGCACTTAGTACATTGATCGCATGTATCCATTCATACGACCCCGACACAGTGTCCAAGTTTTCCATTACCATATGGGAAGTCCTCAAGTTTGAGATCCTCAATGCCCAAGAGGAGTTCTTATCTGAAACATCCCTCGAGGCTCTGCAAACAATCGCCCAACGACTATCCGAAGGGGTTACTGAAGTGTCACAAGAATTGCCTCTTGCAAAGTACCTTCAGCCAATTACAAAGGAGTGCAACGAACAACTCCAGGAGCCTCAAAACAAGCAGGCTAAGCCGGCCCAGTCGATTCTCAGTTGTGTCTCTGCTGCTTCTCCCGTTTCCTTTATCCTTGTGGTACAAACAGTCGTACCTCCGATTTTCACACTTTACCAAGAAGCGGACGGAATTGTCAAACAAAGGGCACTTCTCGAAACTTTGAATGTCTTGTTCGAATCTGCTACAACCGTATTTGGACAGTGGACCACCCGAGGTGGTGAGGCCGCTATTGAAAACCCGCTACTGGAATTCAAAGACCAATTCTCGGACCTCTTCGGCCAGGCATTGATGGGTGCAGCTAAGGAAGAGGTTTCCTTCCGGGTGACTGCCTTGAAGGGCTTCTTGCATCTGTCGACTTTGCGTCATTTCTTCCAGGAGAATGAGATTGGGCTTTTCGTGCAATATCTTGACGAAATCCTTCTCAAGGAAGAATCTGTGGGCCGGAATGATCTCAAGAAAGAAGCAATTGCTGCTCTTGCTGAGATTTCCAAGCACAAGCCCCGCCTGATTGTGGATATCACTTTCCCTGCGTTTGTGGCAACTCTGCCAGAGGAAGATGAAGGCTCGGATGCCCTGTATCTGCCGACACTCGAGACCCTTGCTCAGATCAGCGTTGAGAGGGACATTTTTGAGACACTTTTCCGTCGTCTGTTTAGCAAACTGTCTATTCTGCTTCAAAAGGAGCAACCCGGGTCAGTTGCTTACCCACGTGCAATTCTTACTACTTTGCTTTATGTTATGCAGCAGAGAAACATGGAACAAGACCAGAGTGTGGATTTGTACTTCGAGAAGGTTGTGGTTGGACTATGCCGCGATGTCGCAGCATCGGCATCTGGCAAGGCAAAGAACCGTATTCTCAATGATCCTACCGTGCTTGACACTTTGGGCCGACTTTGTAATCTCCTTGTGCGATCTGTTTCCATTCAGAAACAGGAACAAGTTGCCGAAAATGTCTACAGTCTCTTCTCTGCAGCTGAAGATTTTGTGCCTATTCCGTTCACCCAGACTACAAATGCGGACCAAGAACGTACGATCATTATCTCGACATACCTGCTCGCGGGAATTTCCAAGGACTGCGCCAACACAATCCCGCACACCAACCCAGACATGTCGGGTTTGCTGTTGGATCTGGTTCATCGTGCAGTGTCGAGCACCGAACCAGCAACACACCAAGCCTACCTGCGTCACCTGGCCTTGCTTGTCAACAAGTTCGTGTCAAAGCAGGATCTACCAGTCGCCGAGAAACTCTTTGATTCTCTCCTCCAAGGCCAGGACACAGAATCACAGAGCCTCAGCCCTGCAACAATCCGCACCATTTTCTGGGTATCCAAAGCCTTGATCCTACGCTTAGCCCCTACAACCACCCACATCTTGACCTCCCTCCTCACTCTCCTCTCCTCCCCAGACCAGCAAACTAGCGCGACAGCGGCACAAGGCTTCTCCATAATCCTCGGCGAGGACGACATCCTCTCCGCAACCAACGGCGCCACAATCCGCCTCCTCTGCAGACAGCGCCTCTTCACAACAGTCATCCCTCTGATCTCATCTCGCATCCGCGAAGTGAACATCGCGGGCACAGATGACTCCGCCGCCGCCCCCAAAGCGCCCGAACACATCAAACCAGCCCACCTAACTGCCCTGGCGGGTGTCCTCTCCACAATCCCCACAGCCCTGGTCATGCCAGAGCTCCCCACCCTACTCCCCCTCCTCCTGCAATCTCTTGACCTCCAGACCGCCGACTCTGTCGCCGTCCGCACAGCAACACTCGATACCCTCGCCGTTATAATTCGTGATAACGGCGTCGTAGTCATCGACAAGTGCGGACACATCCAGAGTCTTGTTACAAGACTCCTCAAAACAACAGCTACAAACATCGGCCCTGGCGCTGTTAACAGCCCCCCGTCTCCGTGCGGATGCTTTGAGATGTCTCAATCTCCTCGCTACGCACCAGGTGCCCGGCGCTGCGGCTAACGCGCGTGCGCCACCGGGTATCTCGCCTCTCTTGCCTGTCAAGGCTCAGGTTCTGAGGTCCTTGCGCGCGGTTCTTGATGATCCTAAGCGTGATGTGCGGAAGGCGGCAGTAGATGCTAGAGCCGCTTGGCTACGTGGTGTGGATGATGCGCCGGAAGAAGAAGAATGATTATACTCGGGGTAAATGGAAGAATATACTCGTATTAAATTTAGAGGTTGTTTATAATCATACAGCATAGACTACTGTTGACGGACGTCGGGTTTTCTAATAGCAAAAGGAATGTTTATATTCTCCAACATGCACTCTACATGGTATTTCTAGATTGATGGCTTCAACATCAGAACACAATAAGTGTACCACAGGGCTGACTTCATACGTGATGATCACTGATGTGGCTAGCCCTAATTGGATTGGTCTATACGACTGCAGCTGCAGAGCTATGAGTGAGGCTCAGCTTTTGTCAAAACGACATGTTCACACAGGCTGTGCAACGATAGAGTCTATGGGAATTCCTACAAGCTTCTATGAATTCCTTTCGACAATCAACCAACTTGTGTATCAGGAGGAATCCGGTGACTCTATCAACTTTGAACCTAGTTCATAAAACGGACTGGAATAGTCATCAGCTACAGATATTATTTACCAAACAGCCGAACTACAAAAATTCATTAACCACAGGGAAATTCTCAAAACTCAAACAGTTTTTTTTTTTTTTTTTTACTTTTGTGTTAGTTATGTTAAATGTAACTTCATGTTGTCCGGGTACACACGTATGAACCCATAAAGATCATAGGAATCAAACAACAACAACGACAGGAATACATCTGTCCCATTCCCACTTCAACCCCGAGATCCATCTTCATTCTCCTTAACCCATCACCACTTGCGCTTCTCTTTGATTCCAGCTGGTGGAGCCCAGGGTACTAATGACTTCCCCAAGTAATTGGACGACTCCTTGACCGTGCCCGCACCACTCTGACTGTGGTCATTCGACGTGTTAGTGCGTCTATCAAGACTGGCAGGACCTCTGTTCCAGTATCCGACAGGATCGATTTTCTGCACGACAGTTTTGGCAAGCTGTAACATTGCTCCAATTCCCGAATGGCCGACTTCAGCTCCGAGGGTACTCAGCTCCTGGTTTGCAGTAGAGGGAATCACATTCGTAATATCTGCACCGAGGAGATCTGTCGCACACCAGGACTCATTGCGATCACCAGGTTCAACGAAGGAATTCGATTTCAAGATGTCGTCCACTTTGCTGCTGACAATGGAGGCTTGCCACCACTGTTTTCCATCCTTGACCATTTCCTCAAGCGGGCCGTTTTGCAAAACCATGATACCTGGATCTAGGATAGACGGGGTGGCAAGTAGTTCTTGGGTTTCGCTGATTTGGAGAAACAGGTTCTTACTCTTTTCCGAGCGGTAACGGTGACGACTCCACCGTTCCATGAACACCTTCTCGATTTTGATCTTTGACGCAGGCGGAAGACAGACCAACATGCGGAGATGTTTATTGTTTGGTTCTACCCGGATGCTTTTCGCCATTGTTCGTGCAGCTTCGTCAAGCTCCGGGTCAGCACCCGTAATGTATTCAATGAAGCCTTGTACCCTAGCAGCTGCGTCCCAGACATGTGAAGGGAAACTCAAGTGCACTGTGCCTAGGGAGACCTCAGGATAGCGAATCATAGCATGTCCATATTCATTCACTGAAATAACAATGGTTCTGTTCGGAACAGCGCGGCACCAGAACTCGTACTTTGCGCCTCGGTGGTTGTACTTTTGGTCGAACAGGCGAGATTGATTGACCTCCAAATCGACGAGGTAGTCAATGTCTACAGGAGACGAAGTCAGGCGCTCGAAGAATGATGTTGGAGGCGGTGTCAAGTTATTATCAGAGAAGAACAGCTGGTGAACTTCCCTGTAACTCATCTCCTTCTCTTTGGTTGAAGCTGGCAGACTGGGCATGAACATAAGACCGAACTGGAATTGAAGGCTCAAAGTTCCTGGAAAGCTGCGGACTGCATCAAGAATTGGTTGAAGGAATCGAAACAGAGACTCTGTTGAGTCCTGAGCAAGCTTCTTTTCTTTTGATGATTTCACAACCGCCTTCGTGGGAAAAGCAATGCTTCTTGGTGACTGTGCTTGTGTTGACTTAGATACTGTTCTTCGGTGCCAGGAATTAACAATGGGGGCTTGAACCTTTGCCTTGTTCTCTGCATTGGTTTCAATGTTTTCCTTTCGCTCCTGGGTATTAGCAGTGCGGGCTTCAATCTTTGCCCTTTTCACCACTTTGGTCACCTCATCCACCCAATGAAAAGCCTTCTCGGGAGGCCGCTGATGGAACATCGTCTCGCGGAATTGTCTTGTCCGAGTCTCATCTGAGATAGCCAGATTTTCGCCGACTTCTGTTTCCGCATCTTGCTCCTCGTTTTTGGAGTCGGATTGTTGCAAAGAGACATTACCCGAGCGAGTAGAAAGCATCTGAGGCGAGATATCAATGAGATCTGTGTGAAGAAACGGTACCTTCTCAACTCCCCAGCCAGGGTTTTGGCGTTGCTGAATATCACCACGCGGAGCAATATAACCCGAGGCAGAAGACAGTGTTCGAGGTGTAGAATCAACTAGGCTAACATTAAGGGGTATCGAAATCTCCTCAATGCTAGGAATTTCCGGGGTAGGTGCCGGGGTAGGATTGTCCTTGATCTGCCGGAGCAGATATCTGAATGCTACTTCATCGGCCTTGCTGCGGAATTCAGGAGCCTGTTTAGGGATCTGTTCGTCTTCAAATACGTCATTCACCTTAGAAGAGCCAGCAACATCCGGATCAGGCAATGACACAACTGTAGCGGGCCCTAGTTTAGCAGGCTCGCTAGTAGCAGAGGCCGGAGTCGTCTCTCGGGGAATCATCTGAGTTGGCCAACGCCGCGTAGTTGTATCCTCGATATTGGGCGTATCGAAAATATCATCAGGTTGAGTAAAAGTGATAGCCTCGCGATTCTGGGATTGGTCATGTTGAACATCTGTAGACTGCTCCAGACCGCTTGATAGGGCTGTAGCTGGCAAATCGAACGCAACAATGTGCTGCAAATCACTATCGGGGCTCTTCAATTCCCAATCAAGATCAATGAGAGGGCTGAGGTCTTCTATGGTCTCTTTGCTGAGATCCAGCTGAGTGGATGTGGTGCTTGGGTGTTTTTGATCCGTTATTTTTGGCTTGCTGGAAGCTTCCTCCATTCGAGTTTCCCTCGAGGTCTTGGTCTTTTCAAGGATTAGCCTTATATCATCCATCACTGAATCGACACTTCGCCCTTGAGGTGTTGTATTCACCTGTGAATGCACTACATCGAGTATTCCCAGAGGGTGAGCCTTGACGACTCTTGGAGAAATAGAGCGAATTGGTTGGGGCAGAGTCCTATCTGGCTTCTCTTCTTTGTTCGCTGGGGAGATAGCCAAATCAGCTGCATCTGACTTGTCTTCCGGCTGCTTGGGTGCTGCACCCAGATGAGTGGGCAGAACTGGGAGACGCGGGGTGGCAATTGATTTCGGTTCCTGCGTAGAGGTAGGAGAGGTAGAAGTCACAGGACCGGTTTCCTTAGACCTTGTTTCCGATTGTTTGGAACCTGCATTGGGAGCAGTGGAGTCATCCGCGCTACGAACAATACCGACGGCTGTTTGTTGAGGGACTGATACAGATGGACGGGCTACATGTTGCTCCCTCGTTCTCTCCCTATGGCTGAGTCTGCTAAACAGGGAGGCGACTGGTTCACCAGGGGTGTCTGTTGGCTTCTCTTGTCGAGGCTGGCTAGAGGGTGCTACAGTTCCATCTGGTCGCATAACCACACGTCCCTTGACGCCGGCAGGATTGGACTTGAATGGACCGGACTGTCTCTGGTCCCGTGGTGCGGAAACGCTGGACTCGGGTGGAGGCTTGGACCCAACAACCTCAGGCGAGGTGGGCTCATCCCCCAGTGGTGTCTTTGTACGACTGTCGGTTGCCAAAGGCCGTTTAGCGACACCCCGAGAAATCCATTTGTCGACATCTTTTGCCTTCCCAGTAGAGAGATATGGGTGCTGAGCATCGCTCCTCTCGAGAGAGGTCTCACTTTTAGGCGGGAGGTGCCGATCGATATTCCCTAGGTGGGGGTCATTTTTTGGACCTATCTCTGGAAAATGATAGTCTTCCCAATCTTGAGTAATGCTCGCTTCCTTCAGGGCCACTTGCGGCGGCTGCCGAAGTTTGCGAAGTGGACGGAATTCGTTAGCGAGCTCGTCGAATTCACAAACCACCAGAGTCATTACATTTGGGAGACGAAGAGAGGTATTTCGGTCGATTAAAATACGCCACAAGGCAGTGGCACTGATCTGTGCATATGTCATGACGCGAAAGGTAGCGTTTTCCCGTTTGGGAGCAAGGATGATCAGCCCTCGGTTTTGGTTCTCAATGAGATCCTAGAGAATATATATTAACAAGCAAGACTTGGAAAAAAGAATAATTAGGACTATACCAAGCACTCTTCAAGGGAGTAGAGTATATCCATTGCCTCCTCGATGTTGTCCATGTGTTGTGCAGAAATACGGAGCCCTCGGGGTCCCTGCACTGCAATTTGTGTTTCTGTCATTTCGGAAATTCGACGTAGTAAAGGGCCTGAGTCATAGGATATGGGACCCAATCCCACCTGAGAGGGATACCAGAACTTGACAACGGGTCCATCGCTAGTGGGTTGTGTCGGCATAATTTCCTCGACTAGGGTTTCCACCCCTGGCTGCGCATCGCTTCCGTCGTCAAGAAGAGGATTGGGATCGAAGGTTTTCGAGTTCCGAAGCTGCTGGACTCTCGGCATCTTGAGTAGAAGAGACATTAGTACAATATAACTAGCGCGCTGTGGAGGCATTGGAACATACCTCAAGTAGATCATCATTGCGATGCTCTTCGATATAAGTTGCAAACAGGGATGTGATTTCGACAGCAAATTCATCATCAAACTGACCAGTGACAATCAAGAACTAGGTAGGATTAGCAGAACCACCATTATAAATGTAGTATATAATGAACTCACATGCTTATCAGGTTGATATTGGACCTTGATCGAAGCACCGGGATTCAACTCACTATAAAAGAGTCAGCTTTGATCAATATAAGTGTACAATATTGTGCCATACTTGAGCTTGTCTCGGAATTCTGAAATCTATATTGAGTCTGGTCAGTCCCGGCCATTTCGGAATGATAAGCATGTGGATGTTAGTATATAAACTTACCCCTCGGTCCTCCAGTGACCACATTGAACTCAAATAGAGCGTCCGGCTATCAGCCATCTTGAACCGTATTTTGGAAGGCTATGGATGGAGGTGTGACGATGCGGACTTGAATGGGGATGGACGCAAATGAATTGGAGTCGGACGTCAACCGGTTGGACGCAAATGGATTGGAGACAGAGCTTTTCGGCCTTCAATCGATTGGAAGACGTGAATTGGTCTGAAACATGCACGAAGAAAGCAATTCAGCAAGAGGTGGGTTGATTGGCCCCGGGATAGAGACAATCGATTAAGAGGCAGGTGAAGGCAAATCGGCTACGGAAGGACTAGGTGAACAGCACCTAGAAAACCGATTTGAAAAAACCGATTTGAAAAAACCGATTTGAAAAAACCGATTGAAAAAACCGATTGAAAAAACCGATTGAAAAAACCGATTTGAAGCCGATAAAGGAGAAAGGGGCGGAGACAGGAAGAAAGACGATAGATCTGCCTCCTGTTATGGCAGCGACGGCGAGGTGCAAACCGTCGGGAATGGAAGGAACAACTATGGTCTCTCGTGTCTATCAGCTTAGAAGTCAGTAGGAAGCGATGGACGACGTGAGCGTGCGGTGCTATCTTATATCACAGACAACGAGATTGGATTACATATAATTCATAGAAAATGGGGAGTACATAGTTATAGAACAAATTAAGCAAAAGTCAAGAGTATAAATTTCTGAGTTGCATCATAACCACCTATAACATCTAGGCAGAAGGAAATATGTAGCCCTCTTTCATGGTCTTCTGAACATGAAGCAAGAAACAAGACTCGCCACTATGTTCATCACTGTGTAATCATATCCAGGTAAAAATATGCAGGTCGTCAAGCGTGATATCTAACAAGAGAGGGAGGTGGGGGTTAAAGTACAACGGGAAAGGATGTGAAAATGTAGATGAGGGTAAGAATAGAAACAGGAATACAAAAATCGAAGGGTACACGGCGGAATTGAGCTCTGCCATGGGTATCTGCTGCGAAGGGAAATGAAACGCCATACACCGGCCAAGAATGGTCTATGGGAAATGAAGAGTAGTTGGCAGGGTGTTGAGACATAGAATCAAGTGGGAACGAAACGGTGAAATCAGGACGAAGTGATGTTTTGAAAGGCGGTGGTGGTAGGGTTGATTTGGCGGTATGTTTGGGGGGCGCCGAGCAGAGAGCAGAGAGCAGAGAAAATATGGGCGTGGTGATAAGACAATTCGCGTGGTTAAAAGGCTGGAGGTTGACACAAACAGCCGATGATGAACAAAAGACAAAGCTCAAATCAATCACTGGGTTTCCGACTTTCATTGAGCCGGATCGCCCACTTCATTTCTGTCTCGGTCTCCTTGACTTGAGCAAGGATACCAGCGATCATATCGTTGTTAGACTTAGCCGACTCAATCGTCTCGCGGAAGTCGTTATCCTTCATTTCCTTATACGTAGAGTGCTGGGCGAGCAGCTTCTCATAGGATTCCTTGAGGATGTCGAATTCCCTGTTCTTTTGATCCGCAAGAACCTCCAGCCGCTCGGTGGAATCTGTATGTGTTTTCTGCGCGTTGGCGAGAGTCGTCAACTCGGCCCAGATGGCATTGATGCGTTTTGCAAATTCTGCCTTGTCGCGTTTTGTGGCGCTAGATAGCACCTCGTATTGTGTCTCGTGGTGCTTGGCGATCTCTAATGACCGGGCTTGTTCACGGTTGTGGTTCTCGCGCTCCTCGCGCATAGTATGATTGGTCTGGTTTGCGTCCATTTCTGCATCCTGCCGTTTGCTGCGCTCGTGTTGGAGTTCCGTTCTTAGCTCCTCCAGCTTCCGGTCTTTCCGCGCAATTGAGTTGAGGTTGGTCTCGTTGACTTGCTCGAGGTTCCGTAGGCGCTCGTTCATGTTTTGTTGTTGGATCTTGTAGGCCTCGTTGGTTCTTTGGTACTCCTCCGCGCGGGACTTGTAGAGTGTACATTCACGCGTTAGACGTGCTATTTCCTCCTGGAGATTGTGGATAACACGTCCGGATTTCCCTGTTGCCGCTGCATGGCCAACGGCTGACCATTCAGATGTGGGGGCATCGCTATTAGTCGTTTCAACGGGGTTCGCGGAAAGGTTTGAAGGAGACGAGGAGGCTCGATTATAGCCTATAGTGCGCGGATTGTAAGCTTTGGAAGTTGAGAGGGGGGTAGGAGGGGAATCACCAACCATTCTGCCCTTCGGGGGCTGATTCATCGTCGAGGAATCCGTTATGCTGGTGCATATTCAATTGTGTGTCCACATGCGGGAGATTGACTCGCGGCGCTTCTGCACGGATACGGGGGTCAGCAGCAATCGGTATAGGATTTTTGCTCGGGCTGAGACGCTTCATGACCCGTTTGAAGCCCCCCCATGGTGACCGCCCGCGCCTGTCATGAGGAACCAGATGGGAAGAACAAGATGGGAGCAAAACCAGTAGACCTGCGAAGGGAAAGGCTCATACCAGTATTAGAAGTATTAGAAGCCAATTGAGCTAGATGCGAGGCTGTCTTATTATTCCGCTTATTCATCTAGACATCGCAAGGGAGGCCTTCTGATCAATAAAGGCGCTATCTCATGCAATAGTCAATAGATCTTCAAAGACTAAAACAAAATTATCCTGCAGAATATTCCAAAACAATGAAGTAGCGGTAAGAAAAGGTGAAGTTGTGGAAGATCAGTCGATCATCGTTCTTTGTGTTCCAACTCCGCGTCTGTCAGGGAACGCCACGACGCTAGCGGGGAACGACAGGTCTTGTTTTTTTTTTTTTTTGTTCGTGTCTTGGTGTTTCAGTTGTTTTTGTTTGAATCTATGCATGTCAGATAAATTGAAAAAGCTGAATATATTTGATTACTTCCTCGACGCCTCAGGCCACCTATATATCAATGATATCCAGGGGTATTCTATATACAGGAAGTTATAACTACCATTTTTCCATAACTCCACCATAACAGCCGAGTCCAAAAGAGAGACTAACAACGCCAATACGGATGGATATACTAGACGAGGTAGGCGAGGAGACCGGCAATTCCCATCACCAGTTTTACGGAGTATTGCGGAATGGAGGCAGCACCAGTTTCCGAGGTTTCGGTGGAGGATGCTTGTTTGCCATTGACAGCCTCAGTGCCGGTAGCTTTCAAGCTATCGGTTGAACTGGCAACGGCTGAGCTGGAAGGGCTGCCAGATGCGCTGGCAGAAGAGCTAATGAGGGCCTTGCTGGCAGTGCTGGTCATTGTGGTCTGGGTTGTCTCGGTAGTACCGCTAGTAGCCGAGGTGCTAGGGGCAGAAGTCGTGTCCGTAGCGCCAGTGGTAGTGCCACTGGGGGTCCCGGTGGTGGCTCCGGTGGTGGTACCCGTGGTTGCAGCAGTAGAAGCAGCATTGCCAGTCTCGGACGTGGTATCCCTTTCTTCAGGAACATCAGCCGCGGGCATCCCAGCTGACTTCAGCAGAGCGGTATAGTTAGTCTGGTCTTTCTGTGAGATCTGGAAGGCATAGGTATTGCCGCCCTCGAGATCACTGTCGGGAGTCCAGGTGAGGGAGCCGCCCTTGCTCGTGGTAGTGATGGGCTTGACATCATGCAAGTTACCGGAGGTACCTTGGCGAAGGAGAATCGTCACAGGCTAAACGGAGTCAGTGTTCTGTTATGTTTAAGCTTCAGAGGATATCCGTATTACCATATTAGGATCAGCGCCAGTCCATGTCAGAGTAACCGGTTTGCCAGCTTCGAGGGGGTCCTTGGGCCAGGAAGTGAAGGATAGAGGGTCGGCGGCAAGACCAACCGACATGAGAGAAGCCGTGACGGCAATAACACTCTTGGAGAAATGCATTGTGAAGGAAAGTTAATAGATGGTTTGGGTTTAAAGAAAGTGAGGCGATATCAGAAAACAATTGTGTGGTATTCGCGAACTAGGTGAGCTTGTGATGGAGAACGCGATATAACTTCAACAGATTCGGTGGCGCATCGCGATTCTTAACTGACGGCAAAAATTGTCTGGATCTCTCCTAGGTCCACAGAAATAAGTATGGAAGCCGCCTGTTGGTATTCTAACGCTGAGACTCTAGGGCACTATGGGAGAATGTTGCATTCCGAATAACCCTGATAATGAAGCATCAATACGTTACCTAAGAAAGCATGTCGTCTACCTTGTGTGGGGAATGTCTGCCAGCAAGCATTGCAAATTCTCGAGAAAGTGTTAATTTAAGACTATACCTGGGAGAGCTTTACCGGGTTTCACGGCTTGAGTACGGGAGGTTGCTTCTCATTCAGTCTGTTTGAAGCGTAATACCCGGGTGGCTGCAGCGAGGCTTCATTCCCCTCATAGTGGATGACAGCCCATGAGAGTAGTTAGCTCATATAAGGAAGGGCTTATAAGTCATAAATGAGAAGGCTGAGCGAAGTATTCCGGCCCAATAACACGACTTTCCAGAAAATGCTGGAATGCCATCCCTTTCCGGTTTGTTTTGGTGGGGATCGATTTATAGGGCTCTAAGATCATCTCTTGCCGCCTATCAAGCATTTCCGGGGCCTTGCCCTACCATAGATCTCATACCAAGGGGTGCCATATGGTTTAGTTGTGTAGTCTGGAGGTTGGGGTAGCTTGATCGCCACCCATACGGCACGAGGAATACCGAATGTTTCCCCAGCCTTCTAACTCAATGACCTGGCTATATCAATAGAATTCAATCGCCCAAGTTCATATGCATAGGAAATAATACTAGCAAGGGCAATAATAGCACGGAGTAAGTTGGGTCGAGTTGAAAGAATGTATACGTCCGAGTGTTGCGGGACTAGAGAATATATATCTCGAACGTACAATGTAAGCAGGGACAATATTGGTCTTATTGCCATTCTTGCTTCACCTATGGTGGTTATAGAGCAATAATAAGCCCCAAGGCATATCAAATACATTAACTTCCTTTGATTTGCCAGTTGGAGTTGTCTGTGGCCACTGCTGCGAGGCCCATGTTTAATGTTTACTTTCAGAGTTGGGACTTCTAGGGTTAGACCTGCAGCAAGGGATCTGTTGGTAGATGATCATTTCTATTCCAGACAGGGAACTACGACTATACCCCGCAATGTCTAAACCCTTTGAGGTTTTATTGTCAAACAAATTGAATTGGTATACGCTGATATAGAACCCTTAGAACTCCCACAAATCCCGCATGAAACACCCTGGACCAGAGTCCACACCACCATCTTCCTCTAGTAGACGATCTGTGAAGATACGCTTGGGAATCTGGTACTCGACGACAGGAATCTTCTTGAGATTTCTCTCTTCCGCTCCAAGATCTGCAGTTACCATGCCCGCATATGTGTGGTCAAGGAAATCTTCCAGACTGTATGCTTGCTTTGTGAACTGCTCGGAGATGATCCGTGCGATGGCCGCAACGTTGGGGTGGAAGTGAGACTGAAGGGTCTCAATCTCCCAAATACTGCTCTCAATGGCGTTGGTCATGTTAGGGTCGGACTCATTTGGATCGAACGGATCGTCCATGCCTTCTTTCTCCACTTCCGCAAGTTCATCCTTATCACGAATAGATCGGTGCATCATGAATGTAGTGGTGGGGTGGCTCTTGAAAAAGTTGTACATGAACGGAACGATCACCACAATGGCGGAAGGAGGGGCATTCAGTGCAAGGCGAGCGAGACGCTTGATGAAGCTGGCCACCAATGTGGACGGAAGATGGGTTGAGGACAAGAAGGTGTTCAGCAGTCGGAAGAATCGTGATCGGTGCTTTGAGTGCAGCAGCTCAGAATCTAGAAGAGAGTACAGCTTGGAGTAGAACTGAGGGTAGTCCAGGTTCTTTTCCTGGATCAGGTAGAAGAGACCAGACAGTGCGAGGAGAGATGTGGCACCACCGACATTGTATGAGTCCGTCAAGAAGTCCATCAGCAGCTCTGGTCGGTTGAACCACGGCTCGATGTTGTGCACCATCATGCGCAGCAGGTTTTTGCGCTGCGATTGTGAGAGGTTGTTTCGTAGAATGGCAAGCCACGCCTCCTGTGCCTGCTTCCTGTGGGAGTTTGCCGAAACTAAGCGCTTATTCTTGGTGTCTCGTTTCGCGTAGAAGTTTTCAAACTTGTGTTCCGGTCCAGGTATCTCATCGCAGGTTTGAAGGATCTTAATCAGGGTTTCGAGGACTTCGGGGGATCGTTTCGTAGAGGCGTAATCACTGATACACGTTAGCTACAAGACCCAACGACAGGAAAAGGATATACATACGCCATCTGTGTGAAAGTGTAATATCTCACATCCTCATACGCCTTCACGAACTTGGCAACGGCTTCGGTCTGCAGATCCTGGCCGTTATTGGCCTCGATGATGGCGGCAAAGATATCCTTGAAGAAACCCGTCGACCAAACATTATTCTCGGCACCCGGGATATGGGCGAGACGTTCCTTAACAATGCGCATGCTCAGCGTCAGGGCCGCAATCTAGAGATCGTCAGTAACAATAACCCCCGCCAGATCAGAATATACATACCTGGGAGGAAGCATCTGCCTCGCGCATGATAGCCACAAGAGCATTCTGATAATCAAGGCAACGCTCCTTCAACCATGCCACGACGATTTTCTCGTTCTCAGCGGCACGGCTTGACTCGGTCAAATTTCCTCCGGCGATCAATCGGCTGAACACACGGCAAAGAGAGACAGCCACAGCCATCTCAGGCTTTTCGGCCGATTGCTCGACATTGAGCATGGATAGTAGGGTCGCAATATTGTTATAGCCCTTCCGCGACTCCGCAATTTGATTCTCTAGCTCTTGAATAGTAGACAGTTTCTCGGCGAAATTGTCCTCGGCGACAGCGCGGCGCTTGGAGGATGGGCCGCTGGCATTCTTGCCGCTCTTGCGCTTCTTAGAGCTTGAATCCGTAACAAGTGCAGGCATTTTGGGCTAGCGTCTTGTATTGTACCGTGAACGAGGTTATCAGCAACTTTTTTTTATCGTTTGGACCATCTCGGATGCTGGTTTTTCCGAGGAACGGAACCACCTCCCGAAACGGCTAGCGTCTTCACCTCCTAGCCATCCCGAACCTCAAGTCTCCTCAATTCCGTTCACCCACCCCATTGACCAAGATTCTTCCATCTGCAACAATGGCTTCGCGTCTTGCTAAGAGCGCCATTGGTACGCTTTTTACGAACCTCGACCGTCTGATCGACTCGATGTCTTCAGTTACTAACTCACCCTAGGCGCATCCCGACTTCGGCCGGCCCTTCCCGCCCGTGGTGTCCCTGCCGTCACTGCCAACCTGACCTCCTCTCGCCAGGCCTCCAACGTCCCCGCCGAGGAGCCCTCCAAGAAGGCGCAGTCGATCCTGAACGCCATCCCCGGCAACTCCCTGGTCACCAAGACCGCTACCCTGTCTGCCGCCGCCGGTCTGTCCATCGCCGCCATCAGCAACGAGCTGTACGTTATGAACGAGGAGACCGTCGCTGCTTTCTGTCTGCTGTCCGTCTTCACCGCTGTTGGCAAGTACGGTGGTCCCGCCTACCGTGAGTGGGCCGAGGGCCAGGTCCAGAAGCACAAGGATATCCTGAACGCTGCCCGTGCCGACCACACCAACGCTGTCCAGCAGCGTATCGACAACGTCTCCCAGATGTCTGGCGTTGTTGAGGTTACCAAGCAGCTCTTCGCTGTTTCCAAGGTAGGAATACTCGGTCGCGTACCTTGATACTTGGGTTGTTGACAGTCCGTTTGCAGGAAACCGCCCAGCTCGAGTCCCAGGCCTACGAGCTCCAGCAGCGCACTGCTCTCGCTGCCGAGGCCAAGCAGGTCCTCGACTCGTGGGTGCGTTACGAGAACCAGGTCAAGCAGCGCCAGCAGCGTGAGCTTGCCGAGTCCGTCATTGCCAAGATCCAGAAGGAGCTTGAGAGCCCCAAGGTTCTCCAGCAGATCCTCCAGCAGAGCGTTGCTGATGTTGAGCGTGAGTTATCTACCAACTGAGCTTTATATAGGATAGTGCTAACGATTCCCAGGCATCATGGCGTCCAAGGCCCTGTAAATGGGCCCAGTAGCTCACTGCATTCGGCATTGTGTACAAAACTATTAAGGGCTATTTGCATCTGCCGAGCTAGACCTTGCAATACCATTTTGATTCTTTATAATCGGACACACATGGTCTCAAGACATGTTCTCAAACGAGTTGGGTTTGGAAATGCCCACCGGTTGATGTCTGGCATATGAATCTGTCCGGGCCAGTTTCATCGTAGAACACTCTGACCAGAATATGATACAAAGAGATCCTTAAGAGTGCCTTTTGAATGCATATGTGACTTGTGCCATACCCTAGAGCTATGTAGTATATACTTAAGAAGTAAAGGCTGAGTCCACACCCAAGGCGCCCTATGACATGCAGGGTCTAATGCAGCACGCCACCCCCGGAGAATGCGATAAGATATCCATAGATCTATATCTATCTGGGGATTTCTATGTTATTGTATGCATCTTGTCCCTAGGATATCCCAGTATTTCCAGTATTCCCTTTGTATTTAATATATTCTTTGTGTGCACACGGGACATCAGCCGTTGGCCAAGACCCCGGACCCCAGTCATCAGCCCGTGGACGTGGACTGCCGCCTACACAGCCACTGTCTATCATTGTGGTTATTTTTAATATCATTCATCCTCAGCCCTACATGTATTCTCGACAATCCTCCTCAACACCTAAGCTTACACCCGACTATCACACATACAAAAAGGCCCAGATCCACTTCCGCCCCCATCCGCTAAGTAGATGAGCATCATGCCCTCACTACGCAACATCCTCCACAAACGCGACGACCTCAGCACCACCCAAACACCCCAAAATGCACCAGCAACACCCCCAGCACCCGAGTTCAAGCTCATCCGCACAGACACACACACCCAGGAGATAATAATCCCACCATCCAACCCAAACGACCCAACCCCATACCTATCATCACCAACTCAAGAAGAGCCCACGTCTCCCCGCCGGAGCTTCCAACTCTTCAACCGCTCCCCCAGACTCTCCTCTGCCTCCTCGCAATCTCCACCCCGTCGCGAGCGCCGTCTCTCAAACCTCCTACATCTCGACCACCGCAGTCGCAGTAACTCGCGTGACTCTTCCGCCAACATCCCCGCGGACCTGCCGCAGATCGATGACGATCATGGCGCGAGTAAGCAGGAGCGCGAGGCATTATGGGAGAAGAGGGCTACTGTGCTAGTACAGCAGAATCCGCAGTTTGCGCATTCTGGCTCATCGTTGCCGGGGCAGCAGGGTGAAGGAGAAGCGTCGCTAGGTTTGGGATTGGGGCTGGAGCAGGTTAGGTCAAGGAGCTCGAGTCAGAGTCGGGTCGGGTTGGATCCAAAGGAAGATGTAGGTGGTTACTGTTTATAAATTTGCGTTGATGGTTGCGCTTATGGTTGGAATGTGGGACTAACGGATTATAGATTAATATTCAAGAGGCGATTCGACTGCATGAAGCTGGTGGTGAGTTCTGCTTTTCTATGTTCGGCTGAGTATATATGTTGATTGACATGGATTATAGAACTCGAGCGATCAACTCGCATGTTCGGACAACTTGCCGATCCAAATGGCGCAAATAATCCCTTGAGTCAGGTTCTTTATGGCCTCGCGCTACGGTAATACCACGCCTAGCTATTTATGAGTTTTCTAGGTACTAATAAATGTCCAGACACGGATGGGGTTGTCCTGTAGATCTTGCACGCGCTGTGACTTATCTCTCTGCCGCAGCATCCAATTCCGCCGCGGTTGAAGCGGAGGCCCTCCGTGCTGGGGTCAAGAAAGGGGAGTCGCCAAAGGCGAACTCGTTTTGGCTATGTTTGAGTTGGCCAATTGCTTCCGCCATGGGTGGGGCATATCAAAGGATCCTCCTGCTGCTAGACAGTATTACGAGACTGCTGCGAATTTGGGTGACACTGATGCCATGAACGAAGCGGGTTGGTGTTATCTAGAGGGATTCGGGGGTAAGAAGGACAAGGTACGTTTGATCTCTGCTTAGCTGTGTATTTTGTGCCTATTCTGACTGGACGTGGGCTATAGTTTAAAGCGGCCAAGTATTACAGACTTGCCGAGGAGAATGGGTGTCCTACTCTTGGGAATTCATGGTATGTTCAACCGACTGATGATCTGGAATTTGAATCTAATGGATACTATAGGATCTGGAAAGACAAGTATAACCCGAAGTAATCCGCTTCAACAAAGGTTGCAGACATTAACTACCTCTTTACTACGACGGGGGTAGTAGTTATTACCTCTATTCTACGATTGATGTATCTTAACTTTTCCTACGTGTCACGTCAAACATTCATGATCGATGTTCAATTATCCCACAATGTCCTTTCTCCGTAGTCACCTCAACATCATCACCATCAGTAACACGCGCATCCTCCCCATCAAAAATAGAGGCAATATCTTCAAGAGACCTCCCCCTGGTCTCGGGATATGCCTTCCAAACAACAACCAAAACAACAAGCAGCACGACCAAAAACACAAAGTAGTATTTCCAAGAAATACTCTCAAACGCAATAGGGTTAATAAGCTGATTGAAAACCAGCGCTAGATAATTCGAGATCACGGCGATAGCAACACCCTTAGCACGCAGTGAGGTTGTCCAGATCTCAGCCGGGTACGCCAGGAGCAGTGGCGTGAAAGCGATATCATAACCCGCATAGTAGACGAACAAGAACGGGATCACAGCTGTTCCGACGGCACTGGTACCCGTCGTCGTGAAGCTACCCGACAACGCAGTGATGAAGATATAGCTGAACAGCATTATCACAGTCGATGTGATGAAGAGCATTCGGCGGCCAGCGCGGTCGACAAGACACGCGCCTACCACGCTCATTATCAGGTTCCAGAGCTGGAGGAAGCCGTTTATTAAGGTCTGATCTGTTGTCGAGGTTATACCGATTGTATCGAGGATAAGAGTTAGGTAGTATGACACTACACCACTAGAGCAGATATGCAGTCAGCAATGGATCTCTCCATCCATTTTGATTTCACTTCGTGAAAACAATAGTAAAAACCCAAATGCGATACTTACCCTCCATTCCACTGAGCAAAAACACCCAAAGAAACACTCAGGAAAAGCCGATACCGATTCCCAGGAGTCCTAACACAATCGATCCAGCGCGCCTGTGGTCGAGCCTTCCGCTCTGCCGCTAGACCCCTGCTAATCTCCTCAATCTCAAAAGCCACCAACTGTGAATCCGCATCCCCACCAGCATGGAACTTGACCAGCATACTCCGCGCCTCCTCGACCCGCCCGCAACTAAGCAGCCAGCGCGGGGATTCGGGCACAAACAAGGTCCCAGGTAAGGCAAGAATGGGTAACGCAATCTGCATAAGCACAGGCAAACGCCACGCCCAGCTACTCTGCACATTCCTCATCCCGAAGGAAATCCACGCTGACAGTGAAGACCCGGCATAGTACTGGCACATGTAGATGGCCGTGACGAGCGAGCGATGTGACGGGTATGCGATCTCCGTAACGAGGATCACAGCGCACTGGAACCAGGCGCTGGCGATTCCGATTAAAAGTCGGGAGTAGATGAATGTATTGGCGCTCTGGGCGGCGGCTTGGAGGCCCACGCCGAGGACGATGAAGATGTATCCGACTAGGATTGTGGGTTTGCGGCCGAAGCGGTTGGCGGACCATGCTTGGATGGGGAGGAAGAGGATGCTGCCTATGTTTTGGAGGGCGTTTATGAAGCCGAGTTTTATTCCTTCTGGGTTTTTCATGAATGTTTGCCATTGTGGTAGGGATTGGAGGCTGTTCATTAAAGAGATGTCGTAGCCGAAGGTGCTGGAGAAGAGGATTAGGCTTGCTATTAGGGTGTTTAGGTGGATTAGATGTGTTGTTTTCCACCATGGCTTGGACTAGGATTTGATTGTTAGTTGTGCTTCAGATTGGTTATTTGATGGGATGGGGAGGGTTTATACCGGAGTGAGTCCCGTGACAACTCTTGCTGTTGGCTTGTCATCCATGATGGGCCTTCTCCATCAAAGCGGGCATGTAGTGAAGTCGAGGAGCTGTAGCTGTACAATATATTTCGAGGTAACCGTCTGACTTTATGAAATTGTAGAGATCAATCTGCCCCCCCTCTTTTCCGGCATCCCGACACCCCCGGATATCCTTCCACCAGATCCCGGGGAGATGCGGAGAAGTGGACCTGGACTCAATAGCGCTGTCGGCTCAGCTCCGAGATAATTGCCTGACTTTTACAGAGTACATACTCCATACTCCGTAGTTAAAATGTAGATTTGTATTCTTCGGATGCCAGTGCAGGAAATTGGCCGGGTCGAAGGAGTATGTGTACTCCGTACAATATTGGATAACCCTAAGGTACAAATCCAATTCCCTTTGCTCAGGTGGAACCCCTTTTGTCATTTATTTCTAGGCAGCTCTTCTCTTGGCAATTTTAGTCCGCATATTAATGTATTAAACATATTTAATCTATTGGCTTTTATTTTAGCCCTTTAAGGGGAGTGAACAAGGCGCGAACAAGGGGGACGGGCGACTAACTCTGTCATTGGTTTATATTGCTAACTAGTTAGTAGTAATTTAAACTAATGTTGTATGTAGTAGTTATTAATTGAAACCTACCGATGCTTAAAGATGTCTGAATACCTAGATTATAAGGATGGGTATAGGGACTTCTAAAGTGAACTGAATCTGAACTGAATCTGAACTGAATCTGAACTGAATCTGAAACGAATTTGAAGAAAATTAGCAGATCTCTTAGCCGCTAGTTTAAGGGTAGGTGAATCTTTATAGGGTAGACTATTGCAGGTAATAACTAATGACAGAGTTATGTGCTAGTGGCATACTTAGTCGCAATATACTAGATAACCTCAATTTTAAGGTGATATCTTGACTGTTAATGTCCTATACTAGACATATATTCAACCTATTATACGTTAAAGCGACACAACTTCATGAGTAACACTAGTGTTCCTTAGGATCGCAATCTTGTTCGCGTCGAATTCCGCCCGTATCTTCTCTTCTTCCTGGATATCACCATTGCTCATACCAATCCTTATATATATTTGGTGAAGGTGCTATTTCAAATTCGCTATTTGACTGAAGTTTCATATTTCCAGCTTACATTAAAACACAATTGTAGGGGACAGAACTTGGCATGAAAGATGGGAGTACATACATAGTATGTACACATGTAGGACTATAGCCAGATTTGACACGCCAGATTTTGACGTGTATCTAAGGAGGCACCATCGAACGCCTTGTATTTATCTCAGGCCAAGGTTGTTTACACAGTGTAAGTCGAACTACAAGTCCATAGGTTACTGCAAAAGCAACGAAAACATAGGGCATATTGATCAAGTTTTATTGTAGTTCTAGATAATGAGACTTGCTTGGTTTCACCATAAAGGCAGTTACTCACCCTGAACACCGCGTAAAGGTGTAAGTCTTGTTCAGGTATCGCATACAGGACCCGTGCAGCTGGGTATGGAAAGGGACAACAGAGAGCTATCTCTGTGGGAAAAACAAAAAATTGGCTCAAAGAGCACGTAGAGGAGACGAGAACATAGCCCCTTGGTTCAGCTCCTGGCGGACAACGGGAGCACCCATACAAGCGAGAACGGGACAAAACGAGATACAACGAGCCAAAGCGGGCGCCGAACCAAACCAATAAAGGCCAACAGCAACGTGGCCACCGCCATGTTCATACGATCAGCAGCAGGGGGTTTTCGGCCGGCGCGAGGAAAAGGATGAGCGAATCCACCATCCTGGCCGGTTCCGGGATAGGTGGTAGAGACAGCATGATTATATCAAAATTTCCTCCTCTTGCTAGTGCCGGGCAGGGGTGGTTGGGATTCAACCCCTACCACGGCACCACATCCTCCCTCCCTCCACTTTACTCCTTGGCCGCCCACTCCTTAATGGCATCAATTGCCCTGCCAAGGATTGCCTACTGCCCCCTCGGGGGCAGCCAGTATCCGCGTGGGACGGGGACCCACTGCACCAAGCTGTCGGAATTGGCATTTAGGGCTTCCGCCGTACTGGCGGAAGCACTATATTCCTCCACAATAATGTGGAGTCTAGGGGCGCGGGCCTTCTCCTTGTTTTCCTCGCCCTCGTCGTCCTGGGCAGGGCGCTTGCCCTTGCTTTCGCCCTCGCCATTCTTGTTATCTTCCGACGGCGGGTTTTCGCCTTGGCCGGGCGGGGCAGAGGCCTCAGTGTTGTTGGCGGGGGCGGCTCGCTCCAGGTCATCCACCTCCTTGTGGAAGTGGTCTATTAAGGCCCTTTGCGGGTCGTGTAGGCTGGCCTCGTGAGCAAGGTACCTACACATATCTCTCATTAGCATGATGGACCAATACGAGATAATAAGGCAGGCTGTACATACCGTATGGCCCAGCAAACCACGCCTACTATCAGACCGAGGCCGAACAGGCCACCAATAGTAACGATCAGGGGGGTTACCCAGGCTGGAGTCTGGTCTTTGGCTTAGGTTGCCATGGTTTCAGTGTTGTTGGCGGGGGCGGCTCGCTCCAGGTCATCCACCTCCTTGTGGAAGTGGTCTATTAAGGCCCTTTGCGGGTCGTGTAGGCTGGCCTCGTGAGCAAGGTACCTACACATATCTCTCATTAGCATGATGGACCAATACGAGATAATAAGGCAGGCTGTACATACCGTATGGCCCAGCAAACCACGCCTACTATCAGACCGAGGCCGAACAGGCCACCAATAGTAACGATCAGGGGGGTTACCCAGGCTGGAGTCTGGTCTTTGGCTTAGGTTGCCATGGTTTCAGTGTTGTTGGCGGGGGCGGCTCGCTCCAGGTCATCCACCTCCTTGTGGAAGTGGTCTATTAAGGCCCTTTGCGGGTCGTGTAGGCTGGCCTCATGTGCGAGGTACCTACATATATCTCTCATTAGCATAATGGACCAATACGAGATAATAAGGCAGGCTGTACATACCGTACGCCCCAGAAAGTCAGGCCTAGCAGAGGCCGATAAGCATAAGCTTGTAATGATGACGATAGAGTTGCGTGCCGCTCCCTCACGTGTGGCACGTGATGGAAGGGTACGTTCGAAACAAGTGACGGTCGCGACAGGAGTAGGGACTCGACTGTCGAGACGTAGAGATCGATGGAAAGTCCATCAAAGACGAAGACTCGTCGAAGATGGCGCTGTCTCGCTGGAAAGTCGACAAGGAGAAGACGCGGGGGTAGCTCGCGTTGACGCCGAACCACCCCACTGCTTGGATGCAGGGTCTGGTGACTCGCATAGACCGGATATGAATATTCGAATGATTTAGTAGGTCGTTTTCACTGAAAAATTACTCTGGCCTCGGCCAAGGATATGCTACCAGATGCAAGCTGGAAGCAAAGGGGAAGATAAAGGTGATGTATTAAGTTAGCAAGTGCAGTCCAACTCCAGTCCTCACCGTGTCAGGTGACCGACGACGTCACAATCAGGCCAGCAACAGCAGTGACCACGGTCATCTCGTCTTTGGCTGGGTTTGTCATGGTTTCAGTGTAGTTTGTCGTTGGGCAACCCGTTGAAGTAGATCGCTACTGTGTGGGAGAAAGCAGGAGAAGAAATTGTTAGTTGATTAAACTAGAAATGTAGGGGGTTATATACCCTGCTAAAACCATCTAAACATTGCTCAGTTGTAGCAAACAAACTAACAAATAGCAGGTAACAAGCAAAAGGCTCAGTGTTCAGATTCAGTTCAGATCAGATCAGATCAGTTCAGTCCAGTCCAGTCCAGTCCAGTCCAGTTCAGTTCAGTTCAGTTTAGTTTAGTTTAGTTTAGTTTAATTTAGTTCAGATCAGATCAGTTCAGATCAGATCAGATTCAGTTCGAATGCAGTTCAGATTCAGTTCAGATTCAGTTCAGATTCAGTTCAGATTCAGTTCAGATTCAGTTCAGATTCAGTTCAGATTCAGTTCAGATTCAGTTCAGATTCAATTTAGATTCAATTCAGATTAAGATAGTAAGATAGTAAGAAATCAAGAGTCTTAATTGTATAACTATAGATTCAACATGGTACTTGTGAAGTGAGGGTGAATCTAAATTATTGCCTGGCAATATATATCACCCGTGGTTTGCTTGAAGATATGTACACGAACGCTCCCATGTTCAAAACGGGCACTCTCCTGCTGGTCCAGTACGTCGCATCCATTTTGTTGCGGTTGCAGAACGGCCAAGAGATCCGGATCCTACAACTTGGAGCTAGAACCAGTGACACAACCAAAAGGGCCTTGTTATTGCTCTTGTTCCATTGAGGAGTCTCACATACACGTTCACTGAAATGTCATCCTCGCTAGTGGCTACGGCCCGCCCAAATTTCAGTCAGCCATTCATGCGCTTCGCTGTCTTGGACACTAAGAAAGCCCCGGAATCTGAAATACTGCGAGCTTACGATATAGTGCTATCCACAAACTGCATCCACGCCACCCGCCACCTGGTCGATCCACTACGCACATTCGGAAGATGCTGCAACCGGACGTAGTTCTTTGCCCGGTGGAATTCACGCGGAGGCTCTTCTGGTTTGATCTTATCTTTGGTCTACTGGAAGGTGGTATTTATCCAATGATGGCAGGGACCATGCTCTGGCCGATGAGTTGTGCTAGTAGAACTCTCTACACGACGCCGGCTTTCCCAAGATGGATTGGAGCGACAGCCCATCCAGGGGATCAGACCATGAAGCATGTCATGTTATTGCGGTGTCGCTATTAAAAGCCTGGAAAAGGAGATGGTGGTCTTCAAACAGATTGATTGTCTGGACCCGGAGGCGGATCTACACTTTCAATTTCGGGTGGCAGATCCGATAGTCGCTCCCCTCGTAGGTGAGCCTGGAATATATGTTGGAGAAGGCCAGCTAACCTGGTCCACTTCTACTAGCACTTATGATTCACTGCCGTGGTGGTTGGCCACCAAAGCAACTTACAGGAAGTGTCAACGGCGGTAGTCCCAAAAGGCCTTTGATCTCCTTGGGTTCCACCACGCCAGCGACCTCGTTGACACTCATCTTGGATCGGATTGAGCTGTCTTTCCCAAGCATCTTCGCACCCAAGCGGGGTGCCGACTTTCGCGTGGTGAAGTCGGAACTGCACACCAGGCTGGTAGACAACAACATAATAATCTGAGGGACAGGTACTGAGAGATGATGAAAGGATCTCGAGGAGCGAAGCTCCTGTCTGGATGTAGGTGGAGTTCGTCAGGGCCCTAAGGGAGGAGCGGTTACCTAACCGCAGTAGGAGATGTTCAATCAAGCATACTCAGAAGTTGAGGCGAGGAAAAATGGCGAAGTAGCTGTTGTGGTGGTGTCAGCTGACCCTGTGTGATAGGGTATCACCTGATCCTATGAGATAGGACTGCAGTCTCCTCTCCTTCTTCTTCTTTTCCCGTTCTCTCTTAGCAGTTAGCAGTTACCAATACAATTGCTCTCTCTCTCTCTTCTCCTAGCTTCATATCAGTATCTCTGAAAGCATTCATAGCAACAGCCCCAAGGGCCAATAGCCCGAACCCGCTGAGATGCATTGCGTTTAGCGTGGGGATAGTCAGGTTGATGATGTTGCCAACGGGAGGTGTCCGACTTAGGCCTCGGAGGCGGCCACATCATCCTCTCTCGAACGATATCCGGCCGGGCAGAAACATATTCCAGCAAAAGGGGTTCTTGCCGATCACCGTGAACTAACGACTCTGTCGAGAGGGCACGCGCCCGGGGACCCCATGGAGACGTTTTAGATCATTGGACTGGATTCGAACAGGCCTGCCTACCGTCCAGTCACAACGCGCCGACAACGGAACCGATGGTCGCCATATCTTCAGCGTCGACTGGTCCACTGGCAGCCACTTAGCTGTGTCACTGGGGTGAGATAGTATACCACGACATATCATGCCGTATTTGCCTTCTACTGCCCTCTTGACCACGAAGACGGCGCCTAGCTAGTCCCGGACTGGGAAGGCGGTTGTCGAAGGCAGAATGGTGGGGTGTTCATAAAGAACACCCACCCGAGTTCAGATTCAAAAAGCAAACATCAGTCCAATGAACATCCTTTTGGCCTTCGGCCCTAGTCTTTTATCTTCTGTTCGTAAAATTGGACTGTCAATGAGTTTATGTGACTTTGAAGTAACCCGTCCGTTGGAAGCAACCTTGGAACATCAACCTCCAGGGCTTCCCGAGGTCCAAGGAACCTTCAGAGAACCTTCGAATACGCGATCTTAGGCAGCGGGGTGATGACACTATGACTCAGGGTTACACCTACATTTCTCTATCATTTCTTCAATCTTCTCCGAGTTCTAGTTTTTCCCGAGGTACTTTCCAAGAAGGCTCTTTTCGCTTGCTAAGCTCTGCACTCGCGATGATTATGCAGATCTCTTACTTAGATGATGAGGATGATGAGAATTATGAAGTTCTCATATACGAATCAAAATGTATCTCCCGGAAATTAGTCACCGATGTGCTTCTTGCCGAGCACGCTCTGCGCGAACTGACGCAGCGTGAGGAAACGTTACACCATAGAGCTTTGGCCTTACAAAAGACCATAGCTATCGAGTCTGATCGGCTCCAGCCTGACAAGACCACGCCTGTCGAGTCTACCAGGGCCGAGCTTGAAAAGGCAAATCAACAGCTTAAAGAGACCCAGCTACAATATGCAAGAAAGGAGGACGCCCTTTACCGAGCGACGTCTATGGTTAGAACGTCTTTCAAAGAATTTTACGATAGGTTAAGGCGTGATCCTAAATGGTTTATGAGAGAAGGACTAGTTCAGGATTGTTCGGATCGAGGCGGATGTTGCAGCAGGAAATGCGGATGCTGCGCACAGAGGTGTGAAGAAAAGAAGAGGAAGAAAGGCAGAGGCCATTGCACTATAGAGTGCCGGTGCTGTATCGACTTTCGTGGCTTCGAGTTTCCAGAAGAAGATAAAGAGGAGATGAGGAGAGATTTCGAAGCTAGGCTTAAAATCCAGGATTCGGTTTACTTTATCAAGTTAGCAAATTGGTCTTTTCGCCCATTACAGCGGCACCAAACGCCTCCAAAACCAAAGTCCCGGTGGCATCGAATTTTCAGCCCCTGATGAGAAGGGCCGATGAGAAAGACTCGTGAAAATGACCGTACTTTGCTTAAATATCGCTACTTTGCTTGAGAATGATTTGCTTCGCCAAAAGATCTAGACGAGTGGATTCTTTATGACTACATAATATATAAAGCTATATATAAATCTTCTTTCTCTTCTTCTTAAAGAATAGATGAAGTATGAAGGAGAAGAAGTAGATGTTGATAGAGAAAGGTTGTAAACACTATGTCTGGTCCCGATAATTGCTTGACTGCCTTGGTCAGTCACATACAGTAGTATATTTACTATAAGGGTTCACATCACACCTGGCTCAACCGTCCTCGACCTCCTGGGCTTGCAGTTCCTGGAATATGACACGCCATATCACACCTAGCAAACCTCATGGTTATTGCTAACCGATACACTGCTATCTCTCGGGACTTTTGGAAGGCAGTTCCAAAGAAGCAACATTGCCCCCGAAAGTGCTATGATAAAGGGCATCAAAACCTCAACACCCTTAGCCTGCGCAAGTACGCCGACAATAAATGGAAGCACAGCCGCACCACCACCACCGAAGGCTGCTGCAAACCCAATAGCGCTGACATGCAAGTGCTTTGGCAACAGTTTTGTGGTAACTATCACAACCGCTGGGAACAACGGACCCAGAAAGAACCCTTGCAGGGATACCGCGACTGCGCCAGCATAGAAATTCGGAACCAGGTACAAGATGAGGCAAAATGCTATCTCGAGCAAGATATAGATCTACTAAAAGGTGAGCTTGTGGTATAAGTGGAATGAAAAAGATATACTGGGGAGAACCTACCGAGATGGCAATCTTTTCACCGATCAAAGGAGTCACGAATCCAAGGATAACCCGTCCAAGGGTTATCCCGAGCCAGAATCCAGTAGATGTCATGCTGCTAGCAAACGGTGCGGCATGCCGCACTTCCTTCATGAATGTCACGACCCATCCTCCTAGCGCCACTTCGACGCCAACGTATCCAAGCAAGAAGATTGAGCAGACCCAAGTAATTCGCGCAAAGGGCATTGTGAATAGGACCCTACGCAAGCCTGCTTTCTCGGATGTATCACCAGGCTGTTGTTTCTTAGCGAGTCGGAATGACGCCCCTATAGAATCCCAGAAACACGCAACGCAGACGAGAATCTCGATTGCAGCGCCTCCAATCTAGGAAAATCAGTTACCATGAGCCAGAACGGTTCCGGAAAAATAGTGGACAAAGTATAATGTACCATAATGTAATAGAAGTAATACCATGGCAACCCAGCATCCGCGATAAGTAGCGATGCAATGAGAGGGCTGATAACAGCACCTACCCCATAAGATCCATGAAGCAGGCCGAGTAATTGATTCGCATTATGGAGATTTCCAATCCAGGCATTCCATGCCGAGTCCGCGAGGCCATTTCCCAGACCTGCGAATATGAATGATACAACGAGGACTGGGTAGGGTGGATGCACACAGTTCAAGATGTAGGCTATCAGGTGGCACAACGATGAGACGAAGGCTACACCTCGTCGGCCTATGGCACAATGTGCTCGCTCGTTCACGATTGCAGCGGTGGCATAACCGAGTAATGGAGAGAGAAAGACGAGGGAGACAATTGTGTAGGAGAGGTTGTAGTAAGTTTCGAGCTGGGATTGTGTTAGAAGGGGAGGGGAATTTGAGGCTTAGGGGCTGATATACGTATGGGAGGAGTGGCTGGATCGTTGTATTGGATTAGTATAAGTTTCAGACTGCCATGGATATGTATATATCTAGGTGGGATCTTACACCATATGCGGAGTCATTTGCGCCCATTATTAGGAAGCTCCAGAACGTTGCCAGTGTCTTTGCTATGTTGGATCGCGGGTGATTCCATTTTTCACAATCAATCTGGCAAGACGATTCAGATGACGAGGATGGCTGATTTTCATGCTGGCGGGGTTGACCTTCATAGATTGTAGTGTGCGGACTATCTTTCACTCCAATAGACATGGTTGTGCTATTTAATAGACTGAACAGCTCAAGAACCAGAAAAACAAATAGATAACACAAGATAGAAAAAGTAGACCAAACAACTTTTATAGCATTTACTGGGCTACAAAAGCTTTGTTCATGAATATCATCCGGTTTGCCATCGAGCGAAAGTTGAGAAAATTTCCTAATTAGTCAAGGGCGGCTCGTTTCCGGAATAGGCAGGTCCGCCAGCAACCCCAACATCGCGCCTCGGGGAATTTCATTGTGACATATAGTATGTACCCCACATATATCCCACCCGAACTGCCACTTCACTCTTCTCATTAAACAACTAAGAATAGCCGGTCGGTCATGCGGCTTTGGTCCTTCCTGAAGACTTTTCAGAACCCGCCAGACTGTAGTCGAAGAGATATCATGTCCTTCGAGGCTCATTCCTCCAGCAATATCAGTGCAGTCTTTCCAGCGTCCTGATCAGTGTGTACTTTCGAATGAGTTTGCACATACGATCTCTGCTTTAATTGATAGAGAAAGGTAGATTGGAAGATGTAAACAAGAGTCAAATTAAATTTTTATAAGAGGTACTTATTTTTGCTAGGGGTTTATATAGTAAATAGAGGTACTATAAGTGTTACTTTTGAGAAAGCGATGACAATCTCCTCTAGGTAATATAACTACATACTTACTAGTTATATCTCTTTATAGTTACTGCTACTTAGTAATCCTCCTAGGTACGAATTCGTGGTCCACCGGTCAGACTGGATCTTTCCAGGGTGATTCCGTATGAAATTTTGTATGAAATCTAGCATCATAAATGACGATGTATGAGTAAATGTGGAAGAATATTTGTTAGGTGCTCTTTGTGAATATCTAACCACTCCGATTTTGTATCCAGCACTCACTCTCCTACAGTAACACGCTAAGAAATTGGGGAACTCATATCACTAGCACGGGAAAAAAAAAGAACCCCCTTTCCTACAACACCTAACCTCCACCGACTCTGCCCTTTCTACATACTTTCAACTCACCTTTGCTCTCGCAATTGTCCGGATCTCATCATGGAAGCGAAAGTCCCTTTCAGTCCCTCTCCCAGATTAGCTCAACAAAAGCCTAAATCAGACCACCCTCTGGGGCGCGTATTGGAACCCCTTGGGTTCTACAGACATCCAATCTTGTATGACCCCCTCCCTTTTCTAACCCTTACGTGCTAGCTGCTAACCCGCGCCGTGGAGGTTCACGCTCTGTCTTTTCGCATCTTTCTATCTATTTACCTTAGTTTGTCGTCAATACTGTGATGCAGATTCATGTCGGTATTACCGCCAGAGCATGATGTCAGCTTTAGGGTTCTTTTTCTTCATTTATGGGATATGGGGTCAGGGCGTCAAAAAGCTTGCAGCGGAAAGCAGGCAACGAGAGGAGTACGCGTTGCGAAATGAGAAAACACCGGTGTCTGTATGAACTAGCTGGAACGCAAATCCAAAACTGCATTCCTCTCATTATAGCGAAAGTAATTACATAAGTGATGTTATTCAAGCCTCCGGGAAGTCTTTCTAATAAATTCACCATCAGCACAAGAATTTTCGTACTAGATAGTACCGTCGAAGACAGTAGTTTTCGAATCGTAGAACAAATAAGCCATTTATATAAAATCGAGCCCGATTGATACAAGACCGTGCATATTCACCATACAAAATGGGACAACATAAAACGGCAACTTTGATTCACGCCAGCTTAGCTGCACCGGTATTCTCTTCATCGGGAGGAGCAGTCGAGTCCAGGCCAGAATCTGTCCGACTCTCGGGTTTCTGCTGGGCCGTTCTCTGCTCGGCCTGCGCACGCATCCTGTCGGTCATTTCATCCAATTGCCGGGCAGACTCAGAAGCGTATTGACAGTGGCGGCGAATTGCTGGCCCGTATCTGTAGAAAATCCATGGGAACGGCAGACAGGCCACAGCGAGGAAAGCCGAGATTGAGGAGGCCCAATGAATGCCAAGGTTTTGGTACATCGGTGTTGTAAAAAGCGGGCTATATAGATATCATATTAGTTCACTACTAAGGATTCGACTAGGAAACGAAAGGGCGAAGACATACAATGCAGCGCCGAAAAGGGCCCGGATTACCGCATTACCCGCTAACGCCGACGCGGCGTATATAGTATACCCATCGACTAGGTAGTTCACCACACTCAAGAAGATGGATACGTGAGAGAAACCAAAAAGTACCGTTCCAATCTCGCAGACGATCCAGTGGATGTGTGGAAAGTTGGTCCATGCGAACCAGAATAGTCCGACAGGAAGGGTGACTGCTCCGACCATCGCCGGAATAAGCCGAGCTTCGGGAGGTGGGCGGCCGTAGGCTGTGCGATCGGCGACTCTCTTATACCGGCCGTCGTCGAGGATTGAATATGCGCATCCCAGAATTTGCCCGATCATCATTCCAAGGAAAGACAGGCCGGAGGTGCTCTGGGGCCATTTGAGATTTTCTTCGAAGACAATTGGGAAGGCAGCAAATTCCATGTACATCGTTCCGTAGACTGTTGATAATGGTGTTAGCGTTTGATACCAACAGATGATCAATTAGAGAACTTACTGACAGCCATGTAGATAGATAAAAGCAGCACAATCGGCTCCATAAAAAGCAAGATCCAGGGTCTGACCATAGTTTTAGTAAAGATCTGACCGGCAGTCCGATTTGCATTCCCAACGTCTAGGCGACTCTTATACACTGCTCCAGTCAAATTACTGAGCTTGGCAGCGCGCTTCTGCAACAAGACTGGGGTGTAAGTCTCAGGGATAAAGGCAATTCCAACCAGGAACACCGCCCCATTGAAGATAGTTGTAAGACCTTGAACCCACTCCCAGCCTTTGGACACTGCCAAGAAGTCACAAGTAATTGGTCCGAGACTAGGACCCAAGAAGGGGGCTCCAATAAAAGCTATCGTAGCGAGCCCTCTATCGCGGGCCGTATACATGTCTGAAACCACGCCTCCAGCATTTGAGATTGCCGAGGAACCAAATGCCCCCGCGAGGAATCGTAGTACTAGCAATGTTGCAATATTCGGGCTTGCAATTGTTGCCCCGGCAAATAGTGTAGTCAACCCATACGTGATGGAGTAGATAATCTGACGACCGCAGAGCTCGGAAAGCGGAGCCCAGATAGCTGGCCCGATCGCGAAGGCGAGAACAAAAAGTGAGGTGTCAGCAACGACTAGCTCAGTACTGGTACCGAATCGTTCTTGGATCTGGGGATTGGCTGCTGAAAGAGCCGACGAAGCGAAAGTAATGGACAGAAATGAAGCGGCTTGTAGAAGTGTGATTGACCATTTCAACCAATCTTGCATTTGATGGGGATCGCGAGCATCTTCGTGAAGCCAGTCGACCAAGTAAGGATCTTCGGCCGTGCCATTGCCCTCCCATTCGTGGTTGAGGACGTCGTTAGTGATAAGATCTTGGGACAGTACTAGCTGGTATAAAGGTACCCGAAAGCGGTTGCTGGTTTTTTCCGTTACAGGCATGGTGCAAAGGTCTTTTTTCTTGATACAGGACACTCGAGAAATAGAGTAAATGAGGATATTATGAGGAAATAGATGAAAAGAAGAGATCGTTGCTCACGGTGTAACCACGACCTTTTTTGGCAAGTGCAATAACTTGAAGCAAAAGGAAAAAGCACTACAACCCCGAAGTTGGGGTCAAATAAGTCCGGGGGACTGCTAGATTTAAGCATCCATCGGCAATGGCGTTGAAAAGAGAAAGGGAAATTGATACCGGGCATTAGTAATGATTAACGAATTTTCAGGATGATTTGAAATCAAGTTGTGAATGACCTCGGGGACATTTGAACTGGAATTCTTCCGAACTCCCCTTAAAAAGCATGTTCGTGGGTTCTTCTGAAGTTGTAATTTTGTATAAAAGACGATGCCATTATTTCCAGGCTCTGCCAAGCTTTGTGGCCACGGAGCATATGCAGCCCAAGAACCAATCATAGGCCATATTTGGACCCACCGAGTCTCGTTCCCGCTAGTACCCGCTTCCCGAGCCGCTATGCTGGTCGGGGCAATGCCGCTCCGTCAGATGGCTCCCAGAAAAATGTTTAACGTTCAAACAGAAACTGGGGCTGCCTGTTTCTCGTCGGAGTGGACCCTCGCAAAACTCTCATACACTCGTGGAATCGTGCGTCTAGCCATAGTTGCTAGCTAAAAATTTCCGCCTTCTTGCAGTGAGACAGATGGATGTTTTTCGGCTCAATAATGACGGCTTAACACTTGAAACGTCTTCATGGAAGCCGTTCGCTAGATGGCCGGCTATTGTCTTGTATGCAGCCAGCCTGTCTAGGTTTTGAGGCTGACTGGGATAGATGTTGTTAGATCTGGCTTTGGGAGAACTGGGTCGTGGGACCATCAGGATCCGGGGAAGAGTCTCTCTGAATAAACTAAGACTGTGACTGCCTTTCAGGAAATTGGTCAGCCGGGAATGTTCTTTCTGGCAAAACATTGAATTGTGATGAAGAGATTGATAAGAATTCAGAGTTGAATGATGGTTTGTCTATACAGAGAGTACGGGCGACTATAGGGATCACTGTCACATAACTCTCTATGTGATATTATACTGATCCCATTGTTTCCATTGCGAATTGGAGCTCAGCCCAAGCCATCCGGGCGCTTCACTGGACTCCTAGGATGCCACACTATTCGGCAATGTTAAAGTGACCGGAACGCGAGCCGACCGAGTGCTACAGAATGTATCTGAAGGACCTGTTCTCCTCATCCGTCAAGTCCACCTGGAGTGCAACTTCATCCGTACTAAGGTTGACTCGACGAACTTCCTCGGGGTCAATTTTGACACCCTGCTCCTTATCCCGGCGAGCGTTTTCCCACATAAGATAAAACCGAAACACGATGACTAGACCGATAGTAACCGCGTAGCAAACCAGGATTGTAGTATAGGCGGTCTGGGCACAAAACACATTAGCAGTCGGCTCGTCTTACTTCCATTCTAGAAGAGGGCTATACATACGTGATAGTTAGGTGCTTCCTCTGCAATGAAGAATTGCGGTCCGGCGAGATTCCCCGCGCAATAGCCCAGGAATATCATGGCCATGACTGTCGATTTCTTTGTGAAGCCAGCGATGTTACTCGCTGCCAGTGATAACATCAACGGGAATGCCGGGGAAACTGCCATGACAAGCCAGAAACCGGCGAGCCGCGGTAGCTTGTCAGAGGACGGCAGGAGCTTCACCATGAGAATTCCAGCCATTGCCATAAGGAAAATAAAGACAAGATTGAGCAGGCGGGACTTCCGAATTGTGGAGCTTAGTACGGCCGACAGAAGAACCGTGACCAACTGGAAGGCAGATGCCGGTAGTCCCATCAGGATTGTCTGAAACTTGTCGTAGCCGAAGCCATTAATAATTAGGGTATTGAACTGAGTATATTGTTAGGCTTGTAGATTTCTACTTGATAGGATGTGATGCTTACGCTTGTGGTGCCTCCATTGGGCACACAAATGACAAACGAGAACAGGAAGAACCACCAGGACTTGATATCCTTAAGGCTCTCCATGAACTGCCTCCTGTCCCAGGACTTGGTTTGTGTAGTTCTTTGGAACTTGTAAGGACGTAGTGCAGCAAACTTCCGTTCAGAAGCCGAAAGAAAGCTGGCGGTTTCCGGGGAGTCGGGTAAGTAGAAAAATGTCACAATAGACCACGCGACTGTAATGAGGCCGAAAAGAAGGAACAGAAGCTTGGGGTATTCAGCAATTGACCTCCATCAAAACGTTGAGGGCATCTAACCTTCCATTGAGGCAAACTTCCCTCATAACTCAAAAGGGCATAGGCAATTAAAGACCCGATAATGCTGGCAATCGCATTCCCTGCAAACCAGATGGAATGTCGCGACACATGTTCTCGAGGGGTATACCACATCCCCGTAATCAGAGAGAATCCGGGACTAATAGCGCTCTCGAATACACCCAGAAGCGCTCGGAGTGCCATGAGGCTCGCATAGTTATTGGTCACAGCATGGAGGCTCAAAATAACACCCCAGAGGAAACTGCACTTGTGAGCTTAATAGAACTCTCCAATATGATGATCTTCTTGGCTCACATCAACACGCTGAGATATTTTCCCAGTGGAAATCGCACAAAGCCGAGTGAGACCGGGTAGGATGCGACAAGGTAGCCGATATAGAAAATGCTGGAAGTCCAACTATATTGTTGGCCAACAAGGTTCTGCTCGCACAGTCAATGGGAGATACCAAGTTCGGGTTATTGTGAGGGTGCATACAAGGTCTTCACGAAGTCCGAGTATCGCACTGTATGCAAGACTGGTCTCTATTTCGGTCGGTCAACGTTCAATCCACAGTCTTGGCTGGAAATTTTGACATACTATCAAGATACTGAAGGCCGTAAGAGGTGATTAAGATAGGCATTAGACTGCCAACCGAGTAAGAATTGAATTCCAAATTGTCAAGAGAGGGGGTGTGGTATTTACTGCCAATCGATTTTCCTGATCAATTTCTTCTCGCCTTCTGGATCAAGAGTCTCGGTCGTGCCAGATTCTACCAACATACTTGCCCTTTTTGTATCGGTTCTGGTGTTCGCAATCTCGTGGGACAGGTCCTTTGCCTCCATTATAGAATGTTGAGATATGACTTAAAGCCACTGTGAGGAAACAATAAAAGAAATATGTGCGAAAATAATTATTGCGTGTCGTGAAGAAAGGGATGGTGTGCCATTTTCTTCTATATATAATCAGAGAACCCGGGGAAGGTAAGGGGAACAGATAACGGGGAAATACAGATAGTCAACACAGTTCGGTTGTCAAATCTGGACTCCTCGCGCTCCGGGCTTGGATCTCTCCTTCTCTCCTTGATAGCCAGCTGGATTGCGATTGGTCAATTTAATCGATGGAATGCCAAGTCGGTGAGGACCCCGATCATGACTACGCCGTAAGGGTAAGTGACAATGCTGATGATATAGCTCTGGCTCTAAGCATCGCTCCTCTGTGCCATACTTCTGAGTGATTTGGATACATGGATTGCAATTGCAAATTGGTGGAACTAGGTGTGTTTATCATACGCTGGGGGTAGATACCGTGCGTACACATCTTGTGTATACCGAATATCCCGAAGTATGATTTGGCCATAGAGAAGCCGATAGAGCCAATGAACTTTCTTTGGCTGGTGTATCTTCTGATCTTCAACCTCACACTGGGTCTTGAAGAATTGATGGTTTACCGCGCGTTCAAAACTGTAGAGTACCACTAGTAAATCATTATTTGAGACCTGAAGATATTGCTTGGTTAGCCAGTGCGCGCTCCCTGTGCGGAAAGTTGCGATCTCGTTTAGATGAAGGTCCGGCGATATGTACTATAGAAACCGCTCTGGGCAATCATCGATCCACTCCTTTTGTATATAATATGGCAAGGGAGCGAAGAGGGGATCTGCCTATCTCTCTTCTGAATTTCTCTATTGCTGATCCTTTTCCGCGATAGTGCGAGCAAAAACAACTCGTTTCCAACGTTAGAGCATCTTTCTCCATCCTTGCCCAGCTTTCTCGCGGTCCTCTTTAGCTTCGGCGGGAGTACGGCGGCGTTGGGGGGGATCTGGTGGCATTGCGGCGTGCTTGGGCGACTTGATCTGCGATATATTGTTAGACCTGTACTTTTTTTTACTTAGAAATGCTTAGAAAATATATTATCATGTAAACTCATGTAAACTTGTCGAGAAGAAACACCTGAAAATCGACATTTTTGCTAGAGAGTACGACATACGGACAGACTTTTGGCTCCAAATGTAGTTGTTAGGTTACATGTAAACCAACGTTGCCCGAAATCTCGTCATGAGAAACTAGATCAATGATCTGCCTCAAGTTTTTGATTGAGATACTGCGTGATTGTTGCTCCTCTTTGACCGTATTTAGTATATTTTTTAGGATAGGGTCGGAGAGAGTCGCCAAAATCCACTCTAAATGGACAGGATCATGAGTTTCCATCCCAGCTATTAGTAGTGACCATTGGAACCGTTCCAGGAGCTGCACTGGCCCTGTCGCAATAGTGTAGTATGCAGTAGCGATAAGCTCGCTCAAGTTTTGCTGAATTTCATTGGGCACTGGAAGCTGGCCAAAATATGAGTCACGGCTGCGGTGAAAATATATTTGGATGGCGTGAAAAAATGTGACAGCCACCAAAGCCATGAGTGGAGGGGTCCTTCCCTGTCTTTTACATTTTGCGACAAAACACGAAAGGGACTTGTATTCCTGTAAAAAAAAAATTAGAGCTCACTGACAAACATGTATCCGTAAGAACAGATCAAGCCTTACGTCTTGCGCCCTAGCGAGGTTGCTTTTGATCGTTCTCGATGATCGATGTGCCTGGGACTCAACGGCCTGACTATAACAGTTGATATCATGATGTATGGATATTAACTCAAAATAGGTATTCAGAATATTCAACGGCCATTGCGTGCTAGTCATGCTGTCCGAGGCAGTGGTGTAGTCATCCGAAGATGTCAAGATAGACCTCGACAACTTCCAGACCCTATGCCGCTTCTCATGGCTCCCATTCACGTAGCTAGCGAAAGCGCCTCCGCAGCCGAAAAAATTGCAGAATCCATCCCGGTCGTAGAGATAAGTGAGGATTCGTGAGAGGAGCACGGTATCAGCCGACAAGGGCCCAGAACTTGCACATGACTCGTACAAACTATGCCCCTTGACGTAAGTGAGTACAGAAACACTCAGCTGGTGCAGATTCTGAAGATTGAGGGGAGAAATCCTCATCCAGAACATGTACATGTATAAGAACGACAGCATTGTGCCAACATGGTCCGAATGAGTCGAATGAGCCAAAGGGTTAAGCGCCGTGGTGAGTATTTGAGAGCCGTATTGAAAATGTTTCCATGACTCTTGTGGAGGATAGTTGCTAAGACCCAGATAGATGGACAGTTCGTTATGGGAAATGGCAAGAAGAAAATGAAGAGCCATGGTATTCTGTAGTGCAAGGTCAAGGAACAAAAGGTGTGCTGATAACGCTGCCTCTCGGGTCGATTTGCGAGGCGCGAACACGGCACGATAAAATGATACCGCTTGTGAATCATTCCTTCCAAAAGAGGGAGCATAACTGGCCCCTATGTCGCTGGCAAATAAGACGGTCGCCGCTATGGCTTGGAAGTTGAGGAGTGACTGCGGGGAAAGCAACATAGAGGTTTGCGCATTCTTCTGTTCGACCATGTCCGTTCCCTGAGCTGGGTCATTCAATTGATTGGTCGTCTCAGTGGTATCAAACCAAGGATTGAAGGCCCCGCTCCCAAAATAGTGATCATGGCCGGGGGCCGGTAATTCAACCATGCTGTCACTGATGTCCTCAATCTGGCAAAGGTTGTCTGGGTTGTCTGGTTCATCTTGACTCCGCCATATTGGAAGGATGGGCCGAGGAGTCCAAGCATTTCGGCTTTTGATAGGGCCGAGGCCCCGTCTTCTGGTAGACATGGAAGGCTGACGAGCAGGCCATTCACACCGCAGGTGAAGGCGAATACAGCGGCGGCATAGCGGATGTTGCTCATCACATTTAACTTTTTTACTAATGCATGTTCGACAGCCTAGGCCACATGGTATCAGCTTGGTTGATTGTGGCTATCAGTACTAGTACTTACCACTCTTAGATCGGGGTCCACGCTCCGTTCGATGCCGACGAGTATTTGCACTGGTTTTCATATTTCTGATTAGGAGATCGATAGATGGATAGGCCCTTGGGGGGGTGAAGAAGAGGGGTACATTGAAAGGTTGAAAGGAGATTGCGGAGTATAACCCCCCATCTATATCTCGTCGATTATTCTAACCAATCACAGTCATCCACCCCATTTTATTAATCCTAACTCCTTGATGAGTTATCTTTTTCGCACTTGGATCTGTTAAGTACTACGCCCCTCGCGTATTCTTTTCTCTCTCATGTTATTCCTCACCTGAAGTTCTTACTATGGGAAATACCATCTCTTACTCCACCACAAATTGTGAAGTCGTCATCTCTGACCGAGGACGTATTAAGGGCCTACAGTTCGATAACAAATCACGTAGATTTGCAGGCATTCCTTATGCGCAACCTCCCACTGGACACCTGAGATGGCGGAAGCCCCAGCCTCTTCTCGACACCTACAAGTACTCATCCGGCGGAGCTAGCCCATATGACGCCACAGCATTTGGGCCCGTTTGCCCTCAACCAAATTACTCGAAAGCAGTGAGCGAGCATGCCCCCAAGCATGTTTATAATGAGGACTGCCTTCGGTTGAATATTTGGGCTCCTGTCCCTGATCCCAAAAATCCAAAGGAAAAATGGCCTGTCATAATCTGGTACCACGGTGGATGGTTCCAGGTTGGGGATCCCAGCCAGGAAGCCAGCATGGACCCAACGGAGCTAATTTCGACTGGCAAGCTTCAGGCTGTTTTTGTTGCAGTGGGGTACCGGCTGAACGTCTTTGGCTTTTTGGCTTGTCATTCTCTCCTCGAGGAGTCCGAGGGAACATCGACAGGCAACTACGGACTTTGGGATCAGCGACTCGCTATTGATTGGGTCCATAAGCACATCGGGGCCTTCGGAGGGGATTCTAGTAATATTCACCTGGCAGGGCGTAGCGCAGGTGCCTACTCAGTTCTCGCTCAGGCCCTGTATGATTTTCGCTCTGTTGGGAGTGATCATTTTCGATCTATGGCCATGTACTCTAATGCCATTCCAACACAACCAAAAACGCCTCAGGAATGTGAGGCCCAATTTGAAGAGCTGAGCCGATACTTTGGCGCTCCATCGACAATGAGCGGGGTCGAAAAGCTTCAATTCCTACGCGGAATAAGTGCCAGTGACCTTTGTGCCGGAATCATGAACCTTGAAAACCACACCTTTCGTCCCGTCACAGATGAATTGTTTATTCAACCGGGAATATTCAACTACTACCAAAATGGCTCCTTTGCGCGAGAGTTCAAGCGACGCAACCTGCGCATCTTCATTGGCGAGGTTCTCAATGAAGAGACCCTATACGCGGCCACAAATGGCCCAGACGCGAATCTGGCAGCTCTCCAGCAACAAATCGCAAATTACTACCCTCTTTCGACAACAAAACGCCTGCTTCAACATTATCAACTTCCAAAGTCAGACAACAAACAAGACTGGGCTGACCTGTTTGGAAAGATCATCTCCGATGGTCAGGTCAGAGCTCCATCGCGGTACCTAGTCAAGATCCTTGCGGACAATGGCGTTGACATGGGGAATATCTGGCGCTACATGATCGCGTACCGACTATCATTCATAACGGAGAAGATTGCCCCAGCTTCCTTCGGTGTGACCCACGCTATGGATCGGCCTATTTGGAAGTATGTTATCATTTCTACGTCCTGCTGCACTCTTCATGTCCACTAACGTTTGCTGCTCAGCTATTCAATCACACATGGCCCGACTCCCGAAGAACGCGAAATGATGTCAGACTGGATACATGATCTCTGTGTCTTCATCCATGGTAAAAGCGGGTACTCTTACGGTACTTCTTCTCCGAAACAATATAAGGTCATGACCGGGGAAGGGAAAATTGCTATTCAGGACGATACGAAATGGGACGAGCTAATAGGGGTAATGGACCTATTCTCGGGGCTTTAGATAGCTCCTAGGCCATCCTTCACGCCTTCCAAATAACCGTCATCTAAATTAGGCTTTGGTTTTTGCCACCTTAGCGTGTACTTCATGGTTCGTCCGCACACCCCTAGATACCGAGAGTCCATCCTCCCTCCCCAGCGCATTGGGATTGGTAAACTTCGTGATCCTTGTTATTTGAGCTGCACAAGATAGCAGGCTCGGTCTCGTCTCATATACAGGAGTAGTAAAGTAGTAGTGGTAGTAGTAGTTGTAGTACACTTCATTTACCCCGACCCCTCGCAAAGTTGATTTGACCACTAGACCAAAAGACGAATCCGTACTCAGCCTAGTGGGTTGTGGTTTAGAATCCTACTTTGCATTGCGAGGGGTTAGGGTAAATCAAATCCACCCATCCATTCACCCATTCAACTGTACAAGCGCGCGATCCGCAAGCCCATCATGTTGATGGGTTTTGATGAGGTCTCAGTGTTGTTGAGCGCTCGCGAGCGTCAATGACATTTGGGTAGCTCTGCTATCTGTTTGCATTCTCTACTAAACATCATCTCTAGCCTCAAGAGGCCAACGTAACTGCCAATGAAGTTCCCTTGGGATTGATTGGTGACGAAGTGTCAACTTTCAACGGCCGTTGATACACCCAACGCGTGGTTTTAGCCATAATGTTCCGGTCACGAGTCCCAAGGTGTCTAATTTCCATGCCCAGGTGATGTATCACGTTCACCACATCATTTATCAATTTCCTGTTACTTAAATCGTATGCTGCTTCGCCCATTCCAAATTTGTGCTCATCTCCCTGAAACAATATCTGTTGGGTGCCTGGATGCCTTAATGCCTAAGGCATACAGACCCACATGATGACAGATCCATAACTACCCGAGATAGTCTCTCTCTCTCTCCTTCTTTCTTTCTCCTCTTTGTCCAACTCAATCATTAAGAATCTATCAACTTGGTTTCTTCATCAATATTCCATCAAATAGATTCTACATTAATATCTCACGAAATTCCCCAGCGCAGGACGAAGTACGAAGTACACCAATCCTGTGTCATGGCCCCAGCCCTCTAACTACCACGACCCACCACGCAGTATATCCCTTCCCATCTAGGGAGCCCACGCAAGCTCCGTGTGTCACCGCCAAGGCTGCAAGAATATAATCCTCAGCTGGTGCACCCCTTACAATTACAATGCCAAGCGGCTGGTGACATCGTCAGCGGCGTTGCTAACAGCCCCATTCAAGTCACATCTGAGGCGCACGATGCTTGTGTCCTTCGAACCATGAGCACAGCGTCAGCTATAGATCACTAACATGGTCTAAGTTGCACAATCACACAGGGACCTCTCCATCCGCCACCATCAATGACTTCATACTCCTCAATGAAGTCAGTGGGTAGGTAGGTCTTGTTGGTTTTCTGTTCTACACACCATTTTCCGCTGGAGAAATACCATATAACAGTAGACAAAATAGTCCCCTCCCAAATTAAGTCATCATCAATCAAACAGGATCAAGCAACGTCGTATGTATCCGGATGTTGCATCCATTGACGCAAACAATCCCCGCTCCCGCGAGAACGACAAGGCGGCCCCAGCCATCATCCAATCAGTGCCGATCGATCCCATAGCTGCCCCTGTAGATCCCGTAGATCCCTCAATGGCCCTGTTTTAGGCGAGACAATGATAGATCTTCGCGCTGGTGCGTGGTGTGTCATTGCAGTGCTCCACGCCTGCAAGCTATAAGACTTTGATGGAGCCTGATATGCATTCGTCTTTGCTTTTCTGGTTTCGATATTGATACTCCGTACGCCGTTGTTCAATCTCACTGCCTCCCGCTTCACTGTTGCTTTTTCTCAATGTATGTTTTGTTTTACACCATTTCCTTGCCCTTGCATCCAGTCTGAACCCGCATATTGCGGCGTTTTCACCGTATCTTCTATTATTATACTTGACTCGGTCGCTGATTTGGTCCTTGTCTTCATTCTAGATACCCCATTTCTAGCTCTTTCCAGCTTCTACCAATTCAAAATGCGCGCCTCTGTCATTATCCTCGGCTTCCTCGCTACTCTCACCGTCGCGCTCCCCGAAGCATACCCTAAGGCCGAAATCGCGTGCCAATCTGTGAGTCTGCTCGATAGTCACAATGGAGAATGTGGGGAGACGATTTCTAACAATGTGACTAGGACACCATGGCCTGCACGGCTGCTAACTGCGCTGCTGAGGGATGCTGCTGTGAGGGACTTACTTGCGGATCCAACGGTGTAAGTACCTAGCAACCCCGACGCGTATCTACTAAGTGTCGTTTGTTTGTTCAAAATGCTAATGAGGATGACAGACTTGCACGGCACTATAAGATGTTTTGTTTTCGCTTGGGGTTACAATATGATAAAAGGAGGGATGAGCCTACCCGATCAACCATGATGCCTTTTGTGTTGGCATGAGGATGCAATATGGATAAGGGATAAGGGATCATTGCCCTGGCACTGTGCTCATTGCTTCACTTGTATTTATCTATTTTGTTAATGGTATATAATTCTGGAATATCAAAACAGCGATCAATAGCTTTAGTCTGATGCAGCTATCACAAAGCGTACCTAGCGTAGCGTGGCTCAGCTTGACCTTGAAAGATGGCAGATCACTCGAGAGAGAAGACAACCTAATAACACACAATATCTGCAACGGGAATATCCAACACTCCCTGAACCAACATCCCACGGTAGCACATACGTAGGTACTACTAGTCCTATCCAAGCTTCTCCAAAAGCTCCAAATACTCCGCCTCATCCCCGGAATGCGTCATCCTCAAAGCCGCCAACCTCTCCCTCCGAGCAACAACCATCTCCCCAAGTAGTTCAAGCTCAATCTCAAGACGCTTCTGCAGATCATAGGTAGTACCACCGGGACAGCTCGCAGTTGCAGGAAGAGGAGCAGTAAATGGTCCTGCATCATCCGGCTTTCTCTGATTCTCCTTATTATCACGCTCTTTCTGTTCCTGTTCACGATCTTTCTGTTCTCGTTCCTTCTTCTCTTCCGCCCTCTTCGCTTTCATCTCCTTGGAATCTGGACTCCATCCAAACACCTCGGCAACTATAGCGAAAAGAACCAAGCCGATGAGGAATATTATGGCCAATGCTGCGGCTATTGGGATGATGAAGTTGATCAATATTGTGAAGAATACCCCGGTAATAGACTTGATTATTAGGATAGGGCGCATGTAGAAGGGTTCGCATTCGAATGGGAATGGGAATGCCATTGTGGGAGATTAAGGAAGTTTAAGGTGGTTTGGGTTCTGGGTCTTGTTCTGGTCTTGGTTCCTGGCCGGAAAAAAGGAGCGATATATGATCTTTGACACAATTTTTGTCTTTTTTGGGAGGTTCAAAGTCTTATCCTGACGGACGGGAAACTGAAGACGCTATGTTGTAGTTTGATGCCATGTCTTGTGTTGAGCCTCGGTGTTGTGGGGTCGTATGCACCGCCCCCCAATGTCTCGGGCGAAGGTTACAACTCATCGTATGAGAACCCGAAGAGGACCACCAAATGATGTAGGAAGAGGATGTGCAACATATAAACAATGACAGGGATACCCTGATTTCAAAGTATAGAGCTGACACGGCAAATACGTGGCAAATACTATGTTACAAAGGAAAAGACTACCAGAATCAAAACTCGTAAGAAGACATAAATGAGCAATGTACAAACTAAAAACAGGAATAAGGAGATCAAAAAGGTGCAAGGTCAGTAGACAACGTCAAAATAAAAGGTGTATCTACCACAGGAGTCAAATTTAATATAGAATCCAAGAAGGGAAGAAAGGGCCGATCGGAATCCGTAGACACACCACCAAGCCAGAGAAAGGTAAAACTCCTAGTCCTCCTGTACAGGTTTTGCATGTGCAGAACTAAACAAAATATTCAAAAATCCATGACAGAGTCATCACGCTTAGAAGACTCCAGAGCAACCCCAGTGCTGCTCAACGTTGAACTCACCGGGGTTCTTCCAGGTGTCGTCGGAGTAGGAGAAGAAGATGGACTTGGAGCCAACGGCCTTGGCAATGGACTTGATGGCAGTAGCCTGCTCAGCGGTACCGGGGATGGCAGCACCGTTAGCGCTACCGGCGTTGGGCCAGCCGGTCTCGAGGTTGATGACGTCCTTGCCACCACAGATCTTCTCGAGCTCCTCGAACTCACCCTTGGTGAACTCACCGGCCTTCTCGGCGGTGACATCGGCGTTGAAGAAGGGGTGGATGTTGGCACCGACGATGTCGACAGCGCTGCAAAGGGAGGCAGCGCCGTACTGCTGCCAGACGTTGATGGGCTCAGTGGTGGTGATGACACCGGTGTAGCCGGCAGCCTTGAAGCTGGAGGAAGCGGTCTTGATGAAGGAGGACAGGGCAGTGGCATCGATGTAGCCGGACTGGATGGCCTCGTTACCGACAACGATCAGCTTGACCATGTCCCACTCGGCCCACTTGGAGATCTCAGTGACCTGCTCCTGGGCGGCGGAGATACCGGAACCGTCGATGTAGACACCGATGATGATGCTGAGGCTGAGCTCCTTGCAGGCGTCACCGATGAACTCGAGACCACTGCAGTCGGTGGAGTAGACGCGGACCAGGTTGAAGCCCTTGCCCTTGATGACCTTAAGGTCCGACAGAACCTCCTGCTTGGTCTTGCACTCACCACCAGAGGTGTAGGGAGAGTAAGTCATACCGTACTGGCCATCACCGAGGACGGTGGGGGCATCGGTGGAGGTAGCAGCGGAGGTGGTGGAGGAGCTGGAGGCAACAACGCTAGAGGCGGAGCTGGTGCTGGTGACAACGGGAGCGGCAGTGGTGGTAGTAGCAGCAACGGTGGTGGGGACAGCAGCGGCGGAGGTCGAGGCCAGGCTGCTGGTGGCAACAGGGCAGACGTAGGTGAAGTCGGTGCGGGTCACAGTGACAACGTTCTCGTCCTGGGTGTAGGTACCGGGAACAATGGTGTGGGGGGGTGGGGTAGACCAGAACGGTGCTGGTGGGCACACTGGTGGTGGTAGGAGGGACAACGGTGTAGGTACCAGCGGTGGGGCAGACGTAGGTGGTGGTCTCAATGACGCTGGTCACGGTGCTGCCGGAGGGCTTGACAGTGGCGTAAGGGCAGGTGACAGTGGTGGCAGTCTCGACGACGGTGGTAACACCACCGTAGGTGTGGGTACCGCTGGGGACCTCAGTGGAGGTGGCACCGCAGACAGTGGTGGTGTCGTGGACGGTGATGGTGGTGGCCGGGATGGTGTAGACACCGGTGGTGGAGAAGGTGCTGACACCGGGAGTGGGCAGCTCAACGGCGGGAGTGCTAGCAACGGCGGTGCTGGAGGCAACCGGGGCCGAGGAAGGGGGGGCCGAGGAAGCGCCCGAGACAGTCACGGTCAAGGTGCTGGTGCTGGTAGAGTGCACAGTGCTGGTGAGAGTGCTGGTGGACTCGGGGACGGGGGGTAGAGGTGGAGGTAGGAGTGGAAGTGGAAGTGGAAGGAGGAGCAATGGTCTCAACGGGGACCAGGGTAGCGTCACCGTAGTAGGTGATGACCTTGGTGGTGCAGCCGCAGGTCTCCTCGGCGGCAGGGACGGAGGAGGACCAGACGCTGGCGGAGGCCTCACGACGCTGGTGGAAAGCGTCATGGCGACGGTGAACACCGTCGGCCATGGCAGAGCCGACCAAGGCGGCGGCGGCGAAAATAGATCCCTTCATTATGTAAATGATAATATCCACGCAAAAGAATGAATGCCCGCTGAACGAGTGAAGCGGTGGTATAGAATCAAAGGAACGTGGGTTGAGAAGGTAGAAGGAGAGTGATCGGGGGCACGCAAGGCCTTTTGTTGGAGAAATCGGTACCGGGGGAGTTAGGGGGGGACAAAAAGAGAAAAGGAGAAAAAAGACCTAAAAAAAAGGGCCCTAGTCTGGTTTGCACAGATACAGGTCCACCGATCGTGAATTTCCTGTGAATTTTAATTTTACCCTAAGATTACCCCTGGACGAGTCTAGATGTGCTTTCAGGGACATGATCAATCTGATTGGCTGTTTATTCGACACCCGAGTATTGGCTGCTTGTGGTTGGCCCACACGGCTCGGGCAAGAGTGGAGAGTGCATGGTGTATTTTGTATACATTTGTTTTATACCGTACAGTTAAGTCCATTTGCAAATTCAAGTCAGATTTCATATATCAGGCACATGCAGGTACAACATACGGAGTACAGTGACTAAGAGTCATACATAACCCGCAGGTACAAACCACAAAATTATATTCTCGCCCAACGGTCATTTTACCTACATATGTACAATAGGAACGGAATACTCGTATTCAAACACTATTATTATCAATACACTGCCCGCACGGATCGTCCACTGCCTTCTCTCCTATTCCTCTCAGCTTTCGGCCCCAGCGTCGAAAACAGTCGAAAATAGTGATCCTGTCTCACACCCAGAATAGTCTTCCCCTTACCGCTGTGAGGGTCGTCCAACTTCCGGTTTCCCAACTCCTAACCGTTTAAAAAGCCACATTGTACCAAAACAAGGCCAAGGTTTCATATATCCTGTCAGACCATGTAAGGTACCACTACCGCCCCTCTGTGGCTGACTCGGTGGCAAGCCCCCGTTCAATCCTCGGTTCCCAGTTACCCAGCCCAAAGAAATGTCTTCGAAGCAAAGATCCAGAGAATGTGTGGAGTAGTACGGAGTAGAATGCCTTCATATCCATGTCTCATTGCCAAGTCAGACAGAGAAATCCGCCGGTCAAGAGCCCAAAGTCAAAAACCAAAGAAAACAGGAAATTCTCTTCCTGCACCATGTGGGGCAGGCTGTCATAGCGTCCCCGGCCAGTCCCGAAATGGTAAGGTGGCAGCTGGATTGGGATTTGGTTCAAATTATGATTGGTTTGAAATGCAGCCTCTAATTTCCGCCCTGCCGATCTATATTATAAAATCACAATACGGGTATCATTCAATCTTATGGATTACCTCCAACATACGAGTCCGCAGTATCCTCAATACCAATGTCTCGGATTACTACCCAGTCTGGGCACAACAACATCTCCTATCACAACAAGTCTCTCCAATCCCCATGTTTTCGCCATCAAATTGTTCTCTTATATATCAACATACTCTACTCCGTCCTCTATGGAAACAACACATACCCTTTGTTGTTAACTATGCGCTGTTTTCTACCTCCCCTGACGATCTCCATCCAGCCAGCCATATTATATTGTACACGCACTCATGAACTGGCCGATCACCCGCCGCGGCCTAATTTAAAGTCAAAAACAGTTAATAAACGGGACACGAAGCTTGAACTGTTCAATTAATTAATCGCGCCGAATAGGAAGGACCGTGTGGACTACGAACCACCTTCTACTCGGGGCATAGGTATCTACTTAGTGTGTTCGTTGCCAGAGCAAAATAAAATTAACACTGTAGCCTGAGTACCCGATGTATCCGACACCCACACTGATAATGCTTTACTTACAGGTTTATATACCACGCACAGGAAATGGAAGCAGCAAGTGTTAGTTATAACGAACAGATTCTCTACTATTTCATGTACAGAGTGTTGATCACAATGAGGACGGGAGTCTGGATCCCATTGACTGGCGATCAAAACTCAACTCGTCCATGGGGTAGATCACGGATACTGGGGCACGGCCGAGGATAGTGTGTCTTGGTCTTGCGGAGATTACCGCTTTGTACGGAGTACGGAGTAGTATTTTTATCAAACTACCATCACTAGCGTCTGACTCCTGAATTAGACATGCTGTGCCCGTTTTGCACCAGTTGTTTTTCACTCGCTAGTCAGATAATTACCCCACAGGTTGGTTGAATTATTGACAAGGTTGAATGAGTTTGGGTAGAATGTGATGTAATTGTGTATTGAGGCCCAGTCTTGCCACGTTCTACATTCTTGGTTTGGATTCATGTGTACTCCGTACGGAGTAGACGAATACCTCGTGTGTTGTTGTAGATGGATACCGCCCATCCTACTCGGTACTCGTATAACACAAAGAAACTGCCCAAATCAAAGACAACTCAACGATCCAGACCGCCGAAATATTCTTGGCCAATCTGCGGATTCCAATGGATCAAAAAGCCAAGGATAATGGCGGATCTGGGCTTAGTTGGCATTTAGGTCGAGGCTTGGCGATACACTCTTTGAGGTTATTCAGGGGCTTCCAGGGGCGTGTGGTATATGGCCTTGTGGGTTTAGGATCTGTAAAATCAGTTTTATTCGTGCAAAGACAAAGAGTCTTGTGGCGACTTTCTATTCAACTTGTGTTTTTGTTTTCTTTTGTATGTTATAATAAAGATGTGTAAAAGATTTCCAGGGTCCAAGGTTCAACGGTGTGTGGTTCTGGGGAAATTTCTGCAGAGCAGTTTTCCCTACATATGACTCAGGTTTTCTTTTTTTGATACGTCAAATTTAGGGCTAATTTATGTTCCATCGATGGCATTCCACATCTTAGATATTTGAGATCTGTATCACATTGGCCACATGGAGAATCTCACTAGAATGTATGCCTTGATCTTCAGGTGCCTTCCGCTTAACCTCGATTTCTCAATCACATTTTCATTATTTCTAATGAGTGTTGCATTACAAAATAACATCCCTATGATCTCAAAATATAGTAGGCTCTTATATTGTGCCAATTACAATAAATTTGGAATTAGGTACCTCTTGTATGACACGCCGATGCAAAAGGTACGAGTCAAATCTAGCATAGGTCGACTAATATATGTAAAAAGATATTTTGAAGATATTTTCGATTGCTTTTTCTCTTCGCTTGCAATTTGGAAGTAAACGGATATCGACATCCCGACCGACCGCACAATATATATATATATATATATATCAGAACTCATCAAGGACTACCAGAACAACCCATGAAATCCGATCTAATATGGTCGCCCTAAAACAAACAAGACAGGCAGCGAAGACCGACATCTCTTTAGGCTCGTCCAGTAATATCTGTTGTTCCTTTCAGTGATTTTCTTGTCTCGATGGAGAAAACGAAACATGAAGCCGCATGTCAGCTGCAAGCCCGATGGCTGAATAACGATCGGCGTTTCTCGGATCTACCCTTTGATTCTTAGATGAGTGTCATTGCGACTAGGTTACAAATTATTTACCTCGTCTTTGATATACAGCATGCTGTATATGTCAACTTGAAAAGGTGTACAGAACAATCTCGCATGGACGTCGGGCTGCAAGGAGGCGGAAATGGGGAACGTCACAGAAAAAGTGGTTAGATCTAGGGATAAGTTTGTTGGACTAGTATAAACTGACGGCTTCATGGAATAATCAGCGTTGATGGCAGAAAGGGAACATTTTTGTTGCCATAAGATTGTGTATCTTGGAATTTAGAGTGAGGTGCTCTAAATACTATATTCGGTGCCAATTTCGAAGTTGAACCCTGGATTGTATATCGCACAAATTAACATATAAAAACACAATAGCTCCAAGTTATTAGGTTACTCTAAGCCTTAATTAAATCAAATCCAAAGTCGAGCTTTCCCTGTTGTTTCCTACTTTTTTTGCCGTTCGAATCTGACCATCACCATGCCACCCCGATCATGCCACATCACCACAATCCTTCAATCCCCCATTCGACGTCAAATAACAATCCAAGGGTTCATTCTCCACCTATACTAACTCCAGAAATACAATCACAAACGGAAACGGAAACGGAAAAATCCGCATGCAATCGCACCACATCCATCGTCACCATCCCAACCACCAACCATATCCAGCAATATCTAAGCATCCAACCCGGATAAAATCAATCCGAGATATACATCATGCTATCCAGTACAATTCCCCAGAAACGGCTAACGGCCACGTCCCGAGACCCAGCCTCTCGGAACAAACATGGTTTGGTTCGCTATCAGGCCATACCTGCTATGCGGCTTTGTATCTTGCTATGATATGAGAAGTGGTGTGTGTATGTATATAAGGATGGGATGTTACACGACAGGGCTTTGCTTTTGTTCATCACACAGCGATATTGTTATATACCTACTTCGGTTACTTCATACCTGATTCGATACTCATCTACACCATTACAACTACACAACACAACACATCCATCCAAACCATACAACATACAAAATGCCCACCCAATCCAAAACCACTGATAGCGATCACGCCCGTCTGCAAAATGATTACGGCGCAGACTACTGGGTTCGGAATTCTGCTCAACAACATCGTGTACGTATACTACTGTCACTGCCGCCGCCACTATACACTATTAGTATCCATTAACTAACATTCCCAAAGCGTGCAACAGCAGGACGAGGCCTCTTCGCCGGGTTACAAGATGTAAAGCACTACAATGTCGAAAGCGGCTGGGCTAAGCGCAAGTCTGAGACGGCACAGCCTGGTATTCTCGGGTCTCTCTGGAGTCGGTACGTTATATCCACGGTGCTCATGCTTTAGATTAGAGGATCAGTGCTGACGTTTATGTAGACTTACTGGACTTTGATATTTCTAATGGGTTGTTGTTGGTTTGGCCGATTCTTAGACTCTGTCTTTCCTTGTGTTTATCACATATGGAGATCAGAAGGGGATTAAGATTGATATGATTACACGCTTTCTTTAGGAGTTGGTGTTTTTGCTTGTCTTTCAGCATTGCTTGTTTGTTATTGTGATTATACAATATCTTTTTGGATATAGGAGTTCTGTTTGGCGTGGCAAGATCTGATTT